AACCGAACTGTGATCAACATACACAAGCTTGCCCACCAACAAGCTATCTGTAAAGATCATGTCAATTCGGCTGACACCTTGGCATGTAAAGTCTTGTGTTGTTGGGTGTAACGCCCTGTAGGTGTCGTAGAATTGCTCTGTTTGTAGCCATTTTAGGATATCGGTTTCTGGATTGGTGCTGGTCCTTGTGCAGTTTTTTCTGTCAATCCTGGGATTGCATACCCCATTGAAATCTCCCATAATAATTACCTCCCTGCGTTCTGCTCTTGCACTAATACATTCTCCTTTGAGCCACTCGCTTAATTCTCTGCGCTGCTTTTCCTTTTCACGATTCGTTCTATCTTCACTGGGTACATAACAATTAATCACCCGAAGCTTTAATTGTCCTTTGAAATTAAAATCTCTAGACTGCCCTCTGCTTCCACATGAGGATATTCTCCCAGCATGTACCCATAGCCACTTGTGGATAATGAGGCCGACTCCCGTACCTCGCGTTTTCCCTTCCTCACCTGTTAACCACCAAAATTTATAACTTTCTTGTTTTATATAGTCTGCTGCTATTTTCGCACCATGATTCATATTTGTCTCTTGTAACGCAATAACATCATACTCTTCTGACTCTCCCCAATGACAAAGTGTTTCCAATTTTCCAGCTGTTAAAATTCCCTGTGTATTGAAGGTTCCTAACTTCAATCTATCATTCTTTCCATCTCTATTTACTGTCCTACATGTTACTATGTTAGGCGTATTACTCATTTAAGGAAGGTTTTGAGGATTGTCCAATTATCACTACAGGCTTTGATGGCAATGGTACTGTTTTTTCAGCAGCCCTGGGTGGGCCCATTAGCGCCATAATAGCGGCCAAAGTCTCGTTCGTGTCTGGGATAGCTAGTCCACTGGAGTTCTGGCCTTTCTTTGACTTCATCGCGCTGCGACTTGTGTCTGCGCTCAGACCGACTGCCATTAGCTGTTCCTTAGGGACAGTGATGCCCATATTCTTTGAGAGCATTTGAATCACTATAGACATCAACATCTGATTGGTCTGCGCAAGCTGTAATTGCTCCTGTTGCATTCTAACGATAGTCTCTTGAAGCTGTCCAATCTTCTTTTCCAATACATTTTGCATAGCTTTATTTTGTCCATTATGCTGCTGTCCAGGCTGTTGTTGCTTATTTTGTTGTGGTCCGCTGTTTTGTCCATTCTGCAGTCCATTTTGCGGTCCATTTTGCGGTCCATTTTGCAATTCGCTTTGTCTCTGTGTCTGTTCTCCATTTTGGCTGCTACTTCCAATGATCTGTGCAAATGTACGGTTAGCCGTGACCTTAAGCGCTCCACCTCTTTGGTACTCTTTCACTGCCTGGATGTGGGCCTTAGTCTTCATTCTTTCAATGTAAATTGTGCACACCCTTTGAATATGGCCTAGTTCACCGCACTCTCTACATCTTTTGTCTTCTTTATCTCCCCACATAGTTTCTTTCCCACCTACTTTAATGGAAATCTCCATGCAGCTAACCATGTCTGCTTCTGATGAGAAATAAACGAATGCTTCACGTAACGTCTTTGTGTATTTACCCTCTTTCGAGAAAATCCTTGGGATAATTAAAAACTCAGCCTTATTTTCGCCCAGGATCTCTTTCAAGTCCAAAGGCGTTGTTCCCATAGGGAGTTGAGACAGCTTTGCGACATAACGCAGTTCCCACACTACTTTCTCCTTTCCAATTGTACTTAAACGAGCAAGATCTCTACCAACGAAAACCCACTTTTTCTTTTCCGCTTGGATTTTCTTTACACTCTCCTCTTGTCTAAAGAGAACTCTTGCCACAATTTTGATACCATTTTTGCATGGACGAGTTACAATTTTTTCCACTTCGCCAAACTGAGCCATCGCTGATTTGATCCTGAAATCATCAGTCCTGGGATGAAGACCGTAAATTTCAACTGATCTATCCTGTTCTGTGATGCGTTGGTCCTGATCGACTCTGGTGAAGATAGGCTGCTCCGAAGATGTTCCGTTTTCTTCGTCTTCTTTATGGTGAGTGAGTTCCAGCAGGTTCTCTAGGTCACCCAGCGTTTCAACGGCGACGCGAAAAACTTTTTGTCCGTCCTTATTCTTGATACGGGTTGGTCCCTCCGTGCAGTGGATGCCTTGGTGAATGAGGATCTGCTGGAGTTCATCTCTTTTCATAGCGTAGGTGTCGCCATAGATCAGATCCACAGGAGCCGTGGCCACGAAAAACCTTTCCTTAGTTCTTTGAACTTCGATCCACTCTGTTTCGTCATCCATTTCTTCGTCGTCTTCGTCAATTGCTGTCTCGGTAGCAGCGCGCTCTTGATCAACTTGCATTTGTTTTAGTCCCTTTTTGGGATTATAAGAACAGCGTTGAGTGGAATTCATTGCAATTGGGGTGGTAGCCCCAATACTTTGGCTTGGTTTTTGCGCGTCTTGGCCGTCAAGGGGAAGTTTTTGTTTTTTGAAATTGTTCATTCTGCTTGATTCTCCATCATCTTGTCGATGATGGAGTTGAATTTTTTCAGCCCCAGACATCTTGGGTTGATAAATACTTTTGCACTCTTGTGCGCTAACGTAGGGTGTGTAAGGGGTGTTAAGAGAGGGGCAGTGTTAATGTAGCGTCCGACTTGATGGATCGGAGAAGAGTTTTTTGCCTTTTTTTTTTTTTTTTTTTTTTTTTTTTTGATAGCTGAAAAGGTCGTTGTAGTCTGGAAGCTTTGAGTTCGATCACCTACTTTATCAAATTTTGATTGCTCTTAGTATCATGTGAGTTAGCTCACGTGACTGTAGATAATTTATCTAGTATTAAATCCAATGCCTCCGGCAAGGAAGGTTTCGTGTTGTAATTGGTTAGCAATCAAGACTCTGAATCTTGCAATCCGAGTTCGAGTCTCGGCGAGACCTCTTTTTGAATGTTGATCATATTTTTTTTACCCAAGTGACAAGTGATAAACACCAACAATGGTACTATTTTTTCTTTAAAAATTTGATGAATAGATAGACTATGTATATATATATATATATAATATTAATACATATATTTTATATAAGGAGCTCAATGATATTTGTATAATATATACGTATTATATATATATAAATATAAATAAATATATATATTTGTCTATATTTTTTTTTTTGCTGTGCATTATATGGAAGAACAAAAAAAAAAAAAAAAAAGAAAGTGTGCTCTCCCCCCCCATTCTCCTTTTCTTTTGCTCTCAGACTGATATACATGACATGTGTTCATGCATGCAATGAATAGCTATCCATGGAAAGTGGTCGCAGAACAGTACACCATATTAATAGAATCGATTATGTTACTGATAAAATTGTACCTGAACTAAAAGACTAAAAGGAGAATAGGGGAAAAGAACATGTCTTTGCGTTGCATTGTAGATCCACAAATTCGAGTAATTAAATGAGCTCAGTAACAAAAAAAGAAAGAAAAGAAAGTGGGGGGGGAGATAGGGATATATTTGTGTATACATTTATATATATTTATATTTATATCTCTTGTTTGACCAGGGTAGGGAACCAAAGGTTCATGTACAAGGTATACTTTTGAGGGCAAAGAAGGGATGTGTTAGTTCAGACACTACAATTACCACCTCTGTTTTCTTTTTTGGACATTGAAAGATGTAAAGAGATGAATGTACGTTATGTATACAGTATACATGTTCAAAGATAACACAACGTTGATAACCCTGTGTGTTTCGTTGGATGAGTTGATCCGGACAGAACACAGAGATTTTCTTCAATGTCAAACTATGAAAGAAAAAAAAAAAATCCCTCACTCTTCTTTCACAAGGGTTCAAAACAATAAACAAAATGACATGACATATGACATGTCTGTGGCTGGCTTCTAGTGTGGAACTGTAACTGAAAAGGTCTTTAAGCTTGTCCATGATAATTCAATGATGGTAAGGTAAAGAAGAAAGAAGAGAATGCACATGTGTATGTTGTACATGTATATCATGTATATGCTTGAGTGCATCGATCAGTCTAGCCTGCCTTGATTGTGGCCCCTACTTTGTGTAATCTTATCCACGTTTTCGGTGTTTGCTCTTTGAACATGCCACAAACAAACAAAAAAAAAAAAAAAACTAAACGCCGATAAAAAAAAAAATCCCTCACAGGACTCACAGACAGAAAATGCTCCGTGCTTTTTTTTTTATCTTTTTCATTTATATATGCTTCTTTCCTTCCTTCCTTCTTTCTTTTCTTTTGCTCATTCTCTTCTTCATCTCTCTTCGATCCTCTCTCCTCTCTCTTTTTCTTCCTTCTTCATCTGCTTGTCCGTCCATTTATTCTGCTCTTATTAGCAATCACCTAAAAGCGACTCAAACCTCAACTCCCAAAAAAAAAAATTCATCATATTCTCCACACATTCACATCCTCGGTTTAGCATGTTGGGTCGCAAGGAATAACATTACGCCCCCTTTTTTCTCTCTTTCTCTGTCTTTCTCGTTTCTATCGCTATTGCTGATCCATTCGATCTGTTCAGCAAGGCATTAAAAGAAATAAGAAAATTATTCTTACAAAAAAAACCTTTATAGCCAACTGTATCAACAATTTTTTTTTGTTCTCTTTTGTATCACATCCTATTTTTATTGCTTTTTTTTTTTTTTTGCTTTGCCCATTTATCTTTGTACATTTATTTAGCCATAGTCTTCTTGCTACATTAGAAAGAACAAACTCCTTTTGTACTGTACACTATTATATTCTTATATTCTTCATCTCCATTCAAAAAAAAAAACATCCTATCATGGTCACTTTCTCCACTGATTATTGGGCCCCTGCCATGGAGTCCAACGTTCGACGACGTCAAGACATGATCAAAGATTCAAAGAGTCATTCGCTTCATAATGACGACCACTGGAACACTCTCCGTCAAGTCCCAACAGTCGACTCCTCCTCTGTTTCTTCCGCCTCCTCCTCTGAATCTCAGGTGGCTGCATTAAAGAAAGCCTCGTATCTCCGACCTCCGCCTATGGCCATCACCAACAAGAAACAAACCCTAATTCACAAGATCTTCCACCATGAACCCAAGTCTGCCTCAATTAGCCCCCCTACCTCTCCCATCTTCATCAATAGCCCTAACCCAGAGCAGGACCCTTACCTTTCGAACCCTGTCACCCCCTCGCTAGAAAAGAAAACCATCTTCAACTTTGCAAACGTCCTCGGACGTGCCTCCTCCTTCACAGGACTCAACAGTAGCAGCGATCGTCATAGCGAGAGTAAAAAACCCGAGTGTACCTTGTTGAAAAAGTATGGCGTTTGTGAGAAGGGTAGCATTGGACAGGGCGCTACCGCCGTTGTTCGATTGGCACATAAGCTCTCGGCTGAATCCGAATCTGGTGAGAAGCTCTTTGCTGTCAAGGAGTTCAGGAAACGAAGAAAGGACGAGACTGAGAAGGAATATGTAAAGAAGTTGACAAGCGAGTTCTGTATCTCTTCCACCCTTCATCATGAGAACATTGTCGAGACCGTCGATCTGGTACAAGATGAACATCAACACTGGTGCGAGGTCATGGTATGTTTTTTTCTATTTTATGCCCTCTTCTCCTTCTCATTCCACTCATTTCGCTTGCTGCCAATTTTTTTTTTATATTTATTTATTACCATACGCAACACCGAGGGAATTGGTATTACAAAACATTCCTCTGAATGGCATATAGAATACTAATCAATCTAAAATTTCCTCACATCGCATCGTTTTTCAACTAATCATAGGAATATTGCTCTGGAGGAGATCTATACAACATTATTAAGCAAGGCCACATGTCAAGGGTTGAGATCAACTGCTGCTTCAAGCAGCTCATCCACGGTGTAGCCTACTTACACTCCATGGGTGTGGCCCATCGTGATATCAAGCCCGAAAATCTTCTTCTCGACGATCAATCTCGCCTCAAAATCACAGACTTCGGAGTCTCGGATGTCTTCCGTATGTGCTGGGAGAAAACCACTCATTTATCCAAGGGTCTCTGCGGGTCGGAGCCCTACATTGCCCCAGAAGAGTTCACCCAAAAGGAGTACGATGCGCGCCGAGTCGATGTCTGGGCCTGTGGTATCGTTTATTACTGCATGGTCTATCAAGGCATTCCTTTCCGTGCCGCAACAAAACAAGATCCCAACTACCAACACTTTCTGGAAATGAGAGCTGTGAACGCCTATGAGCCATTCGAGAAGCTATCCCTTGGAACCAGAAATCTGCTAAAGAATATCTTGGATCCCAATCCAGAGACTCGTATTACTATCGAGGGGATATTGGAGGATGAATGGTTCAAGAGCATTGAAACATGCATCCATGGCGAAAATCAGGACCCCCATCGTCACTTTGAGCCCAGCCTTTAAGGAGAGATTCTTACATACACATACACAAGCATAGGATCATCAATCGTCCATTATAAAAAAAAAAAAATAAAAAAAAAAATGCATAGTCAAATTTTTTTGTGTCAGAATTTTGTTGTTTGTTTTGTTTGTTTGTTTACTTGTGAAAATGATAGAAGGATCTGCATCTTGCGTCGTGCATCGTGCACCGCGCATCGTGCATGGTATAACTGCGACAACCGATTCTTTTTTTTTTTCTTTTTTTTATTATTTTCAATTAGTCACAATTTCGAACACTCAGCGGAGACAAAGCTCTTCCACCATGATCGCAGCCTCAATAATGTTCTCAAGGAGCCCCCATCGGATTTTCAATGTTCCTCCAATCTTATCCAACAGATTAGACATCGCCACCCATCCTGAAATCGACTTTTCCTGATCCCTAGTTAATCTTTGACTCTCGCGAGGCTCGTTTGGATAGAGCACCTGCTCCAATCCAGTACCTTCGATCTCATCTCGCCTAATTCCTCGAGCCTCGATCCAGGACTCCACAAGTACCTCGATCATCATCACTGTCCACTCAATCTGCTCTAGATCCTTTGCATTCCATTGTTCATGCCCCTCCGGCTCAGTATCCATTGTGGGTGAAATAATACTTGCCAATAACAATTCTGCCTCTTCCTCTTCTGATATTAAAGATGCTTTACGCCGTCTCACCGAGCTTCGCGTCCCTGCTTTTTTTCCCTTTTCAGTCTTATTGCTTGATGTCAATCCTATAGATGTATTAGAAGATGAGGTACCAGCCGGACGCACACGAATTGGCATCGCATATTCCTCTATGACTCGTCGGAAACTTAGCTGTGCTCCCCCACCACTCATTGCCGATCCCCCACCACTATAAATTGTCTTGGACCGGAACCAAAAGTCAACCAGTACCATCACAAATGCACTTGATCCCATGCATATCCCAGTCTGACTTTTGAAGATTGTGTTGTAATCATCTGCTTCATCAAAATTGAACGAAATATCCATTCCCCCCTCCTCTGCTCCTGGCGATATGTTATCCAATATGAGAGAAGCCAGAGCATTTTTCTTTTCTCTCTTCATTTTTACACCAGCCCCAGACCCTGTCCCTGAATCCAATAGACATGGTCCTTGAATCAGAGCTTTCAAAAAAATCTCTGTCTGATCCAAACTATACCTCTCGAGCGTAAACGGCATGGCTGTCGATGTGGCAGTAGAAGGTCGGCTTGATGACGATCCAGTCGATACTTTAGAACCATGGCTCAGAAGCTTTCTATCCTTATTCATTTTACTTAACCTAGATAAGACCTCGCGCGCTAGTTCTTCCAGGCCCTTGCCTGGTAAGAGCACTCCACCTTCTGTAAAACGGATTAAAAGTAACAGAAGTTGTTGGCCAAGCTGCAAGATCTCCATTCCTGACGAGTTCAATGTGCACCGTATATTTAGCGGCCATGAGCCCCCTGCCCGAGATCCAGTCGTTACAGCTGGAGCAGGAGCCGGATAGACAGGTAACTCCAAGTACCTTGAGCTCATAGCAAGAGAAATAATTTGGAAAATAACATCAAGTGCCTGTCGCACAGTCTGAGCTGGTGAAAACGGATCAAGCATGAGGACGTTTCGGCAAAAAAATGTTTCCGCGGAAACTAACTCAATGACACAGAAAAGCAAAACTAATAAGAACCTACAGGCTTGGTTTACCATAGATTGAGTACCAACTGGGAATGGGTTCATCTAAGCATACCATTCTTTAGGACCGCATCCTGTTCCAAGACCCTTAAAAGAAACCCTACAATAGCTCGTCCAATCTCGTCTCGCACTTCTCGCTCCTCTCTGATCCCCTGGATCTCGTCTCCCACGCCATCATCTTCTCCGACACCCTGGATAGTTGTGTCTCCTTGAAGCCTTGTACGGATCTGATGCTCCTGGAGTGCAATATGTTGCCTAGATTCAGGCTTCGTATCCAATCCAAATTCAGCCCTAATCAAATCCCAGATGTTGTTCCAGCTGGGCAGACGGCCTGTGAAAACTGGTGTTGTAGATAATTTACTGAAAGTAGTATCTCCACTGCTGCCTTCATTAATACAGGCTCTTATGTTTGATTCTATTTCTGATCCTGATCCTGAAGATGTTGGAAAGAATTGTCGTGAAAATGGGCTAGTCCCGTCTGCAAATTCGCGTCGCCGCTTTTGTACATCCCAAATATCTTGAAAAGGCTCTGGTCCATGAAGAGTGAATGTACGGTCGAGGACATGGATAGCAGCTTCGATGGTTGCGGGCTCCGTCAGCGGCGAGAGGACAACCGCGTAAAAGAAAGAAGCTATGAACTCTCTTGAAAGAAAAAAAAACAAAAAAACAAAAAATGCATTTTTAAAGGTATGAGAATCTCAACTGTCCAAGCGTCAACACAATTAATAGTTTAGAGTCAAGCATGTTTACTTTGTGGGTCGACGGTAAGGTCCCAGTAGAGTATCAAACATCTCGACACCAGAAGCATCTGTAGAAATGGATGGACAATAAGGTTTTTAATACTTCGAGTAGCGCTTGTTATAACAAGTTTATTTCAGCGATGACACCTGCTTCTTACCCATTCCTTCTTTGAAATAGACTTCAATCATCTGCTCTGTATTCCTGTTGAACTCCTTCAGAAGTTGCTTTTCTTCGTCCCTAGATTTAATTCCAGCATCCTCTAGTATCGTAGTAAATTCATTCAGGCTCGATGACTCTGTTTTTATAGGTACTATTCGTTCGGAATGTGGCTGTGAAATGGACAATTGATCCAATTTGTCCTCGACAAAGCTTCCATCTAAACGTTGCTTCTTAATTCTTCCATGACCATCCTCCTCCTGAGGCTCATCCTTAATTTTAGGAGCATCGTTATTCCTTGATATTCCAGCACTCTCTGGAGTTTCTTTTTTTACCAGTGTATCATCATTACAGTCATTAGCATTTTTATTTGTATTCGATGTTGATATTGACGTCTCTGCCGTTATTTCTGTTGCCGGATATGACGTAGTCGCTATCGACGATGTCGACGACGATTGCTGTCGTTTCCTTGTGCTCTTAATGGATGTAACATGTGATTTGTAGGTCGTGGCAAAAACACTGGTGCCCTCACGGTATCCAGAATTGAGGAGCCATTCATAAAGTTCAACAAGTTCTGGGTTAATGAGCCGGCTAGTGGATGATAAGACCCATTCTTGTGTGGTTGAAATCAGATATTCCGTCGTCCCACTCTATTTTTTCGTGTAGTGTTTGATGATAAGGCCCAGTGCCATCAATATATCGTACGTCAAAGCTTTACTTATTTTATCGAACAGAGGTATGCAGGCGATGATAAAATACTTTACGATGGTCTTTCGCTTATCGACAATCCTGGGTTGCTCTAGCCTCAGAGACATGAGAAATGAAAGGAATGAATTTGAAAGTGTTTAGAGGAATGAAAAAAAAAAAAAAAAAAAAAAAAAAAAAAAAAAAAAAATGGTGGCGCTTTTTGTATTGAGCAGCCACCATTTTTTTAATGATCTTTTTAGAATGCTTTACTTCTGTCTCCAATCCAACTTGGTCAAGGAATTTCACAAATCAACCCTAATCTTTAAAATCATGGAAGACATACAAATGGAGACATCAAAGTCATTGCCTATGTTGACGGATCCATTAGCCGTGACCTCACAAACAGAATCGATATCGGGAAACGAAACTATTCGGAGCAGTCTAGGGGTTTCTATCGCGAACGACTTTAGCATTTATCGCGATATTCTAGAGGCTCACGTATGTCATTGTCGCATGTTCAACTTTGAGTCATTTAATAACGCGTGCTATCCTATTTGACGGTAGAGATATCATTAATCAATTTCAATCACACCGTTAGCACGATAGAAGGGAGCGAATCATTAAAGTATCAAGGTAAAAAGAGAATGCGCCAAACAAGAGTTTGTTGGATGGACAAGGCTCTTTAACGAAAAGTGCCTTTTTTTTAAAAAAAAAAAAAAAAAAAAAAAAGAGATATCACCAACGTTAGCAAGAAAATGATCTTTGCTCTTCACCGTGCAGAGCCCAAAGACTTCCTTTCTCAAGACTCAAGCACATCTGAGGCATTAATGGAGTTTAAGGAAAAGCATGCTACAGTATTGAAGCTTTTCCACCGGGCTGCTGTTGATCTTCAAGGTTCCAATTATTATCGCTATCAACGAAGCATTTCTGGCGCTATGCAGGAATATGTAAATATATGCTTGTATATTTTCAACGGTAACTTGGATCTAGCACTGGCATGATTCGTCATGCGAGACGCCATACGCGCCTAACTCTCCCTGTTTTCTCTGGTCCATGGCTTGTATGACTAGATCGAGGCTATGACACTACAGTACTATATGGTCCATGGAAAGCTAATCCCAAAGGAAACTCTTGAAGCGGATCTTGTTTTCATGACTAGCCAAGAACAGCTAAATAATCTTGATTCAATCATTACTATCGGTCAAACAGGACTGCCTGGTAGCGGCGGCAGTGGTGGGGGACAGCGAGGAAAATTCATCAAAGATAATCGAAAAGTATCATACAACAGAGATGACAAAAAGCTAGGAAAGAAGATAGCTCCAGCATCAGAATCACTGACAACAACGACCCCTGCTGCGTCAACCAACCCCATATCAGCACCGCCTGTGCCGATCAACATAGATGAGCCTGCTAATAGAGCAACGATAGCACCACCATCAACAACTACAACGATGCAAATGGATGATCCATTAGTAGTAATACCGGTAGTACTAGAGACCAAGTTGATCAGACATACATTAGAGATCACAGATGAGGACTACCTCCTTGGTATTGCAGACCTAACAGGTGAGCTAATGCGCCTTGCTATCAACACATTGGGTCAATCTTTAATGACACCAGCTACTCAGGACACGAATATTGCTACAGGAGCTTCATATTCCTTATCAACGCCAGAGAAACGTGTCCAGCATATCTTGTCGTTTTTGCGGGATATCAAGAGTGGCTTTGATGGCCTGTCTCTCACAAAAATGTCACCTATCTCGAAAAAAATGGGGACATTAAAGCAGTCTCTTAACAAGATTGAAATGGCGTGCTATAATGTCAAAGTGCGCGGCGCTGAGTACCCTCCAGAGATCTTGAGACAGATGCTCATGAGTGGGGGTGCTAGTGGGCAGGACGTTGGGGGCGTGGAAGCTGGAAATGGTGAGGAGGAACAGTAGCTTAAAACAAAAGACAAATATTGATTTTATTATACTATTGACAGATTTTGGGAAATATAATGTCAATTATGGTAAAGCCTATCTGTCAGCATTCTCCATCTCTATCCATCCGCTTTCTTTTTTTGTTTTTAATTCCCTTCTTGGTACATTCGCTCAATTTCTACATTGAATTTCTCCTTTGCAGTATGTCTCTTCAGCTTGAATGTTGGTGTCAAGAGGTCGTTCTCAATCGTGAACTGCTCCGAGGTGACATGAATGTTCTTTGGGATCTCAAAGCCCTTCAGATCTACCTCACGTCCAAATGCATTTAATTCCTTGAGAAGTGTCTCTCTAACCTTGGGCAGGGCGCAAAGTTCCTCGAAGCTCTTATTACCCAGTCCATTATCATTCGCCCATGTCTTGAGTGTTTCTGCATCAGGAACAACAATGGCTACCAATGTTGATTTGAGCGAATGACCATAGACAAAGATTTGAGCAACCAAGTAATGCTTAGCAAGGGCGGACTCGATCTTCTCTGGTGCGATGTACTCGCCCTGAGCCAACTTGAAAATATTCTTTACACGATCAATCACAACCAAACGTCCACGATCATCCCATTGACCGACATCTCCAGTGCTAAAAGTTTGTGAACAGGGAGAGATGTTGATGAGACTATAGTTTAGTACCAGCTATATAACCATCGTATCATGCGTTTTATATAATATAAACCATTAAAAATCACCTGGCCCATCCATCTGCATCTAAGACCTCTGCAGTTTGCTCCGGATTCTTATAGTATCCAGTGAAGACAGAATAGCCGCGGAGCATGATCTCACCACGAGGGAATGGCTTGTCCTGACTAGTGTAATTCATAGAGGGGATATCTCTCAGTTTGACTTCAACACACAATTGCGGAGGGCCAACCTGACCGGGAGTCAGGTCGCCACGATAGCTTATGGCCAAGCCGGCGGCCTGTTCAGTTTGACCGTAGCCTTCGTAGACATCAGCGCTAAAGCAGATACGTAGGAAATCAATGACATCGGGAGCGATAGGAGCAGAGCCGGAAACAATATGCTTGACCTTGCCCCCGAGGCGAGCCCGGATTGCACCAAAGACCAGGCGGTCCCATAGAGGGTGCTCTACAGTGCCGCGTTTCATATTGGCCTTTTTAGCTTGATATGCACGGTTGAAGAGAAAAGCCGCAATACCTCCCTTGGCTTTAACGCCCGACAATACTTTGTCATAAATTCTGTTGAAAAGACGGGGCACAGATATAAAAATAGTTGGCTGTAAGACAGCAACATCGTCCAAGAGTTTGAGGGTATCACCTTGATAATATCCAATACGTGCTGCCCCCGAGATCATAATGCTTTGACTGATGCGCTCAAAAACGTGAGCCAATGGGAGGTATGAGATATGGGTGTCAGCGGTAGAAGGTATAAAGAACTTTTGATGCTTGGACAACAGTTGGAATGAGCTTAAGGCCGCAACAAAGTTTCTGTGAGTCAAAACCGCGCCCCTATCATAAACAATAAAATATATACAAATGTCAGTTGAATAAACGAGTGATAGGATGCAACGATGTGTTTGTCAAGAAGAGCACCCGTTGTATGTACAACCTTTATTGGTAAGGTTCTTGCTTTGTTTTATCTACAAAGCATGTCAATCATATGCTCCACTTTCTCCGGAAGAAGGGAAGAATTGCGGTTGTGATTATGTTTGGTGGAAGCAAGGACCAACTGACACCCCAAAGAAAAATCTTAACGCTCGAGCATCTTTTTTTTTCCTTTTTTTTTTTTTTTTTTTTTTTTTTGTACGCCCTCATAAATGAAACTCTAGATAGTCTACAAACACATTTCTCCAAAATAAAATAAAATAAAATAAAATAAAACAAAGAGCAAATGCAGGCAATATCCAACAACTTACTTTGGTACGCCAGTGGTGCCAGAGGTGTAACAGATGGTCGCAATATCATCGGCCGTAGGAGGGTTGACGGGAACGGGTTTCTCTCGTCCGTTTCGCTCCACATCGGTCCAGACCACTATTTGAACACCCAACTCCTTGCCTTCGGCCACGAGAGCATCGTCAATTGCGCCCATGACCACAATATTCTTGAGGGTGGGAAGAGACGACTTGATATGCAGGAGGATCGAGGCCTTGTCGGCGGATGCAATGATGGTCTCCATCTCAGTCTGATTGACAATGAATTCAATGGCTGCAACCCCAAGGGTGTCATAAAGTGGAACAGACTTGTAGTTGTACATGTATCCTGCAAGCTCACTCATCGTCTATGAAAAACATGCATACATGTCCATAGGAGGTGATTTTATGTTAAGAGAAAATTCTTTATCTGTGCGAGAAACTGGAGACAGGACAGGATAGTCGTCAAAGGAAAGAGAGATTCTAGATCTTCTTTCTTTTTTTTGTGTTCACCCACCCATTCAGCTCGATTGATAGAAAAGATGCCGAAATTCGACTGGCTGGTCACTCCCAGGTGGGCCAGGCCTGCCCCAAAATGCGTCACGCGCTCCTGCACGCGAGTATAGGACATCCATTCGTATGGTTTAGCGACACCATCAACAATAGGGCGCGTTCCCAAAAAGGAGCCACCCTCTAATGACCAAGCATGGTAACCATACAACCAAAGTAAATGACAATACCAACGTTATTAGATTATGCTACAAAAGGACAGATGTTGAATATTGTTGCCCATTGAAAGGTATACAAAGCAAATCACTGCGCCCACAATAACCTAAAAACTCAGCAATTCAGCAGTTTTAAGCATTGAAGTAAAACCATGAAATATTTATTTTAAACTTAGATAGGTACCTGAACGCTGGACGCCTTCCAGGAAATTCTCATAAAGAGTAGTGATCTGGTTGGTGCCTTTGTGAGACTGATAGCTCTGAACTAACTTTTCAGGACAGAGGATGCTACGTCTGGGCTTTCCTTCCCCAGGAATATCCGGACTGTTTGGCACCTCGGCGGAGTACATCTGTGCAGTCATAGCTATTATGGTAGAGGAAGGATGAATGAGATGAGAGAATTAAGAAAAGAAAAGATTGATGTCGTTTGGAATGAAGAAGCGAATGAAAAGAGTAATAAAATAGCAAAAGGGATTTTGCAGGAAGATTAAGCTTAAATAAAAAAATGAATGAAGAGTAAGGCATGGTGACTTGGCAGTGAACTTTCTTTTTTTGATCGTCGTACTGTATTTCATGTAACTTTCTTACTTATTGATCCCTTCAGAATCTGCTGCTCCCCTACTTGACCTGTTGTGCACTAGGTTCATCTTGCCGTATCAAAAAACCATCTCGAATTACTGCTAATAACTCTCTGCCCGGTCCTAATCGGCTGTGCGTCGCTGTCTTGGGATAGGCCCTTAGAAACCATCTCTACTGCATCTGTGCTGCATAGCACAGCACAGCTGCGTCCCCTGGCGTGTTTACTCAAGGAGATGATGCATCTAGTTCTTTCCTAGTTGATTGTCTGTTCTGGATCTTAGCTCCTCCGATTCCCTCGATAATCTTGAAAAATCTGAAGACCACATTTCTTGGGATTGATGCGGATGACTCGCACATTCTGGTGCTTGTGTCTATATATATGCCAGCGTTGGGAGTATACTATAGCTTCGTCATTGGGATGATGTGCGGAATCCTTTCCAATCGACCTATTGCCACTTGTGATGTAACCGTTGGTTCTGTTCTGTACATGTAAACCCCCACTATGTAGTACAGGTAGAGCGGAGCCGTTGTCGTTCCTCTCTTCCACTCACCAAGGTGTAACTGTCATATTGTCAATTGATAGGCGAAATAAAGATACATTTGACTCCAGGACGAGAGACCAATCAATATTGAGTAAAATTGAGTATCATCCTTGGTGTTGGCCTATCAAATGTCGAACCCAAATTTCTATCAACGCCCACAGCTTATAACTTAACTTGTATATGTATTAACTTCTTTTTAACAAGATATCCCTCCCTAGTTGAATAACGCATATAGCACTGAAAAATATCTAGAGATATCTGACTTTATTGAATCGAATTCTGAGTTGAAACAACATTGTATGCGCATTGTAATACTGAAATATATGTTGGGGAATAACGATTCTTTGACTAGTGTCCGATCCCTTTAGGATCCGCTCCGCGCGGTACTTAGAGAGGCTGACCACGTCTAGATCATGTAGCAGGCCACACTCACTGTGATGCATTGTGTCAAGGTTACCTTTTTTTTTTTTTTTTTTTTTTTTTTTTGAGGCGAGGACTAGCTCTGCTGTGTAGTAAACTGCTCGATTATGCTGCGGAAGCTTTGTTGGTAATAAATCAGACAATTAGACAAATTAGCTAACTAGCTCTTTTTTTTTATGTCACAATTTGTCTTTCTAAACGAACAACGCTATAAAACTGATGAACTATCCAGTCCACAGTCTACTTGATGTCACATCCCCCGGAGAGGATCGCTTCACAGTCGCCATAAGTCTAGTCACATCCCCTCGGTAAGCCCTTCGGATGCCGTGCGACTATTGCCACAGCTTATTACTGTGCTTAACGTCGAAAACATACTGTTACAAGAAAAAATCATCCCATCTTTTCCATGATTGTCAACTGCCGCTTTCCTAACAAGCTCTGCAACAAAGTCTTGTTTATGCGGATGGGCCTAGCGTTGATTCTGGACAGCATCTGTCGCGATGTGCATCCATTGCCGTATCACAAGGACATAAGCCATCTATTGTCATAAATCCATATGCGCTGCTCCAGTTACCTCTTGGTCCAGTGTGTGGCGCACACCTCTGCCTCTGTTTCACACCTCGATCCTTCTCTTTGTCGATGGTTTTCTTATAGCGTGGCTTCCAATCAACTCCGTAGCCTACTGCTCAAGGTAGCCAACGAACTTGGGGATCACTTTACGAGCGATAGATCGCGCTGTGCGGAATACAGGACCCCCTTCGTTGATCAAACTAAGCGGTGCAATACCTCGGTAGAGATCACTGAAGCTCTATTTGAGACCAGGAGCACGATTGATTTTGTTGTCTATGCTTAAAACCGTACGCACTCCACTGATGCATGTGAATGCAGTTCTCGATCAAGGCTGACCCAACTCAGGCTCGTGCTCCTGTGGTTCTTGTTGTATTTGGTGGTGGCTGCGCCACCCCAGCGATCTATGGCGACAGAGCCTCCTCCAAATGTTACTGTGGGTCTCACCAAGGGCACTACAAGTCCATACATGGCTGTTATCTTCGACTTTGACCTCACAGACGCAGTAAATTCGACCTAGGTAAAGAAGGAGTTGTCTAGCTTGCATGACATTGAGGATAGGTAACATAACATGTAGCTTCTTGAGGCTGCAGTATCCTTGGCATTAATGTAAAAAGAGCGCACAGGGCGTTTATTATGGATATGACCCAGCGTTGATCATCACTCCACATCGACAAGGGCACAGATCGCTCTCTTTGTCGTCATTGGGTTATCCATGCTTGGTGCCATCGAATGGTTAACTTTAGTTCTACCTGTTGTAAATAGTAGATGTATCTTTGCTTAAGGGCAAAAAGATAGACATGAGTCAGAACAGGATGGGACAGGACAAAAAGTGTACCAAGAATAACAAAAGAAAATAGAGGCAAATAACCTTGCCAACAAATAGCACCATAGGATGCCAAAAGGAATGAAGGGAGCTTTATAGGTGAGCTCACAAACTAAGTTACCCAAAGTCAAAGGCTTGCTGTAAAAAGGGTAAGATGTGAAAACTGAAGACTTTATTGAGAGAGAAGTTTCTTTAGCATTTATAGTACTAGCCTACTGGCCTGGCTGTGGTAGTTTCTAGGCGAGGCCTCAAGAGGTGGATTCGCCTTCGACTATTAAAACGCTTTACACAAAGAATCATCCTAACCATGGATCAACAAAATATCCCGATTAGTGGATACTGAATGAAATGAAAATTAAATAATTAATCTCTAAACGAACAACGCTATAAAACTAAAGAACTATCTAGTCTCGAATGTACTCAATGCCTCATCCTCCGAAGAAGATTGCTTTACAGTCGCCACCCTTCGGATGCCGCGCAACTATTGTCACGGCTCGTCACCGTGTTTAATTTTTTTTTTTTTTTTTTTTTTTTTTTTGATAACAAGGACCCTCAGGGCTTTTCGCTCGTTACCATGTTTAATGTCGAAACATACACTCAGTAGTCAACCACTGCATATCAGTATAGTGTGGATGACTGCATGTGATAATAATCACAATATGTAGCTTCAAATCCCAGGCTTCAACTGACGTGGAAAGATCCGTCAATGATCCCAAAGATTGACAGAAAATGAACAAAATGATAATAAAAAATTGGACGAAGTGCCAAAAGATAAATTCATAAATGGACAAAGTGCCAAAGGAGGATAATCTGACAAATAGATCACTAAAGGATCATAAATCAACAATGATAGTCCTGGAGAATGCTGCAAAATAGCATCAAAAGTGAAAAGAGGATCTTTAATAAATACTGATAAGAACGAGCTTGACTTAGTAAAACTACAAATAATAATAAAAGTCGCTCACCTGCAAAATAGCATCAAAAGTGAAAAGAGGGATGCTGTTTTGCAAAGAAGCCAAAGTGATTTAAATACTAGGATTGATAAAGGAAATAATGATAAAAGTACTGAATGATGATGGAAATAATGAAGAAGAGGATACGTAAATAGCAGATTTACGACACAACTGTCGTAGAGCATCTACTAGTGATCTCTGGAAACTAGTAGGTAATGATGAAAAATGAAGAATTGGGCAAGAGCCTCGTGGTTTTGGGATACGATAGTGATCCTAAGTAATGCTTTGAATGATTTTGAGGATGCTGCAAAAGGGCATCGATAATAAGAAGAGAGATCTTTAATAACTGCTAATTTTCTGAGAATTCATAATGAGAATAATGAAGATAAACTCACCTGCAAAAGGGCATCGATAATAAGAAGAGAGATCTTTAATAACTGCTAATTTTCTGAGAATTCATAATGAGAATAATGAAGATAAACTCACCTGCAAAAGGGCATCGATAATAAGAAGAGAGATGCCGTTTTTGCAGTGAAGGAAAAAGCTACTTAAATACTATTTAAAAATGGTAGAAAATAGGATGATAGGAAATAAATAAATTGAAAGGAAATACATATTTAGGTAAATGAATAGGCGTCATTTACGACACAACGAAGAAAGGTTTCGTGTTGTAATTGGTTAGCAATCAAGACTCTGAATCTTGCAATCCGAGTTCGAGTCTCGGCGAGACCTCTTCTTTTGTATTTTTCGAGAACATGAACTGTGTTGCAGTCAGAATCTTGAGCAAGGATTCAAGTATGATTTAATTGGCATCCCAGGTGCCATATATTATTTGGCAGCCCATACTAAGTATACTAAGGAAAAAGATGAAGTTATTTGCACGGGCCCGTATACCCCTTATTTGTACGGCCCCGTGCAAATAAATTTTAACTTATAATAAAAAAAATTATTTGCACTGCCCCATACACGCCTTATTTACACTGCTCTACCCGTGCAAATAAAAAAAAATTATTTGCATGGGGTCTCTATTTCAGCAACGTGTATCCTACAGATTACCTGATTCTAGCTTTTTATTTCGAAGGAGATAAGCGAAGCAGTGCTCCTATTCGACTGAAACTCTGTCAATTGATATTTATTTTTTAATTTGAAACATCATAATTGACAAAGTTTCAGTTCGAATAGGAGCACTGAAGCGAAGGTCAGTCTAGAGTAGAGGGGAGTCTGGAATTATTACTTTTGGGAGTTGCAGCGCCGTGGGAGCTGTAATACTCATCGCGCCCTGTTGCATATTCCACAGTATGCAATATTATGATTCTACAGATAGGTACGTAGTTACCTGGTATGTCCCTCTAGTAGAAAATGAACAAATACTCTATGGATGTGGTGTGGGCCCATATCTTATTCTCACTTACTTTTCTACTGCTTACTATCTATCTACAAAATATTTTTCACGCTCTATTCCGCTCTACAGTCACTCAAAAGAAAGTTTGGTCAAAGTGGGCTATTTATTATTTTTTATTTTGAATCTCTGACAAACAGCTCATTTGTGACATACAAAAATACTTCATCAACCAAGATGGAAATTTACGTTTTTATTAATGAGGCCAATGTGGATAATCACTGAAGTTTTTGGACAGTACATGCTGATGGAAAACAGCAAGAAATAGGATTGAAGGCAGTGCTTCTCTTCATAACCATTTGAAAATTTTATTTTTTTGACCTAACTTTCTTTCAGGTGGTTGTACAATATGAAGCTAGTCCCTAGACGCAGTGAGCATCTACATACGCTGCTGAGTATGCGGCACTGCGTGCTAAAGACGACTCGAGGTAAGTTCTGGCTATTATTGGTGAAAAATCAACCCTGATTGAACATGGTAACAAACTTGAAATGCAATGAGACAAAAATAAGGATCTTTATCAATGTAACAGAAAAGAGTATTTATGCCTCTTTTCTATCACTATAAGTCACGGCTATGCTATTAAAGTATTTTAGCTATTTAGATATGGGTATGGTAGTATGATTGTTTGAATATCTACCAAAACAAATTACACATTAGAGGTTCCTAATAACTGAACTCATCGTTGTGTGCTTAATAGTGTACGGAAATACTAGAGATGTATGCACGCGCTAAATGAAAGAAAGTATCGGGGAACCATCCACAATCTATAGTAACACGGCCAACAAAAGTTCAAAGTAGAGTGGCATAGTATGTTTCAATTATAGATAAATCATTTGTAATTCTGTATTTAGTCCCAGAGTCGCATAAAGAATGCCAACATCTACTCTGAGCTACATACGAACTTGATAAGATATTCTGGTCAGTATTTGATGCTTAGGCAGAGGCTCTAGATCTAAGCCTGTGTCGTGTTATGGTATTTAGGGCTGAAATAAAGACCCCGTACAAATAAAAAAAAGACCCCCGTGCAATAAGGTGTGTACGGGGCAGTGCAAATAAGAGGTGCACGGCCCCGTACACACCTTATTTACACTGCTCCCCAGGGGAGATTAAGCGCAGGAAGGGTATAGTGGAGGCATGAATGAAGTAGAGAATGGACTCAACGACTAGCTTTAAGATGAACTGTCTCGAATGCTCAAGTGGATGAGCTCATGAGTGCAATGATTGGTAATTAATCCTTACTTTGTGCGGAATTCAGCTAATGACCAATGTGGCAACATTTTGCGTACTTTCTTTTGGGGTATATAGATGGAGAGATGACTAATAATTTAAAAAACATAGAAAAAATCACTTCCTAGCAAATTTTGCCAGATGGACCAAAGAATATTGTGGTATTTATCTTCTGGGTGATGGTCGGAGAAATGTGTTACTTGTGGGGATCCGTAAATCAGATTTGAAATAAGGAAAGACAAGTTCGAGAATAGTAAGTGTGGACAGCATTTAAGAAGTTTGTAAGTGCAATTGATGATGCTTGTTCAGGGAATTCTTTAGACCTACGACCAAGAGCATCTCGCTAACCGTTACCGTCGCGTGTCGAACACTGAATGTAGTTTAACAAGTCTTTTTTTTTTTTTTTTTTTTTTTTTCAGCACTACTAACAAACAACACTTTGATGCGTGGACTATTTTTTCTACCAATAATAAATGCCCATGTATTTTATTAATTAATCCGTCTATTTTATTAATCCGCCCAAATATTTTAGGACTTTTCTTTTTGGTGGTGATAGTAGACTGGTTGCATCCCACTGGAGCGCTCATGTCGTGGAGGGATTCAAGGGATATTACACACAGCACTGACGTGTTTAAGGCAGTGTCTATTTAGGACAAATCCAAGTTTCAAATTAATCGTCTCGTTACTTCCCCTGTTTCATTTTCAGACGCTTGTCGCATTAGCTTAAATAAATACTCCGAGAGACGACAAAAGGACGAAAAGTTAAAAGATTGTTTCCTCAATGCTTTATGTAGCTTTAGAAATAAAAAAGTAGCTAAGCGTCCAGCACGTCGCTACTAGTTCTATATAGTCTCTTTTTTTTCTTTTTTTTTTTTTTTTTTTTTTTTTTACTTGGCGATGGCAGCATAGACGGCCTTGTAGATACGGGCACGGTCTGGGATGGTTTCGAGGCCTCCATTAATGCAACCCTTCTCCCAAGCAACAAAGCTATCTTCGGAGGCACGAAGTCCAGCAGCGACCTTGGCACAACCAGGACCAGCGACGGTCCACCAAGCACCGGGCTCAAAGTCGAGTTTCCTCTTGATCAAGACACCAACGATGGAGTCATTGTTAATGTTGGGATAGCCAGGGAAGAGCTTTTGAACAGGCTTATTGGCGTCAACAAAAATTCGTAGTGAGACCGCAGGCATAATTGAGCGGGCTTTAATTGTTTGATGATCAAATCAGGAAAAAAAGATATTATTGCATAAGTCCTCTAATAACGGTATTGTAATAACTTCTGATTCGAGAGCATTCTTTTTTTTCTTTTTTTTTTTTTTCCTGAATGTTATCACTTACTGCCTTGGGTAGGGTTGACAAGATTGTGGTTGTATTTCAAATAGCCACCCTCATATGCCATGTTAGCGATATAAGCAGCCTGTTGACCCTTGGTCTTAAGCTTATACTTCTTGATAGCAGCATTGATATAAGGGAGGGCATCTTTGCAAGTGATCGCATCGCCGACAGTCTTGGGAGGGCAATTGCCAGCAAAGGCTTTTGTTAGCTGCTTAAGAGTGATGAGGCCACGAGCTGGTTTAGGCTTGGGGGTGGGCTTTTTAGTTGGAGCAGAGGAGACAGTTTCTGAGAGGAAAAGAGTCACAATGAAGGCGACGAGGACCATCAGGACCGAGAAAGAAGAACGTCCACGCATAGTTGAAGTTAAGGTGAATGTAGTAGGAGGGGGTGTTGTGGGGAAGACGAAATGATGAAGTGAAAGAGGTAAAAGAAAAGAGTTGCGTAAAAAAAGGACACTTTTATACTATTTCAAAAAAATCCTTAGCTCTTTACTTAGTTGCTGAAGCATGGCTCATCTTTGCACTGATTTGGATCAGGGTTTATCTCTCCCGTCCCTGTTTGTCCATCAAATGCCATAAATGCCCTCATTTATTTGTGTTATTGTGACACAAGCAATCATGATTGACAAAGGATGAAACGTTAATTCCCTTAATTTGTCACACTGGGGAGTTTACTTACCATTCATTGCCACAAATCATTAAAGAGGCGAGTGCAAGTGGCCCCTACATCTGCCATTCAGTTGTCTGTTAAAGCCACCATCTTTTGCAATCAATGTTAGACTACCAATGGTGGGGGCTTGGGAAATTAGTTGATTGGGTCTATTTTCCCGGAGACTCGGAGACTTACATGTAATAGACTTAAGTATTCAATATAAACATGGATGATAATCACCACACATTGAACTCATATATATAGTCAACCTCGACCTCTCTTTCATGGTCTCAACAATCTATTGAGAAGCATTGAATGTATTGTACTGTTCATGTATAATGTTTATGCGTGTGCATAAAAAATTGCTCGGCGCAGCGACAGAGCGAATTATTAGTTCAATACATTTAAGCGTTGGGAGGACACACAGTCGATCTCCAAATTGTCTTCCTGAAATAGTTCTTTATACATAAATGAATTGTATTGTCCTCGTCATTTGGTCACGAACATATTCTAAAAGCATATAATTATTCGCTGGCTCCGAATTTTGAATAATCCTAAATGAGCTGGTGGCCAAATTCAGCCACCGATTCAATACTCAAACTCCATTCAATGTGGCGCGCTTTCCTGGGACCAATTCAATCAATATATTTTTACAATACGTTCGTGACCAAATGACGAGGACAATATATATTGGTTGATCTTTCTTTTCATGGCCACTGTTTTCCAAGAAGATTATCTGGATACGGAGTTACATCTGGCTTGCTGTGATGGTAAGAGCTACAAAGGGTTTCATTCCTTTCTAGTTTGCCTTTAGACAAAAACTTTTTTTTTGATATGTAGGAGTGAACATGGGCTCATGTATAGATGATGACGGCTATTTATGTCGCAGATACCTTCGGCCTACTCAGTGTATATTTTGAGCAGTCTTTTTGCTCATGCTCAATTAGACTGGCAGAAGTTTGCCCAACGTGAATAAGTGAGATTGAGAGGAGTATTGGACACAAAAATAAACACAAGGAAATGGGTCTGAATGCCTCCATTTCTCGTGTGATCATTTCCAAGTTGAACATAAACAAGGGGAGTTTGAAATAATAGGCGATGAAATCTGACTGGACACCCCTGCACGCGACGGGACATGGTGCGTAGAATACTCCATAGAATATGCGGCCAAAGATACACACACATGCAAAAGAAAAACATACAGAACTTGACGCAGGGGAGTGTTTATTCATCACTTTCTATTTATTTATTGTTTTCAATTGGTTAGCTGCTGTTTTGTAAACCCTCCCAGTCATCTTGCTGCATTCTCCCCAATAAGGACACCAAACCTCGGAGGACACGCGACTTTTGGATAAAAAAGGCAGGGAAATAAACACAAAATAAATGTGGTCATCTGGCGTGATTACTGGGCTTGCTTCCACACACTGCAAATGATATTTTGCTATTCATATTTTCGGTTATGATGTTTGTATATTTTGTTGGGAAATGTAATGCGACCCTGCTGTTGAGCAACGAACAAATGGTCTGATGGATTTGATGCGCCCTCATTTTTGCTCTGTAAGGGTTATGGGCGCTATCCACGATGCTCACCGATCTCCGACTTTAGCGTCAACAATCTCATGTTTCTTTTTTTGAAAGTGATGATGAAAAACCAGATTCTGCGCCGTTTAGACTTGATCGCATGTGCCTTGTGTAATGTTGGTGTCTCCGAGATCCATGGTCAGCAATTAATTCAGTTATTGTTGTTAATAAAAGTAATCAGGATATTCATTTCCAAGAAAGAGACAGTGCCTTTGCTCTCGTTGTTGGCATACCCTTGGGGGTCGTTCTTTTCATTCCACGCCAAGGAGCCTTCAAGATGTCACTTCTTCATCATCGCTTTTAAAACCCCTTTTTATATCTTCACCTTCTCTCCCTTCTCGCTCAGTCTTTTTCTCCCTTTCGCATTACTTCTGTTGTTTGCCGTTATTTTGACCACATCAAAGATCGCACTGGATACCCTTATTTCTGTTACTCACAAACAAAGAGTTATAAAAAAGGCGGTTTCTTTTTTTTCTTTTTTTTTTTCTTGTTTCTCATTTCACATTTGCTTTCCTCTTTCCTCTTTTGGACCTCGCTGTCATCACTGCTATCATTACCCATCACACATATTACAAGCTGCCATCACTAACAGCACCAACATTCAAACGTCCGAGAGCACCTTTGAATTTTCCCGTGCTTCCATTTAGTCTTATTACTCCTTTTATTACCTTTTTTTTTTGTCATTTTTCTTTTCTCCTCATTCTTAGTGTGGACACCTGCATCCTTTCTGCAGCTCCTTATTCCTTTCTACCACAACCTGCAATTCAAAAAGGAATACTTTTTTTTTTTCTTTCTTTCTTTCTTCTTTTCCTTTTTTCTTTCTTTTGTTTCCTCTTGATAACTGTCTGTTACCAACTGCCACTTTATATATATATATATATTTTTTTTTACCTATTTTCCCGTTTGGTTGAAGGGCTCACAGACCCTCCATCTAACACTTCTCTTTTGTTATTCCTGCCCATCTTTACTCCGGGGCAACGTTTTTTTCGTTGCGTTTATATTTACCCAAAATCCTAAAATGGTATTCCTGCAACAGCAGCCAGACAAACTGAACCTGTTATTATGCAGTTGTTGCGGTTATGGCTGCGGCGAATGCAGATCCACAAAGATCAACACGTCGCCGAAGTCCCACATACCCTTTCTGGCCACACCTACCCAGTTTCTCGATGATAGTTTTGTGGATGCTGCGCCCTTGACCATCTCACGCACACATTTGTCCACGAACCTCTCGAGCGCAGAGGAATATTTAGCAAGTATTACATTTGTGAACACAATCTCAGACAATAAACGTCCAAAGAGCAAACGAGTCAGCGGAGCGGATACAAATGTGGTCATAGCTGAGAGCGCAATGGCCATGGAGGATCGGCTCCGTCGTCCTCCTAATTCCGCCAAGAACCGTTTTGATAATGGTTCGACGTCAGACTGCGCGCAGAAACAGTTGAGTATGACCCCTGCTGACGAGGCAGCAGACGATGCCAAGCATTCAGAGTCGACAGCTAAAAACAGTTTCACTTCCAGTCCTAGTCCACCTTCTTCATCATCTTCTTTATCCTCCTTGACTTCCACTTCTTCCTCAACTTCATCCACTTTTTCTTCCTCTTCTCTTCCTGCACTCTCATCCTCGGCTTCGTCAGATTCGTCATCATCATCCTCTTCTGCTGTTTCCTCTCCTCAATCCTCTGTTCCTGGTGCTCATTCTCTACATTGTCATTCTTCGCCTCAGAAGCCACAGGACCAGAACCAGGACCAGCACTTGAACCAAAATTATCCAGCTCCTTCACATAATCATCATTCACGTTACGCGAGCTGTCCACGTCTCTGTATAGTTCTCCCTGATAAGCACTACTCTTCACCACAGCCTGCGTCTGCTAATAATCTCCACAGCCAGCGTCAAAGATCATTGACATCGTCGAAACCATCCTCTCCCATAGTCCTCTATCGTTCAAAGTCTATAGTTGACCTCTCTACCGCTCCTTCGTCTGCCCTCAACATCTCACCTGCTGAGTGTATCTCGCTCTCGCCCTCGACTGCTAGTCCTGCAGACGCTGCTTACTTTGCGACCCGTGCACCCCGTGCTTCCAGCTATAGGCCTGCTGCACTCAAAAAGCGTTCGTCCTTGTTCTTTGCTTCGCTTTCCCCATCTTCTGCTTCACTCTCTCCGCCTGCCTCCACTACTATCGTCAGAAGTCGTCCTAGTACCCCGCCTGCGCAGGAACCCAGTAGAACTTACCAGGCGCCTGACTACCTTACTGCATTTTTTGCAGAGACAACAGCACCGCCTGTCCCTATCCATCCGCCTTCGTCAGCGGTATCTCCCTCAAAGGCGGCGGTCCGTCGTGCATTCGCTTTTGCGAAACAAGACAGGTTTCGCCCATTGACTATTGCTCGCGCAACTATTACTGCATCTGTGTCTGCTCCCACTTCGCCGCTCGCCCGTGATCCGTCATTCCCGCAGTCAGAATCTACTGTGGTCAGTGCATCAACCTCATTGGAATCGTCATTTGACTCCACAAGTACCAGAGCCGACAATAACATTGGCAGCAATCATAACAGTAACAACAGCGGCTCATTACGATCGACCATCAGTCACCCTCACTACCAACACCATTCTCGTCACATTTCGCTTGATCCAAAAAGTCAAGCTTCCTGTGCTACTGGAACTCGATACCGTTCACGACATAACACTTCTTCATCAATTTATCAGCCTATTATGATCCCTCGAAAAGCAAAGCAGGCGGTCCTCTCGCTTGTGACCACCGAGCAACCCAAGTACGGACCGCCTCGATCCACACAATCAACAGTCAACGGCGGAGACTGGGGAGAATCCATGTCTTCAGCCGTAAGCGATGATCACCATCATACGCACGACATTGAGCCCAACTCGGCAAGTTCAGGCCAAGATCCGTGGATGCTGGTTAATGCATCTGGAGTGAGTAATGCCAGCAACGTTAGCCATATAAACAACACAGATTCTCTGCCAGCCAATGTGACAGCCCCCATTTTGGCACGCGATGATCAGATGAGCGCGCTGCCCCCTCTTTTATTATTGGACCGATATGATGATACAGATCCAGTGCTTGAACCGGAGATTGCTCAGCAGGTAGGAATTCCTCCCTTTTTTTAACCGTTTTGTCATGCTGAATATGACACTAAGCAGAAAGAGGTCATATGAAGTTATCCTGGAATGATTTCGCCCTAATTTAACATGAATATCATCTTAACTTGCTAGATTCGCATGCAACTGCCGCGGAAATTGAGAAACGCGACAAAGTGGAACCTCGTCTACTCATCGGATCAGCATGGAATCAGTATGACAACGCTTTTCCACCGCTGTCGTGGCAAGGGTCCTATGGTTATGGCTATCAAGGATAGCACAGGTTGTGTAAGTTTCTTAGCTTACGACGACTGTAAAGATGGTTTCAGTTTTTGATTATGCAAATCATGTTTCTTATTTTAACACTCGCAAATGTTCGTTTTTGTCGCTCTATTACTAGGTCTTTGGTGCGTTCATCACCGAGGAATTAAAGCCAAATCTGTCATACTATGGAACTGGGGAGTGGTATGTAGACTTGTGCAGTATCTCTGTGGTTGACATCAGTTTGATGTATACCATTTGTTAACCCTCTTTTTTTTTTTTTTTTTTTTTGGTTTAGCTTCCTTTGGAGTGTGACAACGTTAGCCAACCTACAAGCGCCATCTTCGCCCTCTCCTCTGGCATCACCTTCGCCTCTGCAGCTTTCCACACCGCAGATTGCCCGTTCACCTTCACCAACACCCAGTAGCAACGCTGAAGGTCGTCACCGTGATCTCTATGCTGCCATGAATGATCGTCTAACCGCTGGAGAAAGACGTTCACCGTCACCACTGTTAATTTCTACGCATCAGCACTTAGAAAATTCGCCATCGAATTCACCATCGCTGCGACCGATAAACTCTGCGCCTGCTTCTTCAATACCAAGTTCTGGGCCGTCTAGCGGCCGGAGGAAACGGAAGCAAAAAGTGGTTCAATTCTGGAAATGGACAGGAAAGAACGATTATATGGTGTTGTCCGAGCCTGGATTTATTGGTCTAGGCGGTGGTGATGGCAAGTTTGGACTTTGGTTACATTCTGACTTAGAGATGGGGCATTCAGCAAAGTGCGCGACATTTGATAACGAGCCTCTCGCTGCTGCCTGCCGACATCCTATCATCATTGGCCCTAATGGCGAACAGCAGCGTGCACCGACGCTGATCAAGCCGTCAGTAGCAGCTGATAGACCATATAGTCGAAGCAGCAGCCCCAAGAATGACAAGGAAGAGTTTTATTGCCAAACCGTTGAGATTTGGGCCATGGCTTTGTAAGACCGCTAAAGTCACAATGAACTACGTACTATCATTATCATATCAACATCGCAAAGAAAAAAAAAAAAAATGCATGCCACCTTTTCAACATTATTTTTAATATTTTGTAGTAACATTAGTATAGCTATTTCATTGTATTTTTCTTATAAATTTGCACCCTTAATTAAAACATACTGATTTTTGTTACGATTGTTAGTACCTTGCTTTCATTGAGGTACAAAAAGAGGGTTAAAGACAGGAGGGTCGAGGTTCTGAAGTACTTTAAGGTCTATCTCAAGTCCGTTCTGTGCATCCTCTGCGATTTTAGGTTGACATATCTGTTTGATGAGCCCCATTGCATCGACAAGACTTTGATCCAGACGAGCTTGAGCATCTTTAAGAGATTCTGAGGAAAGAGCATCAGAATAAGTACGAGAGTTGGCCCAACAGCTCGCAAGAGCCGCTAAAATCTTGCCACGATACCGCGGGATTCTATCATTATTAAAAAAAAAAAAAAAAAAAAAAAAAAAAAAAGTTGTCAAGCAAGCCCCTCTGGAACACCCATAGTTAATCATACTATCTTCTTGGGAGGAGCTTTACCTTGACTTTGAAACTAGCATGATCATATACAAGGCCTTTGAAGATATCCAAGCCAGATCCAAGCTCTTAATGCGTTCCTCAGGAGGTGAGGACGGGAAATAAAGATCCAAAATGCCACAAATGTATGGGATTAATGTTGGGAGGTACTTGATTGTTATAATACCCATGCCATATATTCCCTGGAAACTCTGTTGCGGAATATCCGAATTTGACACTTCGAGGCTGAAAGAACCCTTTTCCGGGTTAGTCCTCTGTTGATTTTGCGTTTTATGTTTTTTCTGATCATTTCTCTGCCGAGAGTATCCATCCTTTGATACAAGCTCTTCCCGAATAAAATCAAATGAAATAATTGGTTGGATCAAAACAGTTGCCCATCGCAACACCACGGTTTTGTATTCTCTGGAAGGGTTCGCTCTACGGAAACTCGCTAACACTGCATGAACAAACAAGTTCTCAACCGTCAGTCCGCCCTTATTCGATTCTTTGAGAGATACTGTATAGGAATCATCAGTGACTGATACGGGCTTGTAAGCTGGCTCAGTGTTCACGAGGATTAAAGTTAAATACGCCCTAAAGGCTGCCGAAATCGCTTCTAATTCCTCACTGTCTCCAATCGGGAGTAAACTATCCTGTTGCTGCTGTTGTGGCGTCAACGTGAGCCCTGCTTGTATAGGGACCAGTAGTGGCTTCAAGGAGCGTTCCAAAACCTGGTCTAAACCTGTACGAGTAAAAATCTTGATCCAAATCTTGGAATCCATTTGTGGTGTCCCTGTTTTTGCTTTTGCCGCGGTTGAAGGCTGCTTCTGATGGTAGTCCTGATCATGATACTGGATTAAGAATCTTGTCAACATATCTAACCCTCTTATTCGGTATTGGTATTGTAATGAGTCTGTCATGGCTAAGATAGGTCCAACAAGGAGCATAAACACCTCATGAATTCGATTCATATCTTGAATCGGCTGCTGGGCGCACCATTCCACAACAGGAACGGATCCCAAAAACGTTTTGTCCCAGCGCCTAGATTGAGATGGCAAGCCGCTTGAGCCGCTCACACAAGTTATTGAAGGGCCTTCATCTTCGCCGGTATCCATAGCCGCCCAGTTTTCCTCTTCATCATTTGGTGTGTCTGTCACAGGAGCGATCAAAATACGGTTTTGGTTGGCAGCGATGGGTTGCCTTGATCGCTGTTGTGAATGGGGAATGAGCAATTCTCTATTTTCACCAGCTGTTATATAGCCATTCCCATTCTTTGAACTTGGTATAACACTGTTATTGCTAATGTCCTCAACCATTCGTCCTGATTCTTTCCTTATTTTATCCTGATGTAAAGTGATTGTAGTTTTGGCACGATCAACTAGTTTTTGTGCTTTGACATGCGTAAAGCAAGGTCTGAGTTCTTTCTCGATAATCTGGATGATATGATCTGAGAAGCTTCCCGGGACCATAACCCTATTGATGCGATGGTTGTTTCTGTCTCCAGATAAAGAATTCGGCTCCGTTGCAGGGATGATAGAACCATCGGAGCTAATGGACCAAGGTGTTTTTTCACGAATGATCGTCAGATTGTTCCAGGCCTCGGTAATTGTTTGCTTTGAGATAGATTTACTCAGCCTATTCCAAAGGTCATTGTCGTTGGTATGAGAGGCACAAGCAATAATTAAGCGATGAATAGTGTATGTATTATCGACCTACACACATAAGCAGTATGAAAAAGTGAGGGTGACAGTAGTTAGTTGCCTAGCTGTTAGCTAAATGTGCCGTTCCGTTTGTAAAAAAAAAAAAAAAAAAAAAGCGCGCCTTACGGTTTGAATCCTCAGTATATAACCGATACATTTCATGATCAATGCCGCTGCCTCTACAAATGCTTTCGCGATTGTCTGACTTGCCGAGGATTCCCTGACGGATTCCACAGATGCAAATACTGACGGTATCCAGAGTTGATCACACATCCAGTGCGTTAGCACCCAATCCTTAGTGCTGGGGATTTCACAGCCTTGGAGATAGATCACCGAATGGTCCATATCTTCCGTAATGTCCACCCATTGCAATATCGTTTCACAAAACTCCGCGAATTGGTATATCTATGTGCAATGTTTGAGGTAGGGTTAGCTTTGTGCTTTATATTAACGTTTTGAAAGCATAATGTAAAATTACAACCATTCATTTGATGATTACCTGCTGAGGACTAGTTAGTTGAGGTGTAGCCAGTACTCCTAATGCTTTAATGACCTGTAAGCCCGTGAACGATTCTGCCAATAGTTTCGAGAGACTTAGATGTCATAAAAAGCGATAAATATTTCGTGTGTTAGGTATATCTGTTGGTCAATCGCTTGAGACTTGCAACATCATTGACTGTGATATGTACCTCGTTTTCTGCACCTCCTCTTGAGTACTCGTCCATATGCTCTTTGCAATCTTAATAACAGTTATAACGCTCTTCATATCCCAAGTGTTGCTTGGTGCTACTTTTATTTCTGTACCATCCGCTTCCTTGAATATGATGCCTGTCAAGGATAGTACACCTGACAAGGTACGTATCCTATCCTTGATTTCGGTCTGGCGTCTTTCGATATCTAACAAGATCTACAAAAGCGTTAATGTTAAGGCAATACTTAAAAGCCATGTCTAGCGTCCCATTTCTTAGTGCCTCTGGCATTTTTACCTGATCTATGAATCCTGGTTGCTGGAAGACCTTTCTAAGAGTGTCGGATCCTTGAAGTGTTTTCACGAGTTGCTCCTGAAATGTTTCCCTTACAAGCGGCCATTCATCCGTCAAACTGCGTGTAATGCAGTCCCATACATCGTCCCAGAGTTGCAGATCATTAGTGCTGTTTTTGGTGTTGCCTAGATCCTCGATTTTAATAATTGTACTCTAAATAGAAATCAATGTTTATTTAAAATCAAACGGTTTAATAGGATCATATACTAAGGAAAGCAATGAGCCTTGGGCAAGGAATGTTTAACAGAGGCCTTTACCAGCTCGGAGACAACGGACAGGAGACCTATGGAGCTTTTTGCGCGGATTTCTGGTCGATCTGAGCGCTGGCTCTCAGATATAAGCACGTTGATATGCTCTACTGGAAGTATTCGAATAAGAGTAACAATAAAAACTAGTGGTTATCCTTTCTGCTACAAGCTCAGGAAGAGTTCGTTCATTATGCTTTAGCCAAGGCACATGTGCTGGCATTCCACGGCACTTTTCTTCTACCTCGAGGATCCATTTCGCTTTTATAAAACATTGCATTGCAGCCAGGCTAAAGATCATTGATGTTCCTTCACATAGTATAACCCTTAAGGATTTTGCCTCATTTTGGCGGCGCAGCACAGAGGCGCAGAAGCGCATCAATACATTTATGCCCTGAACCTGAACGTTGACATCTTGGAAGAAAAAAAGCCATGGTAGACAACATGACCACTGATGCAGTTGCAACCAGTACTTCTGGTAATTCACAATACAGCATTCCAACAAGTCTCCAAAAGCAAGAATGGGCCAAGTAGGATTTTCTAAGCGGACTTTGTACTTTAAGAAAATAATATTTTCTAACTGAACAATCCTTTGTCTAACTTTAAAATTGGGGATAGACAGCAATCCATCCTCAAGCAGAATCTGATTGAGACAGACGACCATCCGGACTGGACACTTGAACTCAGCCCTGATGATACGTATCATATTGAAAGCACAGAGGGATTAAAGTACATTGGCGGTGTTGATCTAAGTTTTATTGTTGGCAACAATGAAGACGCTATTGCATCCTTGATTGTTCTTTCATATCCTGAACTTGAAGTAAGTTTTGAAAAGAATCAGGACAGAAATGATTGGCGTCAACCGTTCAAGTTACCTAAAAAAGTCTGATTTCTCTCTTTTTATTTTGAACTCACAGGTTGTGTATGAGGATCATGCAAAAGTCAAATTAACGCTTCCATACATAGCAGGTTACCTCGCTTTCCGTGAAGTAGAGCCTCTTCTGTCTTTGATCCAAACTCTTCGTAGTAACCATCCAGAACTGGTGCCTCAAATCATTTTGGTTGATGGCTGTGGTATCCTTCATCCCCGTGGTTTCGGTCTAGCCTCTCATTTGGGCCTTGTCTCTCATATCCCAACTATTGGCTGTTCCAAAAACTACCTTGTCATCGATAATGATGGCCCCATCCTGGGGGCTCAACCGACAGCGCTAAAGTACATTTTCAGGGATTATGTCCAGCAACATCCAGAAACTAAGGGCATGATGTTGTTGAAGGGTACAGTCACAGGGAAGACATATGGAGCAGCTCTTTCTGCAGCTACTCGTGCAAATGACAAAAAGATTATAGAAGCGGGAATACAGAATCCTATTTTTGTGTCTATTGGACATAAAGTCTCATTAGCGACCGCAGTAGCCTTGGTCAGACAGTGTTCGTTATATAGAGTACCAGAGCCGATTCGACAAGCGGATCTGAAGAGTCGGACTGAAATCAAAAAATGGATTCGCCAGCAAAATGAAGATAAGCAAGCAGACAATCTTCAATAGACTAGATCGCATGTCTTCAATACAAATATCATCTGTCCAAGTCAAAATAGCTTTCTCCATTACTCCTTAGCATGTGTAAGAACTGTCAAAAAGCGCGTATATTTGTCAAGGACATAGAAGTGCCCACTAACACTACAGATGAAAATGTGCTGATTTGTGTCGCCTCTATCTCATCTCAGAGCCATGACTGTGGTAAGCACATCAGCCTCTTGTCTTGAGTAAGCATTTGAAAGATCCAAATTTGGAAAAATATAATCTCTTTCTTCTTTCACAAAAAAGAATTAAAATTCTCATCAACATCCCAACTATGATCTCCAAGATTGTCCACTACACTGCCGACGCTGTCCTTGTTTCTGCTGTACTTGCGGGCATCAAGCGTAGCACTGTAAGGAGGGACGGAAGGAAGAATGCTTATGCTTATGTTTATGTTTATGCTCATGCTCAAAAAAAGATAAAGAAAAGAAAGTTGACAACCTCATTTCTTGGACTTCAGGAAAGGAGCTTAACTGATGAAGGATGGTTCAGATCCAGATGCCATTGATTCGTTTGCTCATTCATATACTTATTTCTCTTTTTTTTTTTCTTCCTTCTTTTCTATCATTCCAGGGTTTGAGGTAAGGTATTTTTTTTATAACAGTCTTTTTTTTGTGAATTGAGCTAGATAATTGTGCAATCAAGGAGGTTTCATTCATAGCAATTGCATTGACATAATATATTTGATATACAACAGTGTCGCCACACACAAGATTGAGAGCGAGGATGTTCGTACCTACGTTGATAAATACCTGACAGTTGGCGAGTGGGTCGTTGACCAAGGAGCTGCATTTTTGTCCACTTCTCAGTACTTTGAGCGCAAGCGGTAGAAAAGCGAAATAGATACAAGACTAAATGTAATTTTTCAATGAGATAAAGAACTTTTTTTTTTTCTTCGTGTGCTTGTATTGGATGGAAAGAATGGTATATTCTGGGTACCTGTGACCTTGTCCTGTTAAGCTTTCCTATTAAGATTCTACCCAGTTCTTGATCCTTGAATACATTAAGTTAGAGATATATATTCGCTACCTACCACTCTCCTGTAGCAGCAAACACGACTCTTGCACGTTCGGAATCCACAAATCGTCAATAAACAATAGAGAATGGCTCCATTAGAAGTAAAGTGTATATAAATATCTCTTTTTTTTCTTTTCTTCGTGCTAAATATTTCAGCGAAAGCATGTTCGCAGTAGTATATGTCAGTTACAAATAAATATTTTGTCTGGCCTCACATCGGGAGGTCTCGTCTTAGAATATCGAGCACAAATTTACTTCTTCGTCAGATCAGGCTATCCCTGTTTAACGTATGGGCCTCCATCGTCTTGCTCAAAGGGCCTCTTAAATTTATTAGAAACTTTGCAAGATCAACTCCTTTTCAACACTGAGTGTTTACTTTGTCACTTTTCCTTGTTCTTTTGACTGAAACAACAGGCATCCCTAAATCCTTTGAAGCTTTCCCGGAGGGGTCTTCCCTGATGAATCTGAAAGGTGCATTTTGGCTAGTTGATTTGTGTAATGGCTTCATATTAGGAGTACGCCAAGATTTTAGAACGTTGCTCGAGCCTGCTGATCTTGCAACTGCTGCCTAACCTGAACCATCTCAAATTGTACTTTATAGGATAGTGAAATAGAATAATAAGTTATTGTTTTAACCGCACGATCTATTCTTCAAAACACGTGAAGCGCTTCACTAAAAGCAAATACATCACTGTTTAAAGGTTCGTTTGCTTCAGCAATCATCAGGAATATTTCTTTTCTTTCTTTCCTTTAATTTATCTGAGGATGAAGTTTTTTTTTTTTTTTTTTTTTTTTATTCTCTGGAACCTGCAGAAAATTCGTGACAGCGCTGGGCCTGCCGAGTGGTGCCACTTTTTTTTTTTTTTTTTTTTTTTTTATAAATCAATCAATCAATAAAAAAAAGGCCACAAAATGACAAAGCAAATATGGCTCCTTTACTTCTGGCACTGAGCTGCAATGACAATGTCAAAGCTAGCCAGAGATGGATTTTCGTCTGAATCTCCCTGGAGCTTGATAGTGAACACGTACGGCGCGCTTCCTTCAACACCGTTAGGAATCTTTACAGCTAGTGTAGGGGTAGCTGCCGAGACCTTGATCGTTGTGGTCAATGCAGGGACAGGTGCTTGGGCTCCGCGCATGGGAACCTTAGGGAGAGTCCAAGCAGGCTTGGCCACAGTAGAGAGTTTCACGTTGGATGGAGTGAGACTTGGGGCATCGGCTCTAGGTGCAAGTTCCGATTTTCTAGGCTCAATAGCAGCAGCAACTAAAGACCCATGTAGGTACTGAGCAGCAGCGGCAGCTAGACCAGACTTGAAAGCTACGCCAGCATCCCACATCATGACACCACCAAAGTTGGAATAGGTACGGATGCTGGCCAAGATTGTTTTAAGCCTGTTGGCATCGATCACGCCAGATCCTGCGGCGTCAGGGCCCCCAGGGACACCGAGGAGAATGCGGACGTTCTTGTTCTGCGAGACAGTCGTGGCCCAATTATTCCATGTGTTAAAATTGAAGTTGCTGGTGCCGAAACTCTGAACACCGCAGTAATTGTTATAGAACTGGACCCAGACCAGATCAAACCAGGACTGCGCCAAAGCTTCCTTAGTCGCTTGATCAGGATAGGGGCATTGAGGAGCGGCAGTGATGTAGAAGCGCTTGGATGAGCTAGCAAACTTTTGACGCAATGTCGCAATGAAAGCTACGTAACCTGCATTCTGACCGGATTCCAAATCTAGGTCAACGCCATCGAGGATTGCATCACCAAATGGGCGTGTTGTGGACGATCCACCTAAAAACATGTCCCAGACCTTTTCAGCAAATGCACGGCCAGATGTGGCATCGGGTAAGGAGTATGAGCCTGAGGCGCCACCAATCGAGATCACTACAGCTTTACCCCTAGCTTGGCAAGCTTTAATGTCACGACCAATCTTGGGACAGTTAAGGAGGTTCGAACCAGGGAACTTATCCCAACAGTGATTTGCAAGGTTCAGCACTGGAGCACCGTTCTGGATCGAAGAGATGAAGGCGACAGCGAAGACATCCACCGTATTATCTTGACAGTAATCAATCAGATCAGTCTCTGTGCCTCCGGTAAATGATACTGAGCTAGCAGATCCCGCGAAAAAGATAGGAGAATGTCACGGTCAGTATATAGGAGCAGAGATTGCCAATTCGGGTCGGTGATATCTTTTATAGCTCGCACTCACTTTTGGCCCCAGTAGTTGACAACATTGTTCTTGGCGAGAGGGTTAAAGGCGGAGACTACATGCTGGGTAGATAGGGTTGCGCCCAAAAGAGCAGAGACTAGGATATGGAGGGGCTTCATTACGCGGAGCAAAACTTGATCTATATCTGAGGACTTAAAGGACTACTTGAGGTTTGGCTGAAACACCGGAAAGGCAAGGATCGTTAATTATGGAAGGCTAAAGTATGTCAATAAAGGAATGGGTCATAAAATGCGTGGTGAAATAGAAAGAGAAGACGATCGAGGCAATAAGGGCCTGGAGCTGGGTTTTTATACCATGTCCTTGGAGCCTTTCAACTCCCTGACTTTTTCTCCCTCTTTAGATTGTACAAGTGCTGAGAATGAATAAATGAGTCTCCCTGGAGGAAGGAGGATAGCAGCACGGAGTAGGATAAGTGAAATAACATTGATAGTAAGAACAAGGCTCATGTTTTGATGCCTTTAATCGATTCTGAAAGCGCTTTGCATGCAAAAACTCTCTTTAACAGTTTAACAGAGCCTTAATTCCTTAATTATTTCACTTTAATCCATCTTGGGTGCCCTATCTTTTTTTGTCCAATGAAGAGTCATCCTTATTTTCGGCGTAATGCTTCAGCACCAAGTGATGTTCATTGGTTTGTGAAACCATTGAAGTAATGAGCAGATGAAATGCATTATAGGCTCGTCCAGGACTCCTAGTACTATGCTGTTATGTTGGCGCCAAATCTCTGGTAAGTTCATAGGGATTGATTAATCCTTAAGCCATATTTTCTACAAGACCCGGAGCTTTGCTTTTATCATTTTCAGGAGCATTTCAAGCCAATTGTTTGTTTAGCTTCATCGTCCTGTGCGTTAGGCGTGGTGTGTGTGCCTGAAAAAAAGAAAAAAGTGAAGGGGAAAGAGAATCTAACCTCGTGCGCATCTTGCTTTAATTGCTCAAAAAATTAAGGAGCGCTCGGAATGAAATTCACGGGGACGTACTTTCTAACCCGCAGAGTAAGAGGAAAAAGGGTATGTGTACAACATGAGGAAGTAAAGTCGCTTAGAGATAGCAGTTGAAATCAGTTCTGAATGAGGTCTTCTCAATAAACATGATTTGTGATCCTATGGAGTATATGCTCTTCCGATTAATCTTATCTAATGTTAGTCCTGAGCAAATCAAGGGTTCAACCTGTGTCTGAGCGCCGTTATAGGGGCTCTCAGTCTCCTTCACTCTCAAATTGTTGTAAACAACTCAAGACGTAAAATCTTGGATGAACACAATCGATGTTCTATATTTTTTTCCTCCTTTATAGAGCAAGGAACGGTACGTTTCCAGTGTGCTCTTTGTAACCTTTGTTCTTGTCCTGCAAAAAGAAAGGAAAAGGAGGGAAATGGGAGATAGAAAGTATAACGATGATACTTGTTTTATTGAGTTATCGATCTTAATGGACATTGATCGATAAAACAAAAAAAGTACAAGAGTGTTCATGCCATGCTTTATTCTAATATCAAGAGATCTTTATCTAGTAAAAACTGGTAGGATGGATGCAAATGAAAATTTTATGATGCCGTTTTTTTTTTTTCGCTTTTTCGCCTTGACAAGAAATCAATTCAAACATGTTCTTCCTTTCTGCCAATTTATTTTTTGCGATCAAGGACCTTCTCCGTTAATTGAATGAGTGCCACCTTGGCCAAGGAGTCTGGCAATTGATTGACAGCGGCAATTGCTTTTTGACAATGACTTTGAGCCAACATACGGGTCTGAGCTAGACCCCGACTCTTCAAAACCAAGTCCCATGCTGTCTCGACATCTCCCTCCTGATCAAAATTCCGTTTGATCAACTTGCCCAACTCAGGATATTCTTCCCATGCAAATAGCACAGGCGCTGTAGCTAGACCAAGCTTCAAATCTGCACCAGCAGGCTTGCCAAACTCATCTGAGCTTACTGTGAAATCTAACATGTCGTCGACAAGCTATTTTGCGTGAAACAAGTATGCGAATGAGCCAAAGAGGGTTGCATAACAACAACAACAACAACAAAAAAGAATAATATATATATTGATCAGGATACTGCACAAATAAAAGAAGCAGTAAGAAATAAAGAGCATAGTCTTTACCTGGAAAGCCATTCCAATGTTTTTGCCATATGTGTAGGCGATGTCACATACTTCATCCGACGCGCCTCCCAGAACCGCAGAGGATCGACAGCTTTTGGAGATCAGACTTGCAGTTTTCATGTAAGTCTTCTCCATGTAGTATTCAAATGTCGTCATCCTACCATTGCCATTTTTACGTTGCCTGCCATTTTCAACCTGCCCGTTGCGAAGCTGCATAAACTCGCCCTCTACCAGATTGGCAATGACAGTTGAAATTAGCTCTGTGACTTCGTGGTTCCTAAGTCTTGCCAATGCAATGGAGGCACGTGCCAGCAAGAAATCACCTCCCAAGACAGCCATCTTGTTGCCGAAACTCTCATTAGCGGAGAGCAGATTTCTACGCTTGTCCGCCATATCGATCACATCATCGTGCAGTAATGAGGCAGTATGAATCATCTCTACAATCTCACCCAGACGACGCTGTGATGGAAGGATAAAGGTCTGATCTGCATCGTTATATTTAGGAGCGTAGACACCGTTACTGATAGTGGCTTTACTGTCGCCAATGCTGCCTAATGTTGGGATAGGAAAGCTGCTCAATTCTGAAATGGGCGTGTCAATCTCCTCATATGAGTCTTTGACGCTGACATGAACTTTTTTGGGAGCTAAAGACGTAGCCTGAGCAATCAGCAAGATGATCAGTGGACGAATATGCTTGCCATCAGCTTGGAAATAGTATTTGCTGACAGTGTCCAGCATGGGATGCCCACTTCCCAAGAGATTCATGATGTTGTGTTTGAGGTCTTTGAGATCATCACCGACCAATTGCTTTGTATCAACAACAGGTCCGCCTCTCTTTTCTACTACCAAGGCTTCTGCTTCCTTGAGGGCTTCATTCCATGTTGTTGCTTTTCCAAAGTCTGCGGCTGGTGTGGAGTACGATCCTGGCGTGAAAGTTGATTTAACAGCATTGGCAACTCGTGTTAGGACGCCAACAGTTGGCGGGTCCTTATCAGCAGCGGTTTGAACAGAGGAGTAGAGGCGTGCTGTGGCAGGGTAATAGAATTGTTGCAATGTGCGCTTTGACAGCATATTCCTTCTGAGCCCAGTCGATGTGTTCCATGCCGTTCGTGAGAGTAGGAGTGATGCCATTCTTATTTGTCTGCTTATCGCTTCTGGAATATGAGGAAAGAAGTGAAAAATTTCGTTCATCTGTTATTTATTTTATTAACCAAGATCCAATGGCAGCAAGGCAATTCAAAGATACAGATGATGCGTAAAGTTTAAAAGAGTACATATCTCTTGTCCTCCTTTCCAAAAAAAAAAGAAAAAAAAGAAAAAAAAAGAAAAAGAAAACTAAAAAGCCTGAGTCTGCGAGTGATTATTTACCAAAAGTGTCAGAGTGATATGAGGTGTTGCTTTGAGGAAAGTTCAAAAAAAAAGAGGAATTACCAAGAATGAAGAAAAATGGAGCAGAGTCGTGCTGAATTGTTGAAATCAAAATGCTTTTAATGAAAAGAGGAAAAGCAACTCACTCAGCAAAAAGGTACCTGTGAAGGAAAAAAGGGGGCAGCGGACGGAAGGGCACGGACGAAGAAGGTAGCGCAGAACATTACCATTACCACATTCAGAATGTTTACCTAGGTCCGATCATATTCACGTGACTATCGGGTCTTTAATCTGTAGGCAATATCCGAGCCACATTGGCTGGTAAACTTATTATAAATTTTGATTATGAATTCCTGATTCCATCACTGCCATCACTGTATAGCCAACTGCAAGCGTGGCGTGGTTTTTCTAATTAGCTTCCCATCATCTCTTCTCATAAAGTTCATCCATCAAAAGCGCTCCAATACCAAGTCCAAATCATGGCTGTACAACAATCACCTAGCTATTTTGGGAAACTTGCGTGTCTCTTTGGATTTCTTCTCTTGTTCCATTCAGGATATTCAACCTTTGAGCGTAAGCGTTGCTCATTAAACAATTGTCCATATATTTATTACGAAGAGAGACTCCATGACCTCTCAACAGAGCCTTGTTATATCTCCATCTGATATATAGCTTGAAATGTTCATTTTTTTATATCTAGACCTGTCATATCTTAAGGCAGTTGATGGACACGAAAGTGGCTTGCCTACTGATGTAAGTCAATCAAAGTAGAGATGGAAAGGAGTCGCGACAGTTATTTTTACTCGAAATAACGCCTTTTTTTTTTTTTTTTTTTTTTTTTTTCCGGGTTAGATCGTAGTTGAACTACTTGTGTCTGTAGCCATTTTTGGGTTGGGCATTGTACTAGTAGCAGACAACTTCAAGGAGATTCTCATGGAGACAGAGATGGCAAAACAGTATGGATATTCCAATGAAATCTCGTTTCTCGTTATAAGCCTTAGAACCTCAAAAATGTACAAAGTGGCTGACCAAGTTATTCTCATTGTTATAATTATAGGTCCATTGAGTCACTTGACGCACGCCCTTCATTTTATTCATTTAATCATCGTGGAAGAGCGGTATTCAGGAATGTCGTTTTGAAGAAATAGGACGAAGGGAGCAGTAGGAAAAGAAAAAAAAAAAAAAAAAAAAAAAAAAACGAGGGCCATGTACGATATCAGAGCTTAGAAGATGGAGACAGCCTATGGCTTTTTATGAGCTCCTATCATACTTTCAATAAATTCTGTACGCGAAAAAAAAAGGACATAAAGTCAGTCAATCAAGACCGCCTTCGATTATGCTTCATTACTATTCTGGCTAGTGTTGTTGTTTTTCAAGATTATTAAAGAGATGATACATATATACGGTGCTAGATCTGCAGGAGAGGGATATTAGTAGTTAGATTTAGCGGCTAAAAGTTTAAAGATGAGATGGGATAATGTACAAGGCCTCAAAAGGTTGATAATTTACAAACAAAAAGGGAGCGTGGCATGGATAAATTATTCAGCCAAGAGTATTGAAGCTCTTACGCGCCAGTGAATGTGGTGGGCGGCTTATTATGGTAGTGGCTGTATGCGTGCTTGAGCCTTGATCCTGATTAGATTCAGTATCCTTTTCATCGACCGTATCTAGTCGACAGGATGGATTCAAGTCCAGAGAACGCATGATCGAGTCTTTGGAGGGTGACCACTGTGTGAAGTCAATGTCTAATCCAGTTGGATTCGTCCGATGAAGCTCAAAGAGATAGGAATCGCTAATGGGACGATTGGGTCGTATGTTTGGTACATGTACCATCGGCGGTCGAGGCACAGAATACACTTCACGCAATCGAGGAGGACCAGTGTTGATATGGTACAGAATGGAGAAGATGAAGTAGGCAAAGATCGTGGGTGTACCTGGGTCCAGATTGAAGACGACACAGAAGAGGACATTCCAGGCAACATGTGTATGGATCAAGGGCCGTGTTATACCATAGATTAGGTAGATTACGGTGTAGAAGCATAGCATTATGGTTCCTGCGTTGCGAATGTTGATGAGCTATTTATGTGAGCGATGGTCGAGAGAAGGAGATAAACGTTGAGATCGACAGATATTAGATTAAGACTTTTTTTTTTTTTTTTTTTTTTTTTTTTGTTAGACACATCAACGATTGGTTTATCCCCATACACTATTAAACGTACTCTGTGACGGACTTTGGCCAAACTGTTGTCCCACAGCTCGCTATCTTCCTTCTCAGCTTCTGAAAGTGGACTCAATGTGAATGTCTGACCACCAGCAATGTCTGCTGTAGGGGAAACACCGACATGAACCAAGGTTAGGTCAGATGGTACTGTATATTCTTCAATTGCCTTTGCCAGTTGATTCAGAGTGAAATAAAAGATAGCTGTAGCAAAAGTAAGGACGGCTCCCAGAGTGGTGAAATGGACTGCAATGGCAATATTGGTTTTCGTATACTGTCGACGTGCAAGAAACGTTCCGGAGCTGATCACACTGGGTAGGTCGAGAAAGAAAGGTCCAAAGAATAGAAAGAAGAAGATGACATTGATTATCCTGGGTCGTGGTACCCTGATTTTCAAGTTATCTCCAGGCACAGACTGTGGATTGTTAAAGCAAGGGCCAAGAAACACTGAAGTAAGCATTAAATATTATTTTTCACTCCCTTGCCTTTTTATTTTAAAAGATAAGGAACTTACAAGTTTCGGCGTTGCATACCATACACCGATCACAAAGCAGGCCCAGCATGGAAAGCTACAACACACTGCTATTTCGGACTAAAAAGCGATGGAAAACAGAAAACCATAATTTAAGTTTGAGCTTTTTTTTTTTTTTTTTTTTTTTTTCTAAAAAAAATTTTATGGCATATCGTCTTAACAACTCACAATCAGTTCCTGAACAGTCGTCGAGTGTGGGAAAGCATCAATGATGACAAGGAAGATGGAAATTGAGCGAACTAGTTTTGAGCAGACCAAAAGAATGTTGATTAATAAAAGAGACTTGGGATGAAAAATATAAAATGTTGCTTTTGTTATTGATCGTTGTCTGGATATCACATTGGGCCTACTCGAAGGTAGGCAGTCTTCATTGATAGGTTTGGAGTGGAGTGTGTGCTAACTATCCTGACCAAATTTTAGATCAAAGTTAGGCCGCCATCAAAGATACATCAGCTTGATCTAGTCGCAGCTGGCGAGGTGTCCAATACCAAGTCATATGATGGAAAGATGGCTCATGTCACACCCGGACCGTCAAGGTTGGCGAAATATTGATTCTGATAATTCTAAAGAAGCCCAAGTAGCTTAAGCTGAGTGACCTTAAAATGAGACAGTCTGAATGGTCGACTGCCAGCCAAAGAGGTTGTTTAGATGCGTGAACGTGTTTATTTTCTGAATGTGTGTGGGCAAAAAAAAAAGAAGAACAAACGTAGGTAGCACGAGATCGCGTGGATCGAGTGATGGGTTTGTGGACTTTGGGTAGATCGGTGTGTTGAGGAACATTTGTGTCTCCTGCCTTTACACAGATACTGCGGGTAATATGCAGTGATATGCGTCTTGAGATAGCCTTTTTTCTCTGTTGTTTGTGAGCGATTGCATGCCTTTCCCAACGGTCAACAAAAGGAAAAATAGCAATGATAACGACAAGCATGCAGCTTATGATGTTCACAAGTTTTTTTTTTGTGATCCCAAAGGGCTCGGACTGTAGCAATAGGACGGGAGTATTGATGCGTCTGTTTGTTTGTCAAACAGTCCACATTTTCATCTTGGTCTTCCTCATTTCCCATGCAGGTTCCCTCCTCTATTCCTTCTTTGTACATCTCTGCCCCTCATCACGCATTTCTCAGCAGCCAATGAGCTGTAGCTTACATCCGAGAATAAAACGTTATGAGGAGGCTTCAAACCCTGTAATCATTTCAGTTTTTGATTCCCCTGCTTAAAAATTGCAACCAGTCAACGGTTTTCTATTAAACCAGGGACGATATTGTTTTTTTTTTTTTTTTTTTTTTTTTTTTACATACCAATAAGACCTGCGATTGAAAGAGCGCAGAAAGATTCGATTGGTTTTGGACGAATGCCTCCGTCCGGATGATGGAAATCAATGATGGGGCCTGGAGGACTGAGCTTATACCGATTACGTGCCCAGAGAATGCCATAGCCCACGACTGCAAGGACAAGATAGCAACACACACATACGATCAGCACGATCTTGATCACCATCCTTTCATGGTCTGTTCTGCACGATGTGATATCAACTCTCCAGTCGCAATCGACCAGCCCATCCGCCACATCCATAGAAATAAATTATATAAAATGTGTTTTCTGTCGAATTGTAGTCGTCCGTTAAGAAAATAATTAAGGATATGTAGAAAAGAAGAGATGGCAGAGATAGAGGAGTGGAGTCTATTTAAAGTAAAAAAAAAAAAAAAAAAAGATGTGCAGAAGAAAGAGGAGAAAGCAAAGTGGAAAGCGTATGTTTTTTTATTTTTTTTTTTTTTGAGATAAGGAACGGAGGCTGCTGGGTGTGGAGCAATAGAAAGTGGATGATTTAGTCCCTTGGCCTCATTGCTTTGATATTGAGAAGGATAGGACGATAAGCAGATTGTGGAGAAGGTGCGGATGAATGAATGAATGTTTGTTTGTCTGTGTGTATTTATGTGTCTCCTGAGAAGAAGAAGGATCGATCAAGAGCAAGAGAATTTGAAAAAGAAGTTTGCTTTCTAATGAACAGGATAGGGGTTAGAAGGCAAAAGGCTCAAAAGAAGTAAAGCAAAGAAAGAAAGAAAGAAAGAAAGAAAGAAAGAAAGAATGAAAGAATGAATGAATGAAGCAAGAAAGAAAAAAGGAAAGGAAGAAAGAATGATTTTTGGGGTGATCCAAAAGAAAAAGTAAACTGTTTGGGCATGCGTTGTTTATTTTACTCTTTGATTAACATTTTGTAAAAGATTATTAGCATTCTTAGCCTATCTTGTGTTCTCCAGTGAACACTAATTGTCTGTTAGTTCCTGTACATGTACACGCGAAAGGTATTCCGGATGATGTTATAGTGGCGAGCAATTGGACAGGGACTTATCAACATTGACAATCAACAGGACAGCTTTTATGGAAAAAAGGAGTTGTCATCCAGAAGAACATTGAATATGAAATAAGAACCACTTTTCCTTTTCTTACACATGTAGCACACGCCGTCGGCTTATTTGTTCTTTCAAAATTTTACTATCCTCAACATAGTCAACAGAGCACCCTGGTTTCATTAAACTTGCAGCACAAATGAAAGAAGTATTTTTTTTTTTTTTTTTCTTTATAAAAAAAAAGAGCGCACTAGCCTCGAAGATTCTTCAAATCATTGAATGAAATGATTTTATCTACTTGTCATTTACGATTGTAACCGCAGAGGTATAGATACTTCTCATGTTTATAAATTATAGACATTATGAGGATAGAAGGTAAGGAAACGAGATGAATAGATGAAGTAAAGTAAAATAAATAATACGTCTTTATTGAATAGTTTGCAGTGCCACCGACATTACTACGACTATGACTGTCATTATGACCGCTTCCAACTTTGGCTGACTAACACAGTCGATCATCAGTCTTCTTTGTCTCACTCTCCCGCCTTTGACTCCCTCCCCTCGGAATGAAAAAGCGTGAGAAGAAACAAGGCAAATGATGTAAAAACATAGCATGTTTTCCTAGCCCTGAAAACAATTATTTTCAGAGACGGAAAACTCTGCTTCAAACCCTTATAGCATCTTCTACAGCTCGTTGTGGAAGTTTGAGTGCTTGCCAGTCCTTGACTCTACCACAAACCTGGCCTTAATCCAAAGCCATGAGCATTGTACCTTCTCATTGGCGGCGAAGGAATCAAGAACTCAATTACAAAAATTCTCCGGCACAGAGTTCTTTGTATGTAACTGAAGGATGATAGACACCCGCCAAAAATCAATCAGTCTTGGCCGATCTCCCATAAATTGGACTGTGGCGTGTGAATCTTTATGTATATACCATATCCAAACCAAGTACGCGAAAGATGATGCTGCGTGACCTCAATAGTTATTGTTTATTTGCTTTGAAGAACAATAAAGTGACCAACTTTAGAGAGATTAGATGGTCGGATGTATTATTTACATTGTCCTCCATCCTTTTTCTTTATATTCGCGTCCGAAGCACCTCCATCTTCGATATACTACGGGCAGCAATCAATGAGTATTCGAGCAACAGAATATCTATTCGGCAGTTTCAAGAGTTAATGTGTTACTAACACTAGGATGTTCAACTTTAGAGCAAAATCACCTTTATTAAGATGTTTAATTCTAGTGTGTTTATGAAAGATATGTGAACTAGTAAACTAGTAAAGTTCAATCATTAAGATGCTTTTCTATGCCCTTAGAGCCAATTCTCAGTCGTGATCTCCTTGGGTGGAAAAGTACCGAATATAAAAAATCATAAGGTCCACCAAAAGTAGTTCATGGCAAAAAAAAAAAAAGTGAGAGTGAGTTTATTCAAATATTCTAACACATTCTTGAAATGATTATGAGGTAGGTACGGAAAAGAACGTTGCATGCTTAAGCCTTAGGAGTTTCGGGTTCAGGAAGAGCAGGCTTGTCATCACGACCAGGTCTATATGTATATAAAATAAGCATTAGTGAAGATTCATATGGAATTAAATCATTCATGATATCTGTCAAAAAGTAAGTCTTTTTTTTTTTTTTTTTTTTTTATAGCATACCCGACTTGCTCCCAAGGAGAAGCAGCGCCCTCAAAGTTACGGAAAGCCTGTGCCAACTCCACGGGCTCAACGATAACACGCTTCTTTTCGTCATCATATCTGACCTCGACATAGCCGGTCAGAGGGAAATCTTTCCTGAGAGGATGACCTTCAAATCCATAGTCGGTCAAGATACGTCTAAGATCAGGGTGTCCAGTGAAAAAGATTCCGTACATGTCCCAAGCCTCACGCTCAAACCAGTTGACGCCGTTGAACAATCCAGTCAGCGAGGGGACAGGCGAGACCTCGTTGGCGTAAGTCTTCACGCGAATGCGAGAGTTATATCGGATTGAAAGGCAGTTGTAAACGACCTCGAATCGGTTAGGACGTGAAGGATAATCAACACCACAGACGTCCATAACCTGTTTGAATTGAGAATTGGTGTGATCGCGCAAAAACTCCATGACAGGCAAGAGTGCATTGGGAGCGACATAGATAGTAAGCTCATCCTTGTAGACAGAGAACTGCTGAATGTATTTGGGGAGGACTGAGGTCAAGTATTTACCGTACTCATGCAGTTCAGTAACAGTGGTTTTGACGCCGGGATTCGCCTTCTCGAAAATCCTTGGTCCTTTAGCTACATTGTGTGTATTACAGGTGGTAAGAGTGGGCAACGTTAGAGCGAAAAGTCGGGGGAGATAAAATAGGATGTAATGAACAATGTGTTGAGTAAAGTAAAAGACATAATTCATGCTTATTTATCTTGAGTGGTTTTTGCCATTGAAAAAGCTTGTCCTTTCTTACCAGTGTGGGCTACAGAGGAAGTATGAAAGGTGGAGCGAGCTATCAAAGTAGTGGGGACCCTGGCAGAGATCGCTATAAAAGCATAGTTGGAAAAAATGGAAAAAGATACGAAAACCGTATTTAAAAATAAAGATGTGGAATTCCAACGCGATATTGTCATTGTTGAAGTTTAGTAGGTGCAAGAGATTTTGCGTGATTTTTTTGAAAACATGTTGATCCAGTGCATGATTTCCGAGAATGTTTTATGTGTGTTTTCGAACGCTTCCTGTCCTTTCTATGATAAATAAGAGATCACTATGTGAAAGTACCTCTTGTAGAAGCGATACGAAGTGCAGCCGGAGCGATGCGCGAGGTCATCATGGTTCTAATATATGTATAAGAAGACAAAGGAGTGGAGAAGGGCCAAAAGAAAAATGGAATAAGAGATGAGAGGAAACTTTTTTTTTCCTGCTCGGGAATTCCGATCTTGCTTACATGCTTTCGTGGAAGGAAGAATTGCAGAAAAGGAAGTACAAGTCCATCTGTGGCTTCTACAGCACGTGATTTGACGCAATGGCAAAGCAACTTCTTGTTTGACGGCCCTACATCGTCTAATGTCGTCTTGTCTGGGTCTGAATGTCCTACTTTACACACATTGGACCATTCTTCTTACGCGCATTCTCCTTACGCCCATTCTTCTTCAGAGTACCTGTCCTTAGTGTTTCTAGTAGAGTTCCATTGAGACCTTATCCTTCACGATCGCTTTATACTTCCTCTGTCCAACTTGCTAAACGCGCGAACGCAACTTCTACTGTCTCTATAGTCATAAGGACGACATTTACTAGAACAAACAAGAGAAAAACTAAGTGTTCGATGGCTGAAAAATCCCTTTCTTCAACTCAGCCCGTCCTCGGAAGGCGTCGAAGCGGATCGATTCAGGATACATCAGGATCTTCTGCGCCTCCTACGAAAAAGGCATTGTTCTCTATCTTTGAAAAGAAGCATGGGCCGTTGCAACCAGCTAGTATTTGTTGGGAAACATACGGGTCAAGCTTCATCGTGGGCAGAGCGTTTGAACCCAAAGCAGGAGCGAAAGTCGCGGCATTTGATTTGGTACGACGTTTGAAACTTAAATTAGTCAGTTTCCATCAAAGATGAAAACAGCCTACTATTATTATTATTGTTTTTATTACTTTCTGAACCACATTAAGGATCACACGCTTATTAAGGTCAATGGAAAGCATAAATGGCCCAAGAATGCGGACGACTGGGTCTGGTGGACGCCTTGTGTTCCGACACAATTGAAAGAAGTGGCAGATGCTGGGTAAGGCTTTTAAATCGGTATTCATATACATAAAGTAGAGTGCTGCTCGATCAATAGCATGAACTGACCTGAGATATATAATTATTAGGTACATACTTGTTGTGATCACTAACCAAAATGGTCTTGATGGAAATGTACAAAAGCAGAATGAGATGCGGAGCAAATTTGAGAAAATCTGTGCTTGCCTGGGTCTGCCCATGTGGGTCCTGATCAGTATGCAAAAGGATCAAAATAGGAAACCTATGACCGGACTGTGGCACTGGCTCGAATCTAGATTTTTAGGAGATGGAGTTGAGATTGGTAAGAGTCTTTCCTGGCTTAGAGCTCAGTAGTAGGTTGACTAAAAAAACAGCAAATCTTGAATACTAATACTTAAATAACTGCTGCTGCTTCGGATCTCAGATTACACTGTTAGCTATTACGTGGGAGATGCCGCAGGGCGCCATGATGGATGGAAGGCTGGGGCCATTAAGGATTTCAACAATACCGACCGGTAAGGCTTTTTTTTTTTGCCCTTTTTTTTCTAGAGGAGCGGAGGATTATATCATGTTAACATTATAGAGCCTAATTGCAACCAAGTTACTAATCGTATCTATCAATACTCTAACAGCAAATTCGCAGCGACGCTCGGTATTCAGTTTCATACACCAGAACACTTCTTTTTGGGCCAAGCTTGTCCGGATAATAAATGGTCATACGGTTCATTTGATCCCAAGGCTTGGCCCAAGGACGGTACTGCCAGTATTTGTTTTAACTATTATATTTTATCGTTATCGTAAAAATGTTTTCTGATACTGATTACTTGCTCCATACTATAGCCCCATTGTTCTCGCCGTCATCGACGCCTCTTCTACCGAATCCGGGGACTGTTGAGGTGATTGTCTTCTGTGGGTACCCTGCATCTGGCAAATCATCCTTTGCGCGCAAGTACATCCTTTCCACTGGACAATATGACTATATAAACCAAGATACACTTAAAACCAAAGAAAAATGCATAAAGGCAACAGAGGAGAGCTTACAAAAGAACAGGGCGGTTGTTGTAGACAACACTAACCCAGATAGGCCTACTCGAGAGTCCTACATCAATTTAGCCAAGAAGTATAATGTGCCCGTTAGATGCTTTTTATTTATGGCAAACAAGGATCTTGCAATGCACAACAATTACTTTAGAGCGTTTCACCGTCCATTGCTTGAAGCTATGAGAAACGTAGAAGACAAAAAGTCGCTGATTACGACCCAAAGCACGGCTACACCTGTGGCGGATTCTTCTACGGAGATGACTTCGTCGAATGACAATGATGGAGGGCAAACACACAACCCCAGTTCAGTAACCGTGACACTAACAAAAGTCAGAGAGGAACCAGTTCGTGAGCGACTACCCGATATGGTCTTTTCATCATACGCAAAGCGATATCAAGAACCAACAGTGGCAGAGGGCTTTTCTGAGATAAAGAAAATCAATTTTATCCCAGATAAGGATATTAAAGATGCTTGGGAGCGATGGTACTTTTAAGTCATAGATGTGTATATTAAATAAATTATAAATAATATATTGCTAAAAATGTGCGTACACTCGCGATGGTAATAGCAGAAATCGCCATTAACGGGCAGGGTTTTTTCCTTTGTCTGAAGAAGAGGTGGAGTGGCGGCTACGCAAGCGATTAAAGAAAGATTTGGAACTGGAACTGCTATGGCGTCTAGAGGTATGGTCCTGTGTCTCCGATGGCACTGCGGTATCTTCTGGCTCGTCATATATTTCAGTCTGGGTAGTCTTCTTCACCCAGACAACCTGCTCACCCGGTCCCGCCTGCGGAATAGGACCTTCGTAGCCAGCTGGAACATCGGTCGAAAGCTCTGACGGCAAGGCTGTGCTGTTTACTATGTCTGGAGCTCTACCTTTGCCCTTACCAGCGCTGATAGAGCTTTGTGTAGCAGGGATGTCTGAACTCTTGACAGAACTACGCCTGTGGAAGACGCCCTTGACTTTGTCAAAGATACTTTCATGGTCACCATCAAGGTAGTGCCTCTCACTCGAGGCAACAGACGTGCTATCTCTCGCCATGTTTTTAGTCTCACCAGCGTGTGTGTTTTTGGATCCAAAACAAACGGAGGACGCTATTTCATGGGAAGCGAGAGCAGGGGCGTCAACACCCATGCCGCAATGCTTACGGTCAAGCGACCCCGCTCTGTCGACATTAATAGCAGAATTACGCACACCTTCGGGCCTATCGTGGTTTGTATTATCAGTTGATCCCGATCCAGCCAAGTTAGCGGTTGGGATGGCAGGGTAATCCACGTTCAATCCAGAGGAATATGAGGCACGACGATGACTCATATGAGCCTCAAACGGGTTTTTGCGAATAGCGGCCACTGCCTCTGGAAGAGTATTCTGGGTCCTATGATGTACATTACCATGGATCACCTTGCTATTGTCTCTAGATGTCTGAATGGGGGCACCTAGCTTTGTACCTTGCGTGAGCGAATCATGGTTATAGTGGGGGACGTGAATAGAGTGGCCGTGATAGTCAGGGTGATGAGGGTCTCGTATTAAGTCATCTTTGCCATCGACATGGAGGCTTCCTCTGCGGTAATTAATGGGATGCTCGGAATGACCCACAATGCGAGGGATATCTACACCGAGTGCAGAATAGTTGGTCTCGGGATTTTCGATATGAGATATCGCTGGCTTATCTACGTGCATGGCGTGATGACGGGCGCTTTCGGGTCCGTGGCCTGTAACATATAGAGTACGAAGAGTTGTATTTCGAGGCTCCATATTAGTGGTAGTGGGCCCCTGTAGGGGGCCATTCTCTGCAGGAGGCCGCTGTTTGTCTTCATTAATGATTACATTAGTACTGTTGGGAGGCGTGCTAGTGCTGGCTGTATTAACTCGGGTCTTCTCATGGCTGTTGAGATCATTGATTCCAGATAAGGGTTCGTCCTGTTACCAAAGACAAATGCAAGGCAAAATAAGCACGTTGGTCATAAAAAACAAAAAAATCGTGCATGAATGATATTCGATGATAAACATACCGAATGTTTTGAGTCTTCCTGCGAGTTGGATGGCCGTATTGCGCCGGAGAAATCCTCATTGTATGGCTTTGTGGTACCTACGGAAGTGGTGGAGACTGTCGCAGGGAGATGTTCAGACTGAACTTTTTCTTTATTGGGCCCGGTCAATGGAAGCGACATCTTGCGGTGTGAAAATTCAAGGCCGTGATGATCCGTGGCTGATATACCCTTTGAACTGCTCAACGACTCTTCGTCTCCGTCACGGATGACTAATTTCCTTGCAGCTTCGACTACTGAGGATGCAGCCGTTGCGGCTGTGTGAGCTGCTGTAGCTGCACCTGCCAGGACTGCTTCAGCGATCGAAGTTCTTCGACCTACATTCGATGTTATAGCATCGGTATCCTTGGTAGTAGAGGCGTTATTAAAGTCTTTGATGGACTCTTTGGCATGATTGTTGGGAGCGATATTGTTGTTTGAAGGATTGTGCACTTGTGAAGGCAAAGGCAAAGGCATTCTGCCGATGATAGGCCCGGCCACATTACTAACGGAGCCATCGTGGACATTATTAGGGACAGCTGTGGCTGCTACCTTCAAAGGTGTAGCACTGGATGAATTTGATTGATATGAAGGCTGGAGAGCAACTTCAGGATGGATGTTGCAGGCATTTTCGCTGTTGTTGATATTCTGTAGTCGCTCTGGCAATTGCTTTGTATTGAGATATGAGTCCGTACTGCTAATCTGATCCATAGCTGTAGTAACAAATCGAATGCGTAGAGTTAGGTTGGAAATGGGTCAAGGCGTTGAGAGAAAGAGAGACTTTTTTCGTTTTATCCTGTGGAGGAAATGAGATCATGGCTTTTTGAGTTTAATATTTTTAGCAATTGCATTATTTCATGTGTTCAGATGATTCCGTTTCACCAAATGTCTCTGTTGCGTTGTTGCGTTCAATGAGAAGAATGTCTGATAATTAAAAGGCCAGCATCAGAGGTATTCATCGTCGAATACCAGATTGGGAATTATGGTAACCACGAACGAGTTGTTTTATACATGATTGTACCTTAAGGTCCGAAAAGGACTTGCTTTAAAACTCAAGATCACATATTTATCATCCATAATACAAAAGCAGAGATGTATACTAGAGTTGGGACGAGGCACTTGGTCAATATGGCATCATCGAATGATATGGAAGAACAGTAACTTAGGCTGCAAATAATTGCGAGTAGAATCCAGTGCACAAGGCTGTTCAGCGGGATTAGTGCTACGTTTGTTTCGATCGTTTTACCTCCACTTAATGTTTAAAGACACGTCCTAATGGACTTTGGGATATAAAAAAATATAATTGGTAATAGAAAAGTTGGTAGAACGAATTGTCATAACCTTGAAATTGATATGAAACCCGGATACCGAGAGATGAACTTGATTGTTGTAGACTTTCAACATGAAGTCTAGGTTACCTGGTAGGATGCTCCAACCTTTCTACCTTGCAAATCTGGCCATGTTTAGTTTAGTAAGGTAAAGCTCTATTCGCATTCACTCAAAAACTGGGATAATCGGTATTCGGGCTCGCCTGCAGATAGTGATGACCTGAAAGTATTATTTCATCAGCAGGGGTAAAGTGGTAAAATTAACTCGTCTCATGTCAAAAATACAAATGCAGTGCAGTGGAAGAGCCGTCTTTACTTTGTGTGGCATCATCATCCTTTCTTACTTTTTCACCCACCATCCACCATCCATTCAACTTTCCCTCTCATCAATACTACTAACTTTATTGGGTTTCCATCTTTCATACTTATTTTACATATTTGATTTCCCATCCCTTTTATTCTCGTTCTTTTTCTCTCATTCCCACACAACATCTCGTTCTTACAATGACGGTCAGCCTCGAAACCGCTAGGCCTATTGAGGAAGCCCCAAAGCAACTCTCAGTTGACACTGCCTCCACCAACCCCTCTTCTTCGCCTGACCATATAATATCGCCGGTATCCTCTCCCCTCTCTAATAAGGCTGTTGCCCTGGCTGTCGACAAATTCAAGGGCTTGAAGACAAAGTCGCCAACACGCACAGAGTTTCCTTCTATTCACCAGCCTGAGCAACATTTTCAATCTCATCATGAAGAGACGGACCATCCTTCACCTGTGGATAATAATGACTTTGATATCAAAAGGCCAACGACGTGGTTTCTTAATGGATACCGAAAGAGTCTTGACCAACGAAATTCGGGTGTCCCGACTAATTCTCCCACTGCAGGTGTTGAAGCTTTGACAGACGAAGACAGGCGTATGATGCATATCAAGACCGTATTCAACAAACTATTCAAACGCAAGAAAGACAAGAAGGGCAAAGACACTGACCAGATTGCTCTTGACGCCGAAGAATTACAACTCTGGAGGAATATCGCCCCCTTGGTTCACCAACCGTCTGCAGTTTTCATGGGACTCTCGTTTATTAGTGAAGACAAAGGAAGTGCATTGAGTGGCAGGAGCGATGTTGATTGGAATATGAATGTGATTCTTGCCCTTGTAAAGGTAAACCAGCAACCAGGCTATCGGTGTAGGGAATAAAATGTCGATGATCTCCTTGGTTGTGACAATTGTTGAATTGCTTTTCCACAGCCCATACGCCCATTCAATAAAAAAAGGCCATGATCTTTCATATCGGTTTGAAAGTGTGGAAATGAATAGGGAGCAAAAGGACGGAGAGCGGTAGAAGCCTTGCGATCTCGAGCTACGAGAAGCCGGCTGTCCTCTATTGTCTTTGTCATTTCGCAATTCGCCCAATGTCTTACAAATGTATTTGTACTCACTTTTAATCTTTTTGGTCATTAGGTCGTCATTCTACCATATACTTATACTTCCAAGGATACCAAAATTAGAAACAGGGAAAAGAAGGAAAGTAAGGCGCCTAAGGACAAGCTTTCTGCCAAAGAAAAAGAGGAGAAAGATGCTAAAGAACAGAAACGGTTCCTAGTCATCAAGGTTCAATACGGAGACTTTTTACCCAGCTGGTTGATTGAGCGCAGCCTTGACGATTTTGTAAATCTTTACGAATCATATCACCCTCCAATCCCAGAGACTCCTCTCTTATCTAAATCAATTAAAGTACCTAAACCCCCAGCTTGTATCCGCTCTCGCTTCAGAATTAGTAGCAGTAGCAGCAAATCTGCAGCGGCTTTGGCGGACGGCACGGATGCGGTTGATCCAGCGGATGGAAGCGATCCGACAGCTGAGGATGGGGGTTTAGTTGATGCTTTTGATCCAAAGTCGGCACGCAAATTGACACGTGAGCTGCAGACATTCCTTCAAGACATGATCCGATATGCAATGTATCTTCCAGATGCGGAGCGAATGTGTAATTTCTTGGAGCTTTCTGCATTGACCTTGGCCCATGTCCCTGATGGAGGTTATCAAGGCAAAGAGGGTTACTTAACCGTATTGAAGCAAAAGCGACTGATGGATGAAGGCCCATTGACTAATGCCGTCAAGAAAGTCTACCGTAAACCTGTTTCAAAGTATTTTGTAGTCCGCGATTCGTTCATTATCGTTGCTATGAGCCATAAGAATGTAAGAAGACGATGGTCCTTCATAACTATTTTTAAAACAATTGGATGCCTTTCTTTTTCTTTTTTAATTCTTTTAATTAACTCTACCATTTCTTTCTTCTTATTCTCGATCCATCGTCGCTCAGACTGAGATTCAGGACGTCATTTTACTAGACTCATCTTTTAAGGCCGCTAAATCTCCTCGCCATCTCCATGCACCCCACACGTTCGATATCATTAACTCGGAACTAAAGTTTCATGTCATGGCTAAATCTGACCATCGACGACGTCAGTTCATTGATAGTATCCGTAAGATGCCGGCTCTGTGGAAAGAACCAAAGCGATTTAACAGTTTTGCGCCTGTACGGAAGAACGTCAGTGCTCAGTGGTTGGTAGATGGCCGTGATTACTTTTGGAATGTCAGTAAGGCGCTTGACATGGCCAGAGAAAGCATCTACATTCTGGACTGGATGCTCTCACCCGAAATTCTGCTCCGTCGTCTGCAGCATGATGGAATGGAGTGGTGTCTGAAGGACCTCCTGGGTCGTAAGGCCAAGGAAGGTGTGAAGATTTACATTGTCATGTATAGTGAGGTAGACGCGGCATTACATCTTGCCTCGCTACGAGCCAAGAGACTCCTTCGCAAGATATGTCCGGAGAACATTCTAATTCAGCGTCATGGACCTAATTTAAAGACTGCTTGGTGGGCACATCATGAAAAACTTATTGTAGTCGATAACATGATCGCTTTTATCGGAGGACTTGATTTATGCTTCGGTCGTTGGGATACTGCAGAACACACACTGACTGACCTCAATGAAAGTGAGCTAGGACACTGCTGGCCAGGCCAAGACTATTCTAATCCTCGCATCAAGGATTTTTGTGATCTCTCAAAGCCTGAAGTGGATATGATTGATCGCTCTGAGAACCCCCGCATGCCCTGGCACGATGTTGGTCTTCAGATATTAGGTCAGCCCGCTAGAGATGTGGCTCGTCATTTTATACAACGATGGAACTTTTTGTGCAGGACCAAGCCCAAGCAAAAGAAGATTCCTTTCTTGTTGCCAAAACCAGACATTCCATTGTCAAAACTTAAGGAGATGGGTTTGGAGGGTACATGTGAACTCCAAATCTTACGGTCTGTGTCATCCTGGTCCATGGGCCTCAAAGATCCTGAGTGTAGTATTTTGACTGCGTATATTGCTGCCATTGAGCGTGCAGAGCACTTTATTTACATTGGTAAGTCTATAGAATGGGTATATGCGCATTCGCAGTTTTGTTCTCATACCGTTTGTCACTGTGACTAATATAATACACCATTTTTGCCGTGTTTTCATACTTTTTTTTTTTTTTTTTTTTTTTTTTAAAAAAAAAAAGAGAACCAATTCTTTATCACTTCAACTAATGTTAACAAGACCATTGTCCATAACGGTATCGGTCGCGCTTTAACAGACAGGATCATCAGGGCTCATAAGGCTAACGAAAAGTTCCGTGTGATCGTGGTGCTACCTCTTGTGCCTGGATTTGAAGGGGGTATCAACACTCCTGCAGCTACATCGGTGCGCATGGTTATGTTGAGTATCTATGAGACGATTTGCCACGGCAAGAACTCCATCTACGGGCGTCTAGCCACTGCTGGTGTAGTCAAGCCCCACAAGTACATTTCATTTTATGGGCTTCGAAATTGGGCCAAGATCGGAGAGAAGTTTATTACGGAACAAGTTTATATCCATGCCAAAATGATGATTGTGGACGATCGCATCGCCATCATTGGTTCTGGTGAGTTTTAGTTATTTCTAGTAAAAGTCTTTATACTTTCGATTCTGATTTACTAACAGTACGTATTATATATGAGTGTAGCCAACATTAATGAGCGTTCGATGCTGGGCAATCGTGACTCTGAGATTGCCGCGGTGGTACGAGACTTAGATTACATTGACTCTACTATGAACGGTATTCCATACAAGGTGTCTCGATTTGCACACACGTTGCGCATGAACCTGATGATGGAGCATCTAGGCCTTCCAGTGGGCCATGGCCATGATCATGATCATGACCAAACGGTTAGTCAATTGAGAGATGCGCCGTTTACAGAGCTTGATTTTGTGGACCCGGTGCATCCTGCGTTCTATGACGATATCTGGAAACACTATGCAGAAGCCAACACTGTTATTTTCCGAGAGATGTTCAAATGTATTCCAGATAGTACAGTCAGGTCGTGGTCACAATACATGAAGTTTAATGCAGAATCAAACGTGGATGACCCTCGCATGAAGGAGGAGAGGACGCTCAAAGATAAAGCCATGGACAAGATTTTAGGGCCGGCTATGGCTGAGCATTTCAAGCATACAGGGGATAATAGCGATGAAGAAGACGAGGAAAACGATCTGAACAAAGGAGTAACGAGCAATCTAGGCCGACGTCTTCGCAGCCATGGGGAGAAGCACAGCGTTGCAGACAAGGCAGCTGCTAGAAAGGCGCTGGCAGAAGATGATTCTGGTGATGATGAGGACCCAGTCCGAGATAGAGTCAAGGATGAGTACATTATTCAACATGACTTTTCAAGCGAGGATCTCCGAAAGCAGCGCAAGAGCAATAACAGTAGCCAAAAACGCCATGCAAATAGGCGTGATAACAACAATGATATGCAAAGCTTGTCTCAATCTGCGAAGGAGCTACGCACAAACGAGGAGATGACGCCTCAAGACAAAGCCATTGAAAAGGAGTTAGAGGAGGATGAGCGACTGGTCAGTCACGATAAGCAGAAAGAGAAGATGGGAGAGCAATCTCCTCAGGAGACCGAGGCTTTATCCGCTCAACGCCAGAGGAACGCTGTTAAACGTACTGCCAGTGCAATGGCGAAGTCCAAAGATGTGAGGATGGCGATGGAAAATGATTTGAGCAAAGTGCGGGGTCATCTTGTTGAGTGGCCTCTCGATTTTTTGAGAGATGAGATTGAAAATCACAACTTTTGCTATCCAAAGGATTACAATCATCCCATCGATCTTTACACGTGAAAAAATATACCCAATATTTAACGTATTTGATTAATGGAATAACTTATTCTATGAAGTAATAAAACGATGTCTATGAATGTGATCTCTGCTCTGCGACAGAGATTCGGATCATGTCTTGGACCTCCTTGCAGAGGCCTATAACATTTTCGCTGTTGATGACCTTGGTCTGTTGCATCTTTTTGTCTAGCGTACCTATCAAATCTAAGGTACTCAGCAACTCAATGCCCGAAAAGCTTTCTTCTTTGTATATGAAGTTAGCCACAGATGCTATAAGACGATGCAGAATATCCTCCGAGCCCTCCTTCTCAATGGCATTTACAATAGCACTCAAGCATTCTATGGTCCAATCCCCCTCTAGTCCCTCCAAAAGAAGGCCACCCCCGAAGACAGGCGGATTATGAGAAGCTTCCTTTACGTTCGTAATCTTGTCTCTAGCTTCCGCAATCTTGACTCCGATATTAAACGCCAATGATGCTGCAGTCTGACGGTGCTGATCCACAGAGGACAGAAGCATGTTGACCAACAGATGCTTGAGAGACTCGCGTGTTTTTGAAGAGAGAACATAGGTTCCGAGGAGGGGATCGCCAAAGGCGTTACAGGCAAGCCGAAGCGTAAGAGTGAGAGTAGATTTCGATAGCTCTGCTGATTGAGTTGCAGCAGCATCAAAGGCCTTGACTAATGTCAAGTTTCCATCCTTGGAATACACCTCTGCCACACGATCGTGAATAATCAGCATGCGGATGATATCCAGAACTGGGAATTGATTTTCATAGGGTAATAGTCCGATGATCTTCGTCAATAATGGTTTCCATGTTGCACCCAGCTCTCCTAATGAAGGCTCTGTAGTGTTATTCTTTTTCGCCTCGGCCAGTTTCTTAAGCCAAGCTTGGATCTTGTCCAGCTGCTTGAGCTCTGACTCTGAAAGACCGTTCCCTGAGGTCAAAAGTGATCTAAGCTTTGTAAACGGTGGATCCAAGTTATCGAGTGAGAGGAAAAGAATAGGTGTTCCTGAGAGATTATTGTAATTTTTGAATTCACGACGAGCATGCGGATGAGCTATTATTATGGATTTTCATGGTATAAGAAGAGGAAAAAAAAAAAAAACGAGCATAGATCAGCATCATGTCAAAATGTCAATATGAACTTTTTTTTTTTTTTTTTTTTTTTTTTACCTGGATGAACAGCATAGATCAGTGAGTCGATACTACTCCTCAACTCTGCCTGATTTGCGCCCGAAAACTCTGAATCCTTATCCCCTTTCAAGAAGAACATAAATGTTGGTGTCAATTGAATTCCATACGCTCTTTTAATCTCCTGAGTCATGGGCATACTAACATCCACTTTAACGCCCTTGATCTGACCATTCTTCAATAAGATCATCTCGTCAAAAATGGGAGCAATAGTATGACAAGGAGGGCATGTTGCTGAAGTAAAAAAGACTGCTACTGCGGCGTTATCTCGAATCAAGTTTTGAAGCTGCGTTAAATCTGTTGCGTAAGAGAGGATGGCGGTTCCTGATGCTCCTGCAGATGCAATGTTTGCTGCCAATGCATTAGCAGCAGGAGACCCAGAGGCTGCTGCAGCAACAGCTGCAGCTACAGAAAGAGGAGCTTGTTGATGTCGACTTGGACCAAACATATTTTCAATCATCGGTCTCAAGGACTGTCCAAAGGGGGTGCTCAAAAAGTCTGTTGGAAGAGATGTAATATGAGCTGGAATAGATTTCCCTACTAAAAATTGGCATACATCATTCGAGAAGTTGTTGCAATTGTTATCTACTCGTCATCATAAAAATTACAAGTGTAAAAAACATGAAAGTTATTACTTCATAATCGACTAGAACTTTAACAGTATTATGAAAGATGTTTTTTTTTTTTGCCATGACCCTTTCTTGAAAGAGAGCTTTGAGTACCAAGGAGATGATAGGCATCTGCAGTATAGGTTTGTCGCATCTCATCCATGAACTCCATAAAGACTTCCTGAGGAATCTCGGTTGTGCCCATATCAATACGCTCCATGGGCTGTCCATGATGTGTTGTTCCAGGAATAGCGCTCATGATGCCCTGGCCATAAAAGAATTCATGTCCGAATACAACAACAGAGGTATGATAAATGGCATCTAATTGAAAAGCATGGAAAATTTTGATTAATGTGCGTCAATTTTTTATATTTTATTAAAGAGACATTTGATATATATGAAAAAAAAGGAGAAGAGTAATACCGATCTGTCGACCCATAAGACCCATGGACATGGCTCGAGCCATGCCCTGAGACAGGTCATATACAAAAAGAGTAACTTTCTCGGGCATAGTATAAAGTGATATGACAGTCGAGTGTGGTCTACAATGAGTATGAACGTGCACAAAAAAAAAAAAAAAAAAAAAAAAGAGAAGGGAAATGAGGAGAAAGAGAGAAGGAGAGATTGGATTTTGGAAAAAAAGAAAAGAGGTTCAGTAGGATGCAAAAGCATGGAATGAAATGGAACGAAATGACGACCCGAAAAAGGGAAATAAATAAAAATTGTGCACAGCAAAATGGATACACGTATGCACCCACATGCCTGCCTGTGCATGTCCCGATCGCAAACAAACATTTCGCCCAATCCATAACACAGTTAATTGACTCTACAAAGTAAAGCTCATAGTCTCGAATTGGTATTGTTATATTTAATAATATCAAGCTATCATTGTCATCATACATTTATCGCTATCTTTTGTGGCATCTACCCTTTTTTCTTTTTCTTTTTCTTTTTTTAAGCAGCGCCTTTCTTCTTGCCCTTCTTCGACACTACCTTGAACGAAGTGTCAGATGAACCTCCAGCTCCGGTGCCGGATGTTGTAGCCGTGTTCATCGATGCAGGCGCCCCATTCGGATAAGCATCGGCTTTGCGACGCTTGATGAACTCGTCTGCGAATTGACGGCCATTCATCGACTTGGAGTTGGCATAAATTGATTCCGAAATGATCTCCACTGTCAATGGATCATGATTCAAAGGAAATGTCAACAGCATCTGGATAAAATCTTCCAATACAACATTTTGAAGATCTTTCAAGGCCTGTCGACACCAGCGCAAAAACTCCTCAGAAGGAGGGCGAGGCTCGTTCGAGTTAGAAGAGGTTGGCTTTACGGAAGTCGAGGCACTGACAGTCGGGGCAGCGGCGCGATTAATAGCTGCTGATGAAGAAGGGTTGCTTGAATGTTTAGATCCAACTTCGATCCAACTGTCCGAGTTTCTCGAGGCAGAGTGAGTAGGTGAGTTAAGCGAGGGATTTGAAGCAAAAACAGCCGAGCTGCGTGTCATCAGAGTGGGTTTGGATGCAGTAGCTCCTGAAGAAACTGTACCCCATGCTCCAGCTGAAGCCGGCACAGTAGCAGGCTAAAATCATTTAAAAAAATTTTAGTTGGTATATAAACTTGAAAACAACCGTCACTATCGTTCAAAGAAAGAAAGAAAGAAAAAAAAAAAGTCACCTTGGGGCTGATAGTATCGGCATATCGTCTGCCGATGGATCCGGTACCCGATGCAATAATTGCAGCTAATCCAGTGCTCTGGTTTCCGCTAGGAGTAGCAGAGACATTCGACTGCTGAGTAGCGGCACGAGCACGCTTCAGAGCAGCCTCTTCCTCTTGTTGAATCTCTTTCAAAGTCTTCTTCTTGGGGGTATTTGTGGCACCGCTACTCCAGGCTGGGGCACCAAGCATGCCCTTGGTGAAATCTAAGACATTGCTGCCAGTAGTAGTAACAGTACTTAACTGAGCTTGGCGTTCAGCCTTAGCTTCCTCAGCCTTCTTAGCTTCCATCTCCTGAATCTCGCGCAGTGTAGGGCCGCGTCTCTCTGGTGCATCATCATCAGCATTAATAGGCTTTGCCCAAGGCGCGGGACTGGCTTTGGTAATGCGATGTGTCGACTCTGTACCAGTAGAAAACGACGTTGCCTCGGACGAATTATCTTCGGCATACTCCTGGTCTTGACGTTCTTCTTCCTGATCAGCCTGATGGTGCCATTGTTCTTGCTCAGGCTCAACAGTAGCGACGGGCTCTGGTTCCTCTTCCTTCATGACTTCTTTAACAGGTTTGACAACATGGTTATCCATCTCTTTCTCCTCAACGTCAATTTGTTCGGCTGCGGCATTGCTGGTTTCAATGGACTGCTTTTCTTCTACCGCACTCTCAACAAGCTGCTGTTCCTTTTTATTATTATCATGAATCTCAAGACTTTCAAGGCGTTCTGCAAGAGATTGGGCAGCGGCACTGTCGTGTTGCGAAGGCAAACCATCCTGGGAGATAGGATGGTCATTGGAAACAGCTAAATTATCGTGATGTTGTTGATGTAGGGGTTGTTGTAGAGAGTCCTGCTGGAAGGGTTGGAACTGTTGTTGTTGCATCTGCATCTGAGGTAGCTGTTGCTGCTGTTGCTGAGGTTGCTGTTGCTGTGGTTGAGCTTGCAAGGGGTGAGAAGTCTGACTTCCATCTGTTTTATTAAAGTCAAAGTAGTTGTCAGAACTAGAGGGGATAATCGTAGTTGTCCAGGGACTCGAAGGTTGACCCATGCCCACCCCCATTCCTCCCCAAGGGATCGCAGTGCCTCCAGGTGTAGACGCCGTCTGTGCATGGAGCCCTGCAAATTGAATCTGTTGGTAACGCAGCTGTAACTGACGCTGTTGTGCCTGCTGTCGAGCAAGTAGCGCGGCAAGTGCATGTGGATCATTTCCAAGCTGTTGAGCTGCCATAAACTGTTGTTGATGCAATATTGCCTGCATCTGGCTTTGGCGTTGCAAAAGTTGCATGTACTGCTGCCGCTCAAGCTCTTGACTGTGCAAGCGTTGCTGCTGATCCATGTAATGAGGCCCTCCTAAAGGAGTATGGACGGCAGGCATGCTGGATGCAGATGATCTAGAGAAGGAATCAATACCCCAACCGCCACCTGACTCAACGTTTTGACCTCGACCACCGAAAAAGTTGGAACTCCATCTGGACTCTAACCCAGCTATATTGCCAGAAGGATCTTGGGTTGAATTTAACCCACTTCGTTGTTGATTAAGGCTGCTGGTGCTGCTAAACAGGTCCCCAGACGAATGTTGTTGTTGCTGCTGAAGTTGTTGCTGCATCAGCAGACGATCAACACCAAAGTTAGGGGTGCTGGGTGTTGTGGGAGCGCTCATGCCAACCCATCCAGAGCTCAGATTCATTTGCGATCCAGGTTGGCGAGTTTGAGCAAGCGAGGGAATGGAAGGTCGTAACGAGGTAGCAGAATGCACAGGTTGTTCCTGGCGAATTGCACCTGCTAACAAAAATGGCTTATCTTCTGACCCAACCATCCTGATCAAGGACCCAAGCGGCTCAAATGTTGGATCATGTTCACGCTTGACCAAAAGATCTGGTGTGAAAAAGCCTCCTTTATACCACTCATGCATCTCCTCGCTGGAAAAAGGGCCTTGGATGCTCCCGCTTGGATCTCTGTATAACCATTTGCTCAATTCAATTGGCCCGGATTCGAAGGGAGGTTCAGAAATTGCGGTCGGATTCGAATTTGAGGATTGATTGTTATCAAATGGCGCAAATTCAGCATCCTCTCGCACAGGACCAGTTCCTAAACCCTTGCCCGAGAGCAATGAGCTGGGGAAGAAAATGTCTGCAGACGATTCTTGGGGCTTTTGTTGCTGTGGCGTTGGCGAAGATTGGTCTACCTTGGCAGAGCTAGCTTCAGAAATAGAATCTTGAAGTCGTGAGGAAGAAGTAGTATTGCCTCCTGGTTGCGGTTCCTCTGTGGTCTTTAAACTTATGCTTTGGATATCATCAGAAGGGCGCTTTGAAGTCGAATCCTGTAGTCCTGCTAATGGTTGGAGCTCGTCTCCGTCACCAATGATACGAAAAACACCATTGGCATCGAATGACCCTACGGAGTTGCCGATAGGTGAGTTCCAAAGACCGTCGTCTTCTGGTTCGCGTTCGCGTTCGCGCTCACGTTCAATTTGCTCTGTGCGTCTGAAGGAATGACTACGACCTTCGCTGTTCAAATCTGTAGAATCGAAAAAGCAACATCATGGTTTTTTTTAGAGCTTCCTTTTTTTAAAAGAAATTCAATGGACGAGGTGCGCTAGAAAAATATATCAAACTCTGTTCTTACTTCTTGGCCTTGCACTTGCACCATGGCTCCTAGACTCATAATTGCGAGAATGGGAAGTCGCTTTATCAGACCGATCATAGCGACCACTGGAATGCTCACCTGCGTTAGAGAAGCTCTCGCGCCGTTGTCCGGGTGTTCTTTCTTGACCACCCTCTGCTGGTTGCGCGGTCCGGCGTGCCACTTCGCTGTTCACACTTCCAGCAAGAAGCTAATGCAGATCATAACAGCAAAAATGGGTTCTGTAAGCCTAACAAATTACATGTCATATAATAGAGCCCCAAATTAGAAAGAATTAACTTAATCCATTGTTTACCTTAATCTCCTGTTCAGAAAATGGAAGTGAGGACATTGGTGGTAAGGACTCTTCGCTGGTCATGTACTCGTGCCTTTCAAATTCGATTGGAAGTCCCGTGGGACGATACAGTGACAACATCAATTCCTTTGAATACTTAAAAGGGTTCAAAGAGTCCGCTGCGAAGGCACCAGTATTTGCGCCGCTATTGCTGCCACTTGCACCATCAAGCACGGTGGCCTCGAGGGCGGAACTCTGACTAGAGGATCCGTTTTGAGAGCGGACGTTGCTAGCAGCAATGGATGAATAACTAAAGACAGGCATAGCAGCCGTAGAAGTGGTGGCGGGCGTAGACTGATTCCAGTCCTGAAGAGGAGAAGCAGGAGGAGAAGATGCCTTAGCACTCTGGTCGGTGTTAGATTGGTTCGACTTTGGAAAGCGTCTCATCCTACGAGCGAGAACATGTGGGGATTAGCACCAGGAGATTCCATGATCGAAATGGATGCATTTAGCACGTGTGGATCAATGCCGTCAAAAGAGTCGCGTGTGTACCATTCAGGACCAAAGTTCATTGTATTAGAAGCCATGGTTGTTCAATTACTTGTTAGAGGGGATATGTGTATGTTTCTTGTTACTTTTTGCCGTTTGCCGAGTTGCGAATGCAAATTTAGCCAAAAGCAATACGTTTTCTGCGTGCTTTTCTGAAGGAGGATTTATATATTTCTTCTCGACGAAGGATGATTCAATGGCAGGATTGAAGCAGAAGGAAAAAGAAAAAAGAAGAGAAAAGATTTCAGAAAAGCAACGTTTGTTATTGTGTTTGTATTTTACGAAACCGAGTCAAGTGACGTCTTGAGGCTCCTTTTTTTGGTTCCTCAATCAACCTCATCTCACTTCCATTTACCTTCCATGTCTCTGCAGTCAAGATGTCGCGGGCAGGGATGATACGGAAAACTGCAGACACTGCCGCAAGAACTCTCGATGCTCCAGTGAATTCACAAAGCAGCTCGCCTTTATTGGCTCCACATTCTGACAGTCGAGATCTACGAATGGATCAGTCAACAGCTTTAGCCGGGAATACATCTGATCAAGGCTATCAACAGGACCAGGACCGGGAGCGTGAAGACCGAGAGCACACTGAAGCGCGGCGATTGAAACTAGCCTCAATCATTCTTTTCATCTGCATCATCTCATTTGTGCTCCAAACAGTACGTGTCAAATCCTGTTGAATCGCAGCTTTTTTTTTTATGAATGCTTCTGGAAGTCTATGATAACATTTCTCATCTCACAATTGCGCATAATGAATAGGAGCTTACAAAATTTGTGCAAACATCCATGGGCTATCAGAAGCCATACTTTATCCTTTATATATCCCATTCCTTTTGGGCTATTGCTCTCCCACTACAGTTCATATATTCTACCTATCTTTCACCCGGCGCTCCAGGATCGCATCTGACATTGCAAGAGCGCATCAGCTATTTTGCGAAACTAGTACGGCATTCCACACACGATCTCTATCACAGGAAGTCTGAGTACATTTTAGTTGGACAAGCAACAGTAACAGACCCTACAATACCGTCATCAACACCCTTTTCTCATGCAGGGCAAGAGGCAAAGAGTTTATGGAAATACCTCTTTTATGTCACATTTGGGATGACTATTCTATTCATGGTTCCTTCGTATCTGTGGTACTCATGTGTGGCTATGACCTCAATGGCGAATTTAACTGCTATCTACAACACAGCCTGTTTCTTTGCCTACTTGTTCTCAGTCGTGCTATTGAATGAAAAGATTGTGGTAAACAAAGTTATTGCTGTCATCCTTTCCTTGCTTGGAGTCGCCATTATCAGCTTAACCGTTGAGGATACCACTGTCCCAGATGACCAAGGAAAAAAACATTCGACTGTCGCCCTTGTGGGAGATTTTCTAGCTCTTATTGGTGCAGCTCTCTATGGCTTTGAAGAGGTACATTCATAAAAATAGAAGATAGCGATGATGACAAGGCGCCGCATACTAATTTGTCGTTTCTATATCCCATATATCGACTAGGTTGTCTACAAAAAATACGCATCCTCAAAGATTCAACCAGTTGTTTTTGCTAATACATTGACAGGGCTAATGGGTGTAGTCACATGCACAATGCTTTGGATACCAATCCCTCTACTCCACTGGATGGGCCATGAAGTTTTCGAGTTGCCGACACTGAACGAATTTTCATCAATTCTAATGATTGCAACACTGGGACTAGTTTACAATGGTTGCTTTATGATTGTGGTCTCGCAGACAAGTCCGGTGTTTGCTGCAGTAGGTGTGATGGCTACAATCCCTTTGGTGGCACTTACAGACTGGTTACTTTTTAATGAGACCATTGGTTGGGGTGATATCGTCGGTGGGTTAAGCATCATTGCAGGATTTGCTATCCTAATGCGCGAGAATCACAAGGCTCTTTAAATTTGTACGTATTATTTGTATGTTTATATTTATTTTTAAAGCATAGAACTTTAGAGGGATAGTTCCGTTATAAACGCCACTAATAAACGCACTCCATAGAAAAAATTAAGGAACTTGTTTGCCACCGTATTTTCAATCTAATCTGTCTTTTTCTGATCCTCTTGGAGCATGAAATGTTCAGGGTAGAATAATGTTTGAGGCAAGCGCATCGTTTTACTTCATTTTCCGTAAGCTGCGATCGTCGTTGTACGGAATTTTGCTAAACATTGCCTCTTTTTAACCATTTAGACTCTTGCACCAAAACTCGGTAGTAAGCCTCCGTTGCAGCAAGGCGCGTTAGGCAACAACAGCAGCGCAAATAATACCGATCAGGGTCGCAGGAACATCAATGCAACACCATCTACAGTTGCAAACCTTCATTCAACTGTAAATAACATTACCATTCCACATGTAGTCAGACCTGGCGATGTTTCGCAGACAGGGCAGGGATCTTCCCTATCACGCCAAACCAACCCTTTTGCTAAAGGATTCATAGGGACACGTTCCACCAACTCACCCTCCACAAAATCTTCTACAGCCCCTATCAATAACACAGTACATCAACCAGTGATTGAGATGGCTAGAAACACCTCTAGCGATCGCAGAAATCAACAAGTTACTATTGCAGTGAAAGGTGGACATGTGTCAAGTGTACAACAGAAACCAGAAAATCTTACCAAGCAGTCTATGGGCTCGAAAACTCCACCTTCAGATCCGGATGCCTCCTTTAATGCTGATGACTTCCTTTTAGGAAGCGATGGATTGGCACTGACAGACCTTATAGATGGTTTGCATGAAAATAAAGATGAGGTATCATTAAGCTGGACACCCACACCTCCTCGGATCCAGAAACCATCACTCTCCGGAACAATACAACCATTGTCGATACCAAAAGGTGACATAGTCCTCCGGTCCTCTACCTCGCCAACAAGTACTGGAGCATCTGTCAGGAGTGCAAACCTCATGGGATCGACTTCTGATATTGTGCCAGAGAAAGAAAATCACACATCAACAGGTTCCTCTTCTACTCACTCACTGTCTTCACCATCAGGATCTGTTGGGCTACCTATTATTAGCGATATTGGCAGACGGACAACATACTCTAATCGATCCAGCACACCACGGGTTTTGGCTCCTAATTCACAGGAGCATCCAAGTAATCGGCCGAACGAGGAAGATACAATTGATCATCGATTAGTACAAAAAAATGAGAGACAGTTAGTCCTTGCTGCCAGGAACCTTCAGGACCACGAACGACGTGGGCTCATGAGGAGCCAAAGCTCGCCATCAACTGGAAGTAATCCTTCTCCTCTTCCTATGCGTAGCAGGCGGAGATTGCCTGGTCCTGCTGGAGAGCTTCCTGTGTTGGTACGTAGCGATTATCCATGGTAGTTTTTAAGGATTTTCATGAAACGCACTCCCAATTATGTTAAGTCCTTGTAACCCATACATGTCGCCTCCAAGTAGAGTGAAGAGGAAAAAAGGCAGTTATTTCAGTCCCGCGGGACACCTTTTAATAAGGAGGCTTCGACGACTGCTGCTGGAAGCATCAGTCCAAATTCTTCGATCAAGAAAAAGATGAAAGCTGCTGTATACAATGGGCCTGTCGATAGTATGTTTACCACTGCCGCGTGGGAACAGATGTTGAGGACTTATGGCCTTCCGGACTATAAACGTAAATATTCTCGGATAAACCTCTATCAAATTAAATTCCAAAATACTGATGTTTCAATACGATCGATCAAGTTGGCCTTTTGACAAATTTTTTATTTTTTTTTCCTGCCATAACACAGCATCAACGCTAGCGAAGTTTAAAGGGATTACACCATTAGTGGAACACACTTTATCAGACATCGAGAACCGCCAAGAACTCCATCGTGGCAAGATATCATCACTTGTAGTCATGATTAAGGATGTGGTGCTTACAGAAATTGATGCGTCAGTGACGCTGCTTGACCCCTCGGGCGAGATGCGAGGTACTGTGCATCGGACAGTCCTTGAACAATACAAAAACAATGAGATCAGAGCAGGCACAGTTTTGGCATTGAAAAATGTAGGTCTTCTAATGGATACCATCGAATTCCTTGGAATAAAAATAGCTATAATAACTTGCATTTTTAATCAACTTTTATAGGTATCTGTATTCTCGCCAACGCCGATATCGCACTACTTGATTATCACTTCCCGAAATATAGTTGGGATGTTTTTACCGCAGCCAGCCGCAATCATCCTTTCACAAGGCTCAACACAGGAACGGTTTTCACAGAAGAGAAAAAGAGGGCAAGGCAGTCAGGAATCCGATAGCAGTAGGGGCTCTTGGGTTGGAAGCTCTCCGGGGATCCTCAATGGCAATGGTATTTCGCAGTCGTTGGGAGGGAAAAATGACACGCAGCAACCATTGACTATAAACTCTTCATCAGCATCGAATGCCTCGAATCTGTCAAGTGCCTCTCTTTCACTCCAAATATCTACAGCTGAGTCTATGAGTCAGCGAAGTATTTCATGGTCTGCAACTCCAGAGGATACTGGTACGGTTCTTGAGAATGCTGGTAGTATGAATTCAGTCCCACTGGGGCAGAATAGAACCATAGTGAAAGCAGAAGGTACAATATCTGTGGCAACAAGACGAGCTACGGATATCATTGCGGCTTCATCTCTGCCCACTGCTCAGGAGCAAACGAAGGATGAATCATCCTTGTCGTCACCACGAGTGTCGCAAACTCAAGAGGTTCAATTTCAGAGTTTACGACAGACAATTGGTGATGCGAGTGCGCAACCTGTGGTACATGGTCAGACTCAATCGGAGGATATTACGGCCACGCCTTTGATTTCATTAGGCGTTATGACGCCAAACGTATTGAGAGCTGAAACTCCAAATATAGCAAAGGGGGAGAGCCGAAGGGTTTTGTCATCTTTCGCAGCGCCACCAAGTCTAAGGAAACGATCCTCGCATTCGAATGCAAGTCAAAAGTCGGATTCTGCAACCTCAAGCAGTTCAACTTCAGCAGTAGTTGCAGATGTGAGTGCATCTACCAACGCGTCCAAAAAATCTATCCGATCTAAAAGTCACTTGACGCCAACACCATCCAGAAAGGCAATATTGAGGCGTCAACCTAGTTCATCTGATTGGTTAGATGATCTTGGCGAAGATGATTTAGCGGGAGCTCTTGATGATGATCGTAATTTGAGCTTAACAGAACCGCCGGCGCCTGTCGTCCACCGTGTACAGGAAACTGCATCGGTCGTAGCTACTACAACAACTACTACTATTAATGCTACCGCTACTACTGCAGCTAAACCCTCCATTGAGCAAGATGAGGATGATGACGATGATTTGGATAATTTGCTAGATGGCCTAGATGATTATGAATTGTTTGATATTTAGTTTTTCTCTAAGTAATAAAGTACCACTCTTGATTATGTCTGCTCTGGAAGAAAGAGGAGGTTGGAGAATAGGAAGGAGAGGAGAAACACGCCCAGGGTCCATGACTTGCAACCTGAAGGCATGTCATGAAAAGTATAGAGTGAGCGGATTTTAAATAATTTGCTCCAAGGTGGATCGACAAAAGTCCCTGTTCCTAGGCAATGGTGATTTAAAATTTTAGATTCTCGATGCAGATGTCATGATGCACAAAAGTTGTGCTATACACATTCTCCTCAAGAAGTATCTTATAGCAGACCAAAAGCCAAAAAAAAAAAAAAAAAAAAAAAAAAAAAAGTTTCATTGCTTTCCTTTCACTTTATGTTACTCCGTCGACTATGTCCCTGGGCTCGATATTCCGATGATCAAACTCATTCTTGCTCAACCACTCAAACTAAAGTAACTTCGAGCTGCGTTTTACATACTTTAAATATCCCTTTTTTTTGTTTTTATTTAAAAATAGAAATAAAAGTATGACGTTACCATATCCCGCAGTGGAAAGCCCTGTCAAAGCTCCAAGGTAAAGGAAACATGCCTATGAAGAAATAAATCGTCAGTGTTTTATCAAAGACACTATTGATTCCGCATATTTGAATATTCTTCCTGTAGGTGTCGAAAGGCCCGATGTCTTTTTTGAGAAACAGAAAGTCATTACTGAATCATTTATTCTGTCGGAGATAATCTTATTTTACATACATCTACGCTGTGTGTGTTAACGGAAGAAGAAAAAGTTGAAAGACTTCTCGGTCACCCGGGATCGATATCGCTATTCAAAAGACCGACAAGACTTTCAACGTCACTTCAGATTAAACCAGGGCCTTCTTCAGTGAACGATGCCTTTTTACCATGCGCACACACATACACTATTTATATATATATATATATATATATATATATATATATATATTAAGCAATAAAATAGCTATTATTTATTACTTTAAAGTGAGACTTGATCGTGGCTGAGTTCCTCTCCGAAGGGATGGATAACATTGATCCATGTATACTGCACTGCGCACAGACCAGATCAAGCTTCCCCCTTTCCAAAGAAAGTTTTAGGCTAAAATAATTTTTCACTAAGGACAAACAGATCATACACAGACCTTGTACACAGACATATCAAAATTCTTGGTGGACGTCACCTGAGTCTCCAAGGTCGCCAACGTTACCGAAAATTTATAATCATGAAGACCTCACCTGAGTTTTCTTGGTCGCCAACGTTGCAACCTTGGAAAAGCTGGCTTTTTTATTTTATTTTTTTTTTATCCTTCGTAAAAAAGAAATTCCATTCCAAGAAAAGTAAAGATTCATACCGCTGGCTTCTGGTCCATATGCGGCTAGATTTCATCTTTTTTTTTTTTTTTTTTCTTTTTTTTTACTTTTGCGGAAACCATGCACAACAGATTAACATTTATACATACAAACATTCAGGTAGAACTTTACCATATTAGAATAGGATAACGTTCCGGAGGAAAAAAAATAAGAACATTTATTCAATTGCTACCTTGTTTAAGCTATGAAAACAATAACGAGTGTTACATTTATTTGATACATACAAAGATACAAATTGAAAGAGGTGGGGCAGGATCTGAGATCGTAAATCAAGCGATATAAGGCATGAACAAGGTCTCAACAGATACAATACATCAACTGGCGAGGTTCCCTTCGGATATTGATATCCAGATAGTCAAAGGCAGCATGGCTAATAGGCATCTAAAACGTGCCAATGGAATCCCACAGAAAGAAAAAAAAACTCAGATTGGCTCTCTATACATGACTATTGTTCGGTTTTATTTGAGCTTCCGCCCATGTCCCCTTTGGAAACTTTTCTTCTCCGCTCTCACACATTTGTAATTCACTTTGTGACAACAATATACATGTACCTTACAATAACTCGATTGTCTACCAGATTAAGGCGAATGAACAAACCTATAAAATGATGCGCATCTCCACTTTTCACTTTCTTTCTCTCTTTTCTTCCACAACACTCAGTATCCTTTCTCAAAAAAAAAAAAAAAAAAAAAACTCCATCTACACGAAATTTATCGTTATGGACAATACCTTTACCCTCTTCCACATCTAGAATTATCCCTCCACCTTTGTTTTCCTCTCCAAGAAGAACAAATTAACCTCACATGCAACCAGTTGCTGCCCATGAAAACGCCGTAAATCTTTCCACAGGAAACCCTTGTGACGCAGATCGTGCAATTCATTCCACAGGCAACACCAACAACACTACCACACTCACACTCACACCCACCAACTCTTTAGCTTTCAACCCCAAACACGAGTCTGGTATCATTAACAATGATGACAACAACGATGTCGACTCCCTAAACATCCTTGAAAGGGGTCCTGTCCCCAGTACTCTCGGCGCTCCCGACCAGGTCTCACCATATACTGAACCGGTGACTGAAATGCCGAATAGGCCTTTTTTGTTTGGACTTCGTACCTCGAAGAACTTCATTACTCTGACCATCCTCCTTGCTCTCTTCACGGACATGGTCACTTATGGCATCATCATCCCTATTATGCCTTCTATTATCAAGGAAATGAATGGTGACTCGACTATGACCGGTGTCCTTGTTGCCGTTTATGCTGCTGGTATCATGTCCGCTTCACCTCTCTTTGGTACTCTCTCCGATAAGATGGCCTCGCGTCGTCTACCTATGATAATTGGCCTTTCTGGTATGCTGATTGCAACTATTATTTTCATGTTGGCCAGAACTTACTGGCTCTTGATCATCGCTCGTTTCTGTCAAGGCGTTTCTGGAGGCGCTGTCTGGACCTTGGGGCTGGCTTTGATGACGGACTCGTTCCCGGCCAACCAGATGGGCGTTCAAATGGGCAAATCACTTATTGGACATACAATGGGCCTCCTAGGTGGGCCCCCAATTGGTGGAGTTCTTCACGATGCATTCGGAGCCAAGGCACCATTTTACTTCTGCATCGCCTTTGCAGCCCTGGACATCTTTTGCCTCTCCATACTGATCGAAATGCGCGCAGATGAAGTACTCTTAATCCGCCAATTTGAACCCGAGCTCCGGGAACGTGCCATAGCTAGAGGCGAGGAGATCGAGGAACCCAAACAGACCTCTATTTGGAGGCTGATAATCACTCCTCGTTTGCTTGCCGCTGTATGTGTCACCACGCTCGAAGCCTTTGATCTAGCTTCTCTCGAACCCACACTCCCTTACTACCTTAATGCTCGTTTTGGCATGACTGAAGGTCAGATTGGTCTTGTCTTTATTGCTTTTACTATGCCGACCATTGTTTCTCCCTTGGCTGGATGGATATCGGACCGCTATGGTGCTCGCTATCTCTGCGCTGGCGCCGTGGCTTGTTGTGCCAGCTTTATGCTTATCCTCAGTATCGAAAGTAAGCCGCTGTGGGGTATTATCCTAAATCTGATCTGTATTGGTCTTTCAACCTCCAGTTTCATTGCCCCAGTTTTGGGCGAGATTTCAGCCGTGGTACGACGAACGGGAGACAAGAATGCATATGCGAGAGCGTTCGCGATCTTCAATATAGCGTTCAGTTTTGGAATGTTGATCGGACCGATCTTGGCAGGGTTTGTTTATCAAAAGCATGGCTTCAAATGGAATTGCATCGTCATTGCCTGTGTTCTGTACTTTTTTGTGCCCATGCTGTTGCTTTGGATGGGCGATCGTAAGGCGAAGATGGAGGACGTGGCTTTGTATGAGCGTGAAGAGCAGGAACGCAAGAGGCAGCTTCATGAAATCGAAATCATCAAAGCAGAGAGAAAGGCTGCTGAAGAACTCAACCAGAAAACATTAGTTTAAAAGGCATGTCAAACAGTTGTTCCTTCATTTGACACTCAGTATTAGTTCCTTGGATTCAACTTCTTTGCCATATACATATATATATTTTTAATAAAAGATCAGAGACCTGGCTTCATGATTATTGTCGTGAAGATTTTGCCTTTGAACTTGAGTCGTTCTGTTCTTCAATAATGGCCTTCCATTCATTCATCTGATCAAGGATCTTGCGCTCTTTACGTCTCATCTTTTTTTTTTTTTTTTTTTTTTTTTTTAGTGAAAGTAGTTGTAGATATAATAAAAAAGAAGTTAAGCTTGTATACATGCTTGAAGTTCGCGATTTTAATGGTAATGAGGAAAAAATAATAAAAAACATGCCTTCAAGTAATCCTTTTTGTTCTCATGATCGTATCCAAGCAAATGGCATATTCCATGAGCATAGAGGACTGGTAGTCGATCATTAATGTCAACACCGTGTTCTCCACACCAGCGATCGAGATAGCGCATTGATATAACAATATCGCCCAAATTTCTTTCATCAACCGACTGTGGTTTTGGTAGCTTTCCCGGTTTTAGTGCCTATCCACAATAGACGAGAAAATAAAAATCTCCACAAGCTCAATATGACAATACTCATACATAATCTCATGTTAACATATTCGAAGAGTGTAGTATTGTACCTCTACAAAAGGAAACGATAGAATGTCTGTAGGTTTATCTTTCCCTCTGTACTCTCTATTCAACTTGCGTATTGTCTTGTCAACAGTAAACATGACGCCAATGTCATAATTGGGATATCCTGCTGCAGTTATGAGCATCTGAATTGTCTTTTTGATACTCGGCTTGTCCAAACGGAATATGTATTGTTTGTTTATCAATCGAATCATAGCGATGAGTCAGGTTTAACATGAAGCCATGTCTCATTCTTTTTGAAGATTCATTTATTGTTTATTGCCTTCATTTTGGAATCAACGCTCCGCCACGCGTTCAGCCACACAAAAACTCACCACGGCAATTTAGAGGCATTTGTTATTTAAAGGCATTTGTTATTTAAAGGCAGTTCTATGACAACTAACCTATGACATGCCTGTAAAATCAAGCCGGCGAGCGAGTCTCTTGCCATCTTCTGATGTTAAATCATATGCGTCTAGTATTTCAAAATCATATTTGCATAGAAGGAAAGAATAACGTTTTGAATTTGAGGCAATAAAAGAGTTAGATTGGATTGTACTCACTCTCTCCATGGAGCCCTTTTTTTTCGCCATGTTCATAGCACGTACCGAGAGCTTCTGCTTTTCGCTTGAGTTTAGCTGCTTCTGGGGTCTCACGTACATGTTTGGGTAAATTTTCCAAGGGTGTTGGCCTTGGCTTGTTGAAGAAGTAAGGATGAAGCAGTGCCTAAAGATTGTGAAAAAGGTGGTGAATATTACAATAGTTGCGAGCTATTTCTCTCAATGCAGCTGTATATATGGACATATTGGTTGGTTATAACCACATACTTCTCGTGCTGATATACGGCGGTTAGGATCATAAATTAACATGCTTTCTAAGAGTTCAAGTGTATCCGCTCCTGCCGCTGTGAATAAAAGCCTAAGAGGCGTTTTTGGATATTGTTTAAACTTAATGTAGTTAGGTAAGGACTCCATTCCCTGAAGAAGAAGATATTTAGATGAAATGATATAGGCGGTTTAGTGGGGTATTCGCTTCTCTGATCATGCCATTAGATAACATATTGCAAAGCTATAGTCACTCAGCATACAGGCCAATCTGCTTCTGTAGGAGTTCCCAATGCCCTGAACATCGTATCCAGCTGATCCATATCGGTATTACCAGGTAAGTATGGGTTTCGAAGCAAAAGTTCAGCAAAAATGCACCCAATAGCCCAAATATCTACACCGTATCCGTATTCCCTAGCACCGAAAAGTAGCTCTGGCGCTCGATACCATCTATTAAATAAAAGAAAAGATGAAAGAATAGAACATTTAATCCAAGGTTGGGCTGAAGCCACAAAGTTACTTAGTAATCAATTCCTTAACTGTCATTCTAACCTGGTGACAACTTGTGCGGTTAATTGCCGATTGCGATCTCCAAAGTCTCGAGCTAAACCAAAATCTGCAAGTTTGAGCTGTCCATCTCGCCCCAAAAGCAAGTTGTTTGGTTTCATATCCTATATTGAAATAATAAGAAGAACAAATGAAAACAGCATAAGTATTTTTCTTCTTCTTCCGCGATAGGCCTTCACTTTAAACCGTAATGCGCTTCATACCCTATGAAGGATCCAATTTCTGTGACAGTGGTCAAGGCCACGGAGAGTCATGAGCATCCAGTGCTTAACATCTCCCGGCATGAACACGATGCTTTTATCTTTGATGATCATCTCCAGATCAGATTCCAAGAATTCAAGGACAAGGTTGAGATTTGTCTTGTGAAAGTAAACTTCCATCAGCTATAAATCATTCATATTACAAAGGGTTTATTCCAAGGTTAATGGCTCATAATTTCATGTAAGGTTTTGAAGGGAAAAAAAATAGTTATAATAAACGTGCCTCAATCACATTTGGATGCCGCAGTTCCTGTAAGGTCTTGACCTCACGAATAGCACTCATATCAAGCCCATCTTTAAACTGACCAATCTTGATCTTTTTGATAGCTACTACCTTCTTTGTTGATAGTTGTCGCCCTATGAGTACATTTTTTTAAATGTTGTTTTGCGTATGTTGATGAGTTCACTGTTATCGATAGTACATGTCCTATTCTCCTGATATGCCATTTTTTTTTCTCAACATAGTCATCGACCACGTTGTTGCATAGAGCTATGGTCATACCAACATATACAACGGCATAAGCACCCTCTCCAACCTTCTTATCTTTCTTGTAGTCCCTGTAGATGTCTGCATTATGTTGTTCTGCGTGATTTCTGATGGATGCCATTGCGGAAGAGAAGGCGTGGTGTGAATGAATGCAGAAAGGTCTTGCCACCATTTCACTCCTATAGCCACAAGCCACATTCCAACAGCAATGTCAAAAAGAAAAGAAAAACTCCACACTCCGAACTCTTTTCTTCTTTTTCATTCCATTGACCTCGCTTTCCATTCAGCTTAGATCACTGTTCAATTTGCATAGTATAACATGAGCAATGAAGGCGAGTGGACCACTGTTACTTCCAAGCACTCGACAGGTCATAAACCACAGCGCCCCTTTTCCACTGCTGGAGGCTCTGCTACACCCTTGTCCTCCAAACCCGAGTCGTTGCGAAGCGCTGCAGCAGACAAATATGCAGGGAGCAGTAGCAACAGGACCGGACACCACAACCATCACCATCACAGCAACAAGAAGGCAACTAGAAAGGATGCGTCTTCTACATCTACTAATGTAGCCACAACAAAGGCAAACGTTGGTGGTGGTGGTAATGGTAGTAGTAGCAAGCAAATGAGCCGCTCTCGCTCCAGTTCTATCTCTAGTGGCTCTGATTCTTCTCAATCAGACGATTTGGCCTCTGCTTCAGGATCTGGATCGAACCGTCTTCCATACCATATTACGATCATGATCCATTGCCCTTTCCAATCCTGTGATATGACAGATCCTCTTACAGACTCGACCTCGCTCGTTCTCCATTTGAAGGAAGCACACAAGATTGTGTTCAAGAACATTCATCATATGTTTATTATGCTAGATCGATATCTGAACCATTGGGCTAATGAGATCGAAGCCAAGGGTATTGAGAATGTGGCGGCGAAAGAGAATGAGGCGGACGAATTTTATACAATTGATCCGTTGGTTTTGGCTTCGGATCGAGTTTTGAGAGATGTGATTCAACGCGAAAAGTTGAATGAAATTTTAAAACTCCAGGAGAAGGAGCGACATGAGGATGCTAAACTGAAACGAAAGTGTCTCTTCTGCAAGAACATCTGCGATAACAGGCAAGTCTCTGTTCTAGTTATTTTTTTTTTCTCCTATTCTTTTCTTTTTCTAATTGCTTGCTTTTGCTTTCCCCTATCTTTTTTCTTTCTTCTATTTAGATCGATTTTGTTTAAACATATGTTTGCTGAACATAATTTCAACATTGGTCTACCAGATAATCTTGTCAATGTGAATGAGTTTCTGGATATGCTAGAAGCCAAGCTGACTAGGTGAGACCTATACTCAGCAACATGTCTCATAGCCATTTAATTTCTTTTAAATGAATGACACAACTAACTTTTTTTTCTTTATTTTTTTTTATTTTTATTTTTTTTTTACAAGCCTTCAATGCCTTTACTGCGAAAAGACATTTACATCGCCAGCGGTTCTCCGGAAGCACATGCGTAAGAAGAAGCACTTCAAAATCAGCGCCCGCAATCGTCTCTATGACCAGTTTTACGTGATTAATTATTTGGAACCTGGCAAAAACTGGGAGAACTTTGAGCATGATCGGTACGACTCGGATGATGACCGTAGAGATGACTCATGGGCTGACTGGGACGATGCATTAGAGGAGGAAAAGACAAAGTGTTTGTTTGAAGATCAATATTTCGACTCAGCACAACAGGCACGTGAACATATGAAGGTGGCCCATGGGTTTGATCTGGAAGGAGAGAGGCGCCGGCTAGGACTGGACTTTTATCAGACCATCACACTGATCAACTACATCCGTCGTCAAACAATGTTGGGTTTATGCTTCTACTGTTTAACAAAGGATCCTCGGAATATGGACAATAATAATCAACAGGCAGATCTCCAGAGTGAGAGGGAAGAGGATCAGGATAGTGGGGATTGGTTGGTAAAGCATTTGCAGGAGGCAGGTTGTGGAAGCAAGGTACCAAGCATGGATGCAGATTTCTGGAAGGATGCGCAGTTCCTGCTGCCTATGCTTGAGAACGATCCTCTGCTAATGATTTTTGGAGAGGAAGATTCGGAGGACGATATTGCAGAGTCGAATCCTGGAGTGATATCTTCTGAAGAAAATGACAGCGATGAGGGTGATGACTAATATAATTTAGATAATTAAAGTTTTTCTTTTAAACAATTTTTATTGCAGGTACTTTGGGCACTTTTGTCTATTCTTGTTTGCTATGTGAATTTTTACGCTTGGAAGAAGAGGCCTTGGGCTTGATAACTGGTGGTGGTGGCGGATCGGCGAGTGATTGGAGAACGAATGCAGAAGATGCTTGAGCCAGACCATAGATGGCTACACCAATGAGAGGGATACTGCATCCAATATAGAACACGACACCAAATCCTAGGAGAACACTCTTTCTGTAATTGAACCACTTCCGTTTCTGGTAATGTGACATTCCCACACGAATGAAGTAAGGATCCAATAGCTCGCGTGTCAGAGCCCTGCATGCAAAGAAACCTTTCAAGATATAGATAGAGACGCTTCGCGGCAACATGAATGACATGAGTGCAAAGACAATGGCCAAAGGTTTCGAACCGATGGATTGGATAGTCGACAGAAAGGAAGCAATAGGGAATGCAAAACGACCCACGACAGGTACCCAAGATAGAACCAAGAATAATAATGCCCATTTGAGACGTCTCCAGGTTCGGCGGACATATCGCCACATTTCCTGCCAATGTCGTACACGATAAGGATAGGCTAATAAAGCTGGTGTGAAGGGTCCACGATGATCCATGATGTAAATCGACGGGGAGGTAGGGTCAACTGCTGTGGGGTCCCTGGCCTGTTGCTGCTTTGCATGCTCATGTTCCTGTATCAATAAATGATCCGAATACATCAATGCATCCACAAAGATGTCATCAAGATACTGTGGATACAGGTATCTCAAAAATAACAAGCCAAGTAATGGGATTGAGCTCATCAACTCGTGTGCCTTATTTGAAAAAACCTCTATTCCTCGCTGAGATTCCGTCGTATCCGTATCCGCTGCAAAGCTGAAGACTCGCAGTAGTGCTCCCATTGCGGCCATGGGCAAGAAGAACAAGATTTGTGTCACAAGATGAGCCACCATTGTAAAGACCAGCAATCGAAGAAGAGTCTTGTAGAGACGCCCATTCTTGAAATCAGGGTTGGTTAAGGCGATAAAACAACCTTGGAGGGCCAAGCGAACACCTCTGATAAACTCTTTTGGTTGAATCGGTAAACGAAGCTTGTAGCTTTGAGTAGATTTTGATCCAATCTTGTTCCCAAGTTTGACGGGTGTTTGCGAGGCGTTGACACCTTGAATGTGTTGTTTATGCGCCTTTGTGCTTGGACGAAAGCCGCCAATCATTGGGTTTTCCTCCTCTTGGTTCTGGTATGAGTCCTGCTGTTCCTGTAAGGCACTATTTTCTACTTTGTCCTCTTGAGCTTCCTCCAAGTCAGAAATATCACCAATGTCGGGTGCTGTGCCTGTTCGTACACGCGAGGGTGGAGGGTATTGTAGAGGATTGTAGTCGTCAGGCAGGCAAAGTTGAGTGGAGGAGGAGGAGGAAGAAGCAGTTGATGACCTGCGTGAGACATGAGAAGACAATGGTGACGATGGAGATGTCGGCCATGTCGGTGAACCAGGTGTTGGCCGCGAATGAGTTGTAGACTGATGTTGGAACTGCTGGTAAGGTGGTGGTTGCGTTGGCGGTATATTATTCTGCATGGTGAGCTTGATAGTCTGTAATCTATTGAAACTGCAAGCTTTTATAGGCCTTCGATATCAAGAATGTGAAAAAAAAGTTGTGAAGTGACATCAATGCAGTATAAATACGCACAGCTGCCAAGCCATGAGCACACACATCGATGTTTAATAGCTTATTACACAAAGTTTAATTCCAACATTCATTTTATATCTGCCAAGGAATGACACTTTATGAAGTGCTAAATGAAATATCAAAGTTTCATATTTCATATGTCTATGTTTTGAAATTGAGTGCCAAGGAAGCCAAGCTGCAAATCTTCATGCTTTTCTTGATAAGAAGCCTTTCGAGGCTTCTAACCTTCATGTTTCAGGTTCCTTGCTTGTACTTTTTGGCCTTCTTGGTCGTTCGTTTTCTTACCTTCGTTTTTTGGCAGCAAATGTCACTTTTGAGAAATTTGTCAGATGCCTTTGACGCTCCTTTCATCAAGCCTAACTTTATTTCTAGTTGATCTATTGACAAAAAGAAGTACTTTCGATGGCCTTCGTGTGCCGCATGTTCTTAGCCCTCTGCTGGCTGCTGTGATCTGTATTGATTTTGCATTATATGGTACATATTGTAAAGAAATTGGGTCGGCCATCCAGGGATGTCACCTTTGCAATGAACTTGTCGCGTGGGGAAGGAGGGGAGCTTGGTCTTCTCTTTCCCCTGCTATTGCCTGTGATGATGTTGTCTGCTTGACCACAATTATCTCTTTATCTTGTTCAAGTAAGGTAGCAGTGTTAACTCCGAAAAATCCTGCTAGCACTAATCCTGCTCCAATCCAGTAGCCGGTACCGAGGATGCGGCCACGGCCAATAGTATCACCCAGCAATGCTAACGGAATGGTCAGGGATAACCCAAGAGTGACGACTAAAGGCGAAGTCATTAGCATACTCAACAACCAGAGATAGTCAGATCTAAAGAAGATGAGAAAAAGAGGAGACATTACAGTGTTTATGAGTCCAAAGTACAGATAAACGCGCAGGTCTTTACATCATCACACACACTATCTGCCGAAGAGACATACACAAATGTTCCAACGAAAGCATTGACCACAATCATTAGTATAATGCGCGGGTCACTTGGAAGTTCGAACGACTCAACCCCTGTCCAATGCAGCACAGCAAATATCGGCCAAAGGAGCAGCAAGTTGAATAATCCAACAAACCCAAAGAAAAGTGACATGTTGATCCGGTTCTCATTCTGGATCTTGAGTTTGAGCAAGACAATATAACATCCATAGAAGAAGGCAGACATGAGAGCTAAGAAATCTCCAAATAACGGCGCTGCAGGGGCTGTGGGCTCAATATTAGAACTACCACGGTCAGATCCGCTTACGAGCGCTACACCCAGTACGCTCCCGCAGACTGCAACAAACTTGATAATACTGAAGGATTCGGTCTTTAAAAGCGCTCCTATCGCGAGTGTGAAGAAACCAGACATGGAGGCGAGGATGGTCGAGCTGGCGACAGTGGTATACGCTAATGAGGCATTTGTAGCCCAATTGGCTGCAAACCAAAGAATACAGAAAGCAAAGCTGAGCTGAGCTATTTCGCGATGTGAAAGAGGAATATTAGCAGAGTCAATGGCTCTTGGTCCCTGTTCCATTGTAGAGTCAGTCGACATAGTCGTGTCTACAGATCCTGAGCCGAGACTTCCATAAGAGTAATCCCTACTGAAGGGTATTATAGAATTGTGATAGATGTAAAAGAGAAATGGGTCAGATCATACCATGAAGAAATGTCCCTGTGCGAAAACAACAGATCTAGACTGGGATTATGCACCTTTTGATAACCGCTTTATTAGCACTTGGTCCTGCCAGAGCTTTATCTTTCTCATCTGTACACTGTCTCCACCATCGCTTGAAGAGCGGCCTCAGCAGGTAGAGTGAAAAACTGGCGGTATTGACGTAGGTAACAAAGAAGGGCTTGTTATAATTTTTATCAGCAAAGATGTTCTACAAATTTGAAGCGAGTCAGGAAACATTGGATGTCAGTATGTGGTATATGCTGAATGTGTGTAATGCATATAATTAGCACCATCCGTTGTAATGATGGCGTGATAGAGTCAGGCGCAGCAAGGGATGGGAGGTGTCAAAAGGGGCGAGGAAATATTGGGTGATTTAATCAAAACGCGACATGAAGACTAAAGGGGGGATTAATTTAAAATGAATACATGCTTTGCATCAGTCACACAATAAGGGGTGGATCACACAATATCTGAACGCCTGGACAAGCACAGGAATAGATCAAGTGTTCACCAGTTCATTAAATGACAAAAAAAATCTTCTGATTACGAGTTCATCCTTGAAGCTTGTTAATCTTTTTAGAAAATAGGTGGTTATTGCTTACATTCATCAAGAAGCTGGAAGACACCCAAATGCAGACTACAGATAACAAAGCAAAAATTCCGATAGTGTATCGAGTTACTTCCATGGTTGCGCCCATGATTACTCTAAAGCAGAGCCGTTGGCTCAGATTGGGTTAGCTGTGTGTCTTGAAAGAGTTCAATATTGGAAGGTTAACGGAAAGATGAGATGGAGTGTATTGAGCAGACTAGTACGATGATCAGTAAGAAACGGGAAGTATCAAACAGCTTATCAATTATTTGGCTGTAATCATGAAGCGTTGCTGCTGTTATAACTATTGCTATCTATGAAATCAATTGCTAGGGCGAATGAGTGCTCAAAGTGACTGAGAATATCTTGCTGTAGCAGTAGGATCAAAAAGTAAAGTGGAATAGAGTGGAGTGGAGGTGTGAAAAGGAAGAAGTTATGAAGTCAATGATATTACACGTGACTCGAACTTCCCATGACGTTTGGTTTTTTTTTTTCGGCGGTTTGAGTATTTTCGGAGAAGGGAATTTGTTTCCATATCTGATTCCGTTCATCTGCATTTACTCTCCACTCTTCTTTCTAATCAAACTATGTCTTCTCTTCCACGTACAATCAAGGGCTTCTTTGCCCTTGGGCCTTCTCGTTTCATGCGCCAGCTCAACAACATTGGCGATACCAAAGTCGGAACGCTCGTCGGCACTGACCAATTCGGCAACAAATATTATGAGAATCTTGACGAGAGTTATGGTACGGATGCAACTGAATGATGAATACGCACTCATCAAACATACATTTATCTTATTTACTCTAGCATCCTCTATTTATGAGATGTTGATTCAGTGGCAAATTTCGCCTATCTTACCCAACCCGAGGACCACTTTTTTTTGTTTTTTTTTACAGAGGACACTTCAGCAATAACATCTATGATCTCAGGATTTGGCGCACAATCTTGGCAGTGACCAATTTGGTGTATCAGGAAAACTTGGATAGATCATAGAGGAACTTGAGTTGATACAAAACGCCACCTTCAACACTCTTATTCTTTATCTGAAGAGTAGTCTTTTTTTTTAAATGTCTACCAACAATGCCTAAATTCCGGCTCTTATCGTATTATAATTAGGTCGTAACCGCTGGGTTCAGTTTGCAAAGGAGGACACATACTTCTCAAGGGCCGAGATGAACGCCTCGCAGGTTCCAGCTGAATGGTAGACTTCATAATTCGTTTGGCTCATCATCAACAGGAACTTACGATAGGAGTAGAACTATATTGAAATCAACTCGACTTGTAATCTAAAATTTAGGCACGGCTGGCTGCACAGAATGTTGGATGCCCCCCCTACTGTCGACAAGACTATGGCCGCTCCAAAGTGGGGTGTAGAATTCACAGAGAATTTAACTGGTGGTTCAAAGGGTAATTGTTTTTGTTGAAATTTTTTGATAATCGCCAGTCAAATGAAGGTACGTTAAATTCACATATTAATTAAATCGCTTGCTTTTCAATGAAATAGCCTATAAGACCTACAATACTACCCGTGTTAAAGTCCAGGCTTGGGAACCTAAGGTTGCTCCTCGCGGTTAGAGAATACAGAAAATTGGAAAAAAAGGTCTTTTTTTTTTTTAGTAGCAAGCAAGGAAAGAGTAGCATAGACATCCATCAATGAATAAAAATAAATATTTCTTCCCCTATTTTGACTTATTTTGACTGCAAGATTCATATCTAAATAACCCACACTATTTTTCAATAAAAGACTTTCATGGAGATAGTGCGCCTTCCTTTTCTGGGTTACATTTTATTTTATTATAAAAAATTACCAACATTTAGATTTACATACTCGTTCATTCCTAACAACATCTCCATAGTAGCCTGAAGTCATGTCTGAAATATCAGCATCCATCGAAGAGACCAAGTAAGTTTACCGATAATGAATCTGAAGGATGTGCATGCTCCTAATCGATTGTCCCTTCGAAATTACAATTCTGATCATATTACTTCCTTTGATGTCAACAACCTCAAATAGTGCGATGCGTGCAAGGCTGGGTCTTGCGCCTCTTAAAGAAGGCCGAGACACAAGTAGCAGCAAAATTGCAGAAGATAATTTGAAACGACAGCGTGAAGAAGAGGCGAGGAAGGCGCGCGACGAAGAGGTCAAAAGCAGGATCGCAAAGTCACGAAACAAAAGGGAACTTAACAAAGCTAGAGTAGGAAAGGGACTTGGCGAAGCCAGCGATGAAGATGTGGATGATGTTTACAAATGGACTATGAAATCTAGAAGCAAGGAAAAAGAACGACAGGCTGCAGAGGCTGCCAGACGTGAAAAGGAACTTCAGGAATTAGATGAGGCTTATCAAGCAGAATATGGAGAAGATCAACTTGCGGGACTTCGTGTTGGCCATGATATAGCAGATTTTCAAGAAGGAGAAGAGCGTATTTTGACACTTAAGGACAGCACTATTCTCGGGAATGAGGAAGAAGGCGACGAGCTGATCAACATTCAGCTGAGCGAACGGCAAAGGCTTGAGAAGAATCAGGAAAACAAAAAGAAAGTTAAGCAGCCTGTATATTCTGGATACGACGACGACGAATTTACACTCGGGAAAAAGAAGAGTATTTTATCTCAATATGATGAAGTCTTAGGGCTAGAAGCAGGGCACGAGACCTTTGTCCTTGGGGAGACCAATCGGTTAAAGCGTGGTGGAGGACAAGATGGATCAGGCTCACATTCTGTTCAAGGAGGATTTAGCACCAAAGACAAAATGAGTCAGAAGCTGAAAGAAGCAGCGATTGCATTGACCTATAACAGTATGTAGTCCATTTGCATTTTTTTTTTTTTTTTTTTTTTTTTTTTAAAAAAAAAGAGAGCATCTTGTATTTTCATTTATACTGATCTCCCTTTTTGCTCATTTCTCTTATTAGAAACCCTGCAAGCGCAAGACTACTATACCAAAGAGGAGGCGGAGGTTACATTTAAGAAATCAAAAGTAAGAGGAAAAGTGCTGTCTACTGTCACTCGGTTTAATTTGATATGAGGCGATATTTCTATAAGATGTTGACTTAGTTACGTATATATAATTATGCCCTTACGAACTTTAGAAGAAGAAGAAATCGAGATCCAGAAAACCCGATAGCTGGGAAGAAGATGGAAATCAAGAAGAAAGTGCAATGGAGGTAGAAAGACCGGAACCTACCGACATTTCCGAGCTCAACTTTGTAGATGATGAGGATCTCCAAGCTTCACTTGCAAAGGCACGTCGACTCGCAACCAAGAAGGCTGTAAAAACGTTAACACCGGAACAAATTGCCAAAAACCGTAAGTGATATCGGCCTAACTCATTAACTTTTGCATTCAATCAATAAGACGTGCTCGACTCTGTCTAAACTTGTTTCCACTATTTCGTTTGTCATGGACTTTAGTTGCAGAAAGTAAGGCGATGGAAGTGGAAGAGGATCTCACTCAGAAAGGCGGATTAATCATTTCGGATGTATCAGAGTTTGTGTCAAATCTTTCATCTTCCGCAATTCATATCCCTTCTTCACGGGCAAAGGGAAAAGAACAAAGCTCTGAAGCAGCAGGCACTTCGACATCCACATCTATAAATGTTTCCAAAGAGGACACCGACATGGAAAATGCTAAAGATGCTGAGGAAGAAAACGAAACCCATGATCTCAAATCCAGAACTCGGGCAGAGTCAGAAGCAGCTGAGGATCAAGATGTAGACATGAATGAATCTAAATCGGAGGAGCACAAACCGACAGTAATTTTACCCTTGCGCGTGAAACATGCCTTCATTTCCCAAGTACATTTAGAGCAGTCCGACATGATACTTTTTAACCTACTAACTTGCGGCTTCATGTTTTTATGTATCTCATTTATTCTTATAGGATAATCCTCTTGAAGATGAACCATTAGTTAGTAGAGGATTGGGATCAACTCTTGCCTTGCTAAAGCAAAAAGGCGCATACAAAGTAGGGTCAGCAGAGCAGGAGGAAAGAGCCAGAATTCAGGCTGAAAGAGCCAATTGGCTTGCCGAGGCCAGGCTCAGAGAGGCAAAACTGGCAAGAGAATTGGCTAGAGAGAAGGAGCGTGAAAAGGAGAAATCTAGAGACAAAAATTATTCCATTAGAGACCGTGAGAAGGATCGCGAATATGAGAACCAGAGGCGGGAGCAGATGCTTATGGACGAACGTGAAGCCCGAATGAAGAACTACAAGCCTGATATCAAGTTGGAATACATCGATGAAAGCGGCAACCGCCTTAGTACGAAGGAAGCCTTCCGTCAATTAAGCCATGCTTTTCATGGGAAGACATCAGGCAAGATGAAAACAGAAAAACGTATGAAGAAATTGGAGGATGAAAAGCGCTTGCTGGGTATGAGCAGTACCGATACGCCTCTAAACATGGTCTCGGCCTTTCAAGAACGTCAGAAAGCTGCAGGGTCTGCTCACCTTGTGCTAGCTGTCGGAAACCGCAAGTATGTATTAAATGCCTGTAAACGTACATGTGAATACTATCAATGAAGCATTGATACTAACCTATTTACTCTGGGCTTTTCTTCCTTGTGCTCTAGCACTGTTCCTTCTACTTTAACGTCTACCATGGTTGGCGGTACCATTTCGACGATCGCAACAGGGGGGAGATCAGGAACAACATCGACCAGCAGTGCAGCGGCGCATACGTCAACATTTGCAGCTCCTAACCATACAGTGCAGACAAACCTGTCAATTTCAGGTGTACATGCCCCGAATCGTGAGAAAGTTGCTTTTGGTTTGAAGCGCAAGGCAGATCCTGCACCCGGTGCAACGCAGGACGAAACGGTGACGAAAAAGAGTCGAAATGACGCGTAGACTGACATTATTTGAATTGAAGCAGGAAATAAAAATCATAAAAAAAAATGCACCAATGACGCGCTGCGGTGGCTCAGTAAATGCCATCAAAAATGAATGAGGGAGACATTTCCTATTCGTTTGCTCACACACTTGCACTTCCATCTCTTATACTTCATTCACCCCTACTTCTCTCTCCGAATAATCAATAAGCTACATTTTTTTTTTTTTTTTTTTTATTTTTTTTTTATTAAATATGGCAGCAAGATTCCTTGACATGGCGTTGGACGATATCGCCAAGTCTCGTTCCTCCAACAATGGAAGTCCTAATCCCCGCCGTGGAGGCCGTAGTGGTGGGCCAACTGGACGGGACAGTCCCAGCCGCTCTAACCGCGCATCACCCTACGGAGTAAGCAAGGATTGTATACACTAGCCATAAGATCCAGGAATGACGAAACATAGCGGAACCCAATGTTCATGTCCATCCAACCTGCAAAATAGCGCAATTCAGCCGATGATCGCTGGACTCATGACAAGTATGACGAAGGAGCTCAGAACAATGGTACTGAAGGGCGTGGTGGTGCTGGCCCCCGCCCCCAGAGTAACGAAGGAAACGCAAAGATCACTGTCGAAAACTTGCACTATGCTGTCACGTTGGAAGATATTAAGGTGCGTCTAAATTTGGGTCATAACCTTACTGAAAAGTGGAGGAGATTGTTGAAGGCTGAAAAAGCAATATGACCTAGGATATCTTTTACTTATTATTACCCTTTTTTTTTTTTTTTTTTTTTTTTTTTTTGATATCGGTTATCTATTGCAGGAATTATTCGAGACACACGCAGGCCCTGTCAAGGTACAAGCATGATATAAGCTCATATCAACTATTCTTATTGTGTTACCGTCTGTGATGGATATATCAGCATTTCGGCAGAATTGATGAGGATATGCCTGGAGCAAAAAAAAAAAAAAAAAAAAAAAAAAAAAAAAGAAAAAAAAGAAAGAAAGAAAGAAAGAAAAGGATCCTATATATTAGTGGGGAAGAATACGGATGGCCATGACCGACTCTTGCCTCTATCCTCTCCTACTGTGTTGTGGTTGCTCAAATTTTCCCCCCCACTTTTCCGGTTTTATTTTATTTTTTATTGCTTTTATTATTTATTACCTCTTATCATCTCGCCATCCATGGGAATTAAATTAAATATGTAATTAGTTGGCGAACCTCAAGTACGATCTATCTGGAAGATCTACCGGCGTGGCTACAGTACTATTCAATTCAGCAGACGATGCCGCATCGGCTATCAAGAAACTGCATGGAATCCCTCTTGATGGTAAGTTTCTATTTAGTGTTTTTTTTTTTTTTTTTTTTTTTTTTTTCCTCATAATATAATATTTTACATTGCTAATGCACGTTATCACGTTCTGTTTAGGTCAACCCATGAAGATTACATACGCTCCACTTCCTCCATCTCGTTTTAATCGTGGCCAGGAGAAGCGATCAAAGGAAGCACCCAAGAGAGATGTGTTTTCTCGTCTTGGATCAAGGTCAGTGTAAGAGTAATATATATTTTATGGAGTTTCCCGAGCGTTCATAGTAAAGTGAACGATTTTTTTATTTCTTTTGTTTTTACACCTATGATGATAGTGAGGCAGATATTGCATCTCGTCTTGGCAAACCCAATACAGTCCCAAAGGTCTCTCCAGTTCAGAATCAAAATCAAAATCAGAACCGTAGATCCTCAGGAAGGGGCCACAATGGTACTAGACAGGGGCAAAAGGAGAAGAAAGTGCAGGTCAAGACCGCTGAAGAACTTGATGCAGAGATGGACACATACATGGGCGAGGTAAAGAGAAAAGATTTTATTAATATGATTTTTAAATGATGCTCAAACAGGGCAGGAGTAATTAACTTTTTCATTTTAATACGCTTAATTGTTCACATAGGCATAAGCAAATGCATGATCCTTTTCTTTTATTTTTGAATTTTTTTTTTAAAAAAAAAAAAAAAAAAAAAAGAGAGAGAGAGAGAGAGAGAGAAGAAAGAAGAAGGAAGAAAAGAAAGAAAGGGAGAAAGGAAAGACGGAAGAGAAAATTAGCTTTTTTTTTTTTTTTTTTTTTTTTTTCTTTTTATTTTTGTAGATGGATATATTTTTTAGTAAATAGTTGAATATTTGAGGATTTGTAACTTTGTTTGTAACTTTGTTTGTGATGATGTGATGGCTGTGATATTACAGAAATCATGCACTCATGGATATAAGTTTTATTACTTTAAATTACATGGTGGATAATCAACAGAAAACGATTCAGAGGCGGGGTACAATGCACTCCTTTCCTTCAATCACAACGTTGCAGAGTTGCATTGAGGTCATGACAAGGGTGCAGGAGCCATTTGTTGGACAAACAAACACGACCATCTACCGGGAGAAAAGACTGGGTGTGCACTCTGTAATCTGCCCATCTATTTCTGGAAACATGTATATTTAAAAAAAAAAAAAAAGTCGACATCGCGCTGAACAATGAGCCTTTTTTTTTTTTTTTTTTTTTTACTTTCCATCTTTCCTTTTCATTTGCTTGCTTGTCTTTCCTCTTTCTTTCTTGCCTTTCCTCGTTTCTCTCCCGTCTTGGTTGCTATTCGGCACTTCATCCCTTTCGGAACAACTGGACGTATTTACACATTACCCATTCATTCAATTTTATATTGATCCTTCTTTTTATTAGTGTGTAATACCCAACAGTCCTCCCTCTTGTTTCTCCCCTCTCACTCTCTCTCTCTTCCCTTCTCTAGTCAACTTTAATATTTGGTCTCCCCTCAGGTACACTTTTTTTAATTTCACTTTTCAATTGCCAATCTTTTGGAACACGGTTTTGATGGATGTTTCCAAATAGCTTTTTTTTTTTTTTTTTTTTTTTTTTTTTTTTAAAAAAAAAAATAAAAAGTGCCCTCTTTCCTAGTCTTTCTGCTGATAGCACTTCATCCTCTTCTTTTTATCCTAGGCATAGCGTGTTGCCAAAGCTCTATCAACATGGCGGTAAGTCTTATCAGTCTCGAAAACAAAGTGATAAAACGATAACCTGCCAATACCAATTATACTTTATACCAACAGCTTCAGTATGCAAAAAGGAATGGCGCCATGGGTTTCCAATTATTTATGTTTCTGACTCTTATATATTGACAATTGCTTTCTATAAAAAAAAATAGGATAACTTCCAGAGCCGCATCCAAGAGATGACGCGAAAGCTACAGACGGAGCAACGTGTCAAGGATGCCACCACAGTGATGCGAACACGGCATACCAACCCAGTAAATATACATGGGCCTTTTTTTTTTTTTTTTTTTTTTTTTTTTTTTTGCCTTCTTATCTCTGTGTTCTGATAGTGTGCTTACTTTCCCCTACTCCGTTCACAGACCTTTTTTTTTTTTTTTTTTTTTTTTTCTCACTTTATTAATTTAATGTTTTATTTTAATTTTTTAGGCCGCCATCGCCCAATGTGAGATTACCCTGCAAGAATCTCAGAAGCGTATTGATTATCTTACAAAGGAGATTGAAAGGTTGCAGATCCGTCAGTCGCATCAACAACAGCAACAGCGTATTCAACAACAACAGCATCAGCAGCATCAACAACAGCAACAACAGCAACAACAGCAACAGCAGAAAAGTCTTAATCAATCGCATAGCTTTGACTATGCATCGGTCTCTGACTCGAGTATGGATCCTATCCTGACAGGCGAGGACGAGTACAAAGATCGAGACCTAGTATCCAACTCGGGTCAATATCTAGCAGGTGACTTTGGCCCAGTTCCGCTGATCATGCCACAGTCTCAACCACTGACGGTATCGACAGTATCGCTTGCTTCAGGGACCACATTGAATTCCCCTCAACTGGAATCAGCCATGCTGGAGCTACCAAAGAAACCAGCTTACACTAATCTAGGCAAGTACTCTTTAATAATATATTGTCAATGTGGAATCTTTACTTGCAAATGGTATCGATAATAGTATGCGACAGAATATTACCCTCCTCATGCAAAAAAAAAAAAAAAAAAAAAAAAAAAGCTGAGATCTTGCAAAGGACAATAATGTGTTTTTGTCAGAAATGAACAGTCGACCAAGTGGATGGGCGTGCATTAGATCTCCACTGGACAGCCACAGTGGGAACCTGAAGTTTACATGGTCTTGAGAAAGACACCTTTTAGAAACTATTGAAAATGCTCACTTGACTAATCTTTACATCCAATAAATCTTGATCTGCAGATCTCTTAAAGTCAAGTACGCCTATTACGACGGCAAAGATTTCCAACAAGTTACGAGACCTCGCATTCAAACTTGATGTTGAAAAGAAATTGAAGGCAGGCTCAGAACGTTTGGCAGTGCTATATAAGAATGACCCGTCTATGGGAGACAAAAAAAATAGGGCTGGCGTCAACGGGGAACTATTGGAGAGCAACGAAAAAATCGTACTCCTGAAGCGGGCCCTCCAAAAGTACCAGCAGCTGTTTGTACCAGGCATGGAAGATGATGGTATGCTACACCGATTTGCTGCTGTATAATCATCGTTCATATGATTGCGCCTATATCTGCTATGTATGACTCATTGTCTACTAAATGTATCCATGACCAAATAGACGACAGTGAGCCTAAGGCACTCAACAGAGTAGGTGCAGGTTTACGCAAGCCTAACACCGGTACACTCAAGATCCGTGTGATAGCAGTCAAGCAACAGAATAATGCACCTATTAGAACGGTGAAGATACCAGAAACGTTGTGCATGATTAAAGTGGATGGTGTTCCCCGTGCTAAGACCCGACCAGCCCGATCTGGGCCTCAGGGTGCACGATGGAACGAGGATTTTGATATTCCCGTGGAGAAGGCCAGTGAACTTGAGCTAACCCTTTATGACAGAGCAGAAAATCATCTTATTCCCATCGGCTGTCTCTGGGTCAAAATCTCAGATATTACAGATGAATTACGTCGTATGAAAGTCAAGCTCGAGAGTGGTCCTGGTTGGGCACCAGCAGGAGTGGCAGGGCAGATGAATACAGACGAAAACGGACAATTGCCTGACCCATCTACTGGCACCTCAGGATATGGAGCCAATAACAACAATAATCCCTCTGTTATAGTTGATGGCATCGAAACATGGTTCGATCTAGAGCCAGTTGGCCAGATCTGCCTCAAACTGAACTTTGGTAAGATATGGAGAAAAAAAAAAAAAGAAAAAGACGCGTGATTTTGATTTGAAATACCCTTACTCAGCGCTCGCATTTAGCTGATACGGATATATTTTCATTATTTTTTTTACAGTCAAGGACACAGTAGGTGTCAAGCGTTACCCATCCCGACTTGGTCGTGCCGGTGCTGTTCGAAAGAAAAAAGGCGAAGTCAAAGAAGTCAATGGGCACCAATTTGCTGTCCAGCAGTTTTATCAGATCATGCGATGTGCTCTTTGCTCCGATCTCTTTTCAGGAGCGGGAGCTCAGTGTGAAGGTATTATCTATATCATACCTTATGAGGATACTGTACATTTTCCAGGAACATGTAGGACAGTCATGTCGCTGACACTTTTTTTTAATACCTTTTCAAATCCAAGACTGCAAATACACATGCCACCGCAAGTGCTTTGAGAAGGTCGTTACAAAATGTATATCGAAATCTAAGGCAGACAAGGATCCTGATGAGGAAAAGCTTAACCACCGTATTCCCCATCGCTTTGAGGCGTTCACCAATTTGTCTGCATCATGGTGCTGCCACTGTGGATATATTCTGCCGTTGGGCAAGAAAGGAGCTAAGAGATGCACAGGTACACCGAGCACCATTTGTAAGGCCCCACCGCGCCCATCTTGTCGTTACTTGTTTCTAATTTCTCTCTCTCTTTTTTTTTTTTTTTTTATTATTATTATTATTATTATTATTATTATTATTATTATTATTATTATTATTATTATTATTATTATTATTATTATTATTATTATTATTATTATTATTATTATTATTATTATTATTATTATTATTATTATTATTATTATTATTATTATTATTATTATTATTATTATTATTATTATTATTATTATTATTTCTTTCTGGCCCTTCGCTTGCATTTATATAGAGTGCAGTATCACTAGTCATGCGACTTGCTCACACTTGGTCCCCGATTTCTGCGGTATGGATATGGAGAAAGCAAACATGATTTTAATGGAGATCAAACGTGCAAAGAGACATACAGCCGACAGCCGACTAAACCCTGCCTCAAACAAGCACCCGGCCATTCGCCCCGGTCAATTAGAATCTGGTCAATCTTCACCTGTGGATGGCCGATTCCCACCTGGCTCGCCAGACTCTCGTGGCTCTCATAGACAGCCAACATCACCACACTCTCCATCTTCGAAATACGCGTCTTTACCTATCCAGCCGCAACAGCCATCTTCGCCTCGTCAACCTCCTCCAAAACTACAAATGCCATCGCACATATCCAGTTCTGGAGATACATTTATGGAGGGAACCACTGGTTTTAGCTCTTCTACTACCCTTGGATCACTTTCTTTAAAACACGAATACGAGGTAGATGAGCCTGGTCAACTACAATATGAAATTGAGCAGCAGATGATGCAGCAGCGACAGCAGGACCAACAGCAGCAGCAGTATCAGCAACAGCAGCAGCGCCAGAAGCACGAGATGCATGATATGATGCAGCAACCGCATTATCAGCAGCAACAACAACAACTCCAGGAGCATCAGCACCATCTCCAACAACAGGAGCTTGCACATCAGCAACGTCTTCAGCAGGAGCATCAGGTGCAGCTCCAGCAGCAGCAGCAAATACAAATGCAACAGCAGCAACAGCAATACCAGAACTATCAGCAACAACAGCAGTATTATCCTCAACAGCAGCAGCAGCAGCAGCAATATCAGCAGTCGCCTTATGGCCAACAACCATCACTCAACATGCAGCAACAAAGACAGCAGCATCAACAGCAGGCGGAACAGACGCCCAATCAGCTGGTGGTAATATTTTATTTTCAGATTTTGAATTTCACATGGAGGTATGTCATAAAAGTAACAACTTTTTTTTTTTTTTTACTTTTTTATGTAATGTTATCATTAGAAAAACTCAAACCCGCTGCAGGTTGGTCACAAACCTCGTAAGGTTGGACTGGATGATTTCAACTTCTTGGCGGTTCTTGGAAAAGGCAATTTTGGAAAGGTATTTGGATTGATCGCATTATTTACTGACATTGCCATTTAGGTACCGATAAATATACGTACACTCTTCTGTACATTACTAATCATATCATGTTTTGTTTCCTGTAGGTCATGTTAGCGGAGGACAAGCTCACAAAGGGTCTTTATGCTATCAAAGTATTGAAGAAAGAATTCATTATTGAGCATGATGAAGTAGCGAGCACTCGATCAGAGAAGCGCGTTTTTATGACCGCGAACAAGGAGCGCCACCCATTCTTGGTGGGTCTACATTCATGCTTCCAGACAGAGACACGTATTTATTTTGTAATGGATTACGTCTCTGGAGGCGACTTGATGTTGCATATTCAGCGTGAGCAGTTTTCGGAAAGACAAGCTAAATTCTATGCATGTCAAGTTCTTCTTGCCCTCGAATACTTCCACAAGAACAACATCATTTACCGGTAAGGAATTTTTTGAAGTTATTTTATTTCTTTTATTTTTTGCTTGATTGACTGAGTTTTTCTTTTTTTTTTTTTTTTTTTTTTTTTTTTTGGACATGATCTCTTGGTTATATAGTGATTTGAAATTGGATAATATCTTGTTGGCTTTGGATGGACATATTAAGATTGCTGATTATGGTCTTTGCAAGGAAGACATGTACTATGGATCGACTACCAATACGTTCTGTGGTACTCCCGAATTCATGGCGCCTGAGATTTTGAGCGAGCAAAAGTATGGTCGTGCTGTGGATTGGTGGGCTTTCGGTGTTCTTATCTATGAGATGTTACTGGGTCAATCACCATTCATTGGTAATGATGAGGACGAGATTTTCGAAGCCATTCTGGAGGACGAGATCTTGTACCCTATCAATATGTCACGCGATTCCGTTTCAATCTTACAAAAGGTAAAACTAAAGCATTCTTCTTGAAGACATCTTTTAATGTTATCGATAAGCTATTAGGTTCACTCAATCTTTACATTTCCATTTGCTTTAGCTTTTGACGCGTGATCCAGAGAAGCGACTTGGAAGCGGCAAATCAGACGCAGAGGAGATCAAGCGTCACCCATTTTTTAAGGGTGTGAACTGGCAAGACATATTGGAGAAGAAGGTCCCGCCTCCCTTCTTCCCCAAGGTCCGAGGTCCAACCGACACATCTAACTTTGATGTTGAATTCACTCGCGAGATTCCTGTACTCACCCCTGTACATAGCCATCTCACCGCGCAAGATCAAGCCAACTTCCAGGGCTTTTCGTATGTCGCCGAGTGGGTTTAGAGGCAACGTCTAGAGAAATTCCTTCTTTGAAGGGGGGAAAAAAAAGAAAAAAAGAAAAAAAAATAATATATCTAGTATAATACAATAAACTAAACATCTACCAAATGAACTGATGACATTAACGAATCACTTGGATGAACGAATATTCAAGCAAAGGTAATAAAGTAATTGAGGGTATTGTAGACCATGAATGTCGGGCTGTAGGCCCCCCAATGACCAATAAAGGTTCCATGAAGCATTTACAACGGATCTCTCCCACAATATTTATCGTCTATGGGTCTACAGCCTTTCACCATCTTTTATAACTTACTGTCATAAGATATAGTCCATCCCATCAAAAAACAGGACATTTCATCTGGATTAAGGATATTGTAAAAAGAACAAGAATATTGTAAAAAGAACAAATACATTAGTGCAGCATTACATGTAAATAAATTAACCATAAAAGTACTGTCAAGCCAACACTTGCTTTTTTAAGACGAAGGCCTTTCAGGGCCTAGTCGTATTTGTAGTAGACCAAATCCTATTGTTGCTGCTGGCTCGATGTCTCTCCTCCTCCTGGACTCAGCAAAGGTCTTTTTGGTATCTCGAGTTTGGACCCAGCCCGTCAGTAAGCGTTAGCGCAATGCACATAAGTCCTTCAACCATTGATACACGCGTATAATTAAATTGATTGTACATTTAAAGGCATAGAATATTTCTATGCCATGAGTGTTGAAAAACATGACCATTGACATTGATACAATTGATGGGCTTCTTTTAAATTGTTCATGAGTCCGATCCGTCTATGCGTTCCAAAAAAAAAAGGTTGCCCGATTCTGGCAACACACAATACTACACATTGAAAGCAAATCTGCGGTAAATTCATCAGCATTTTGTTTCGCTCTCCTCCATATACCTACAAACACACCCTGCCTCTCTCGTCCTCTCTCGTCCTCTCTCTCATTTCACGCTGATACAACGACATTTATCTCTCGCTCCCTCACACTCTCACCTCATACTCTCACACCCTCACAAATTACATTCTTTTGCTTTCTTAAAGTAAATCATGTCTACTCTAACAACTTCAACTTCAATCTATAGCTGCATAAACTAACATTGCTTGCTGTTTTATAATATACTTTCTCTAGATGGGTATAGAAAACCTCTATTCCTGCCTTTCAAGGAGAGGTCTGCCACCAAAGAAGATTGATGTACATGAGGTTGCTGCTGAACCCGATTCATCTCTTGAGTTGGGTCTGCTTGGCACTTTCTACAGCGATATACGCAATATCATCCTAATGAAATTCAACCGGCAGAGCTCATTCACTGCCTGTGGCCACATTATGGCTAATATCATTCTAAAGATCTTTGGTCCCCTTGCCACAGTGACGATACACATTGATGGACCTCGCTCCAATGAAAAGTCCGCGCTTATAGGGACCGAGGTGCTAAGCGTATAACAGCTGACGCAAAACTCGGTACATCCATAGCCAGCATGGAAACCAAGCCCAATAAATATAATATTTTGAAGGTGTCTTATAACATGTTCATAGAAATTTTCCTATATGTATACTAGTCATTTCCTTCAATATAATGTCTAGTTTAACATAGTTAACCTAGACGATGGAAGGAGCTCCATCCACTTCTTTTTTGAGCAAAATGCTACTACTAAAAAATATCTGGGTTTCCCTACATCCGCTTTCTCACCTCGATCCCTCTGCTTAACTGAAGCCCTTCTGGATATATTATAGTCTGATTCCACAGCACAAGAGGATATAGTCCAGTTGTTGGAATTAGGATAGGTACTGAAGGAAGCACAGAAGACAAGATCCTCTGTCAAAAGGGGATATTGTTACAAGAATTGTTTTCCTTGAAAGGATACAAGGGCGTTGGACTGCAATCTGGTGATACTAGCCCTATGAGGGGACTACGAAAATCACTCTTTACAAATAGCCTCACCCTTACTCTTGTCTACAATACATCAAAGCAAAAAAGAGGTAGAGGCTCACAAATTGCTCTACCTTCGAATACTCAGATATCTCAAGCAGCCCAGACTTCTTCAAGTGCTAAGCAGGGATCCTCATCTTCAAGTGCTCAGCAGGGACTCCTGTCTTCAAGCTATGGTGCAGGCGATGGCGGTAACGATGGAGGCGATGATGGAGATGAGGATGATACCCTTCTGGGTGTCAACGATATTGACTTGCTAGAAGTTGATGAAGCATTCTTAGATGGCGACGAAGGAGAAGAAGCAGCTGAAGAAAGTACACCGAGTACAAATCTGCTCTCTCCAGTGAACCCCAGTCCTCGGCGCGAGACCAACCAGAAGCAGAGATCCCGTCTTCCCGAGAGTATAGAAGTTAAATATGACGCTCAGGCAACATGCCCTCTCCCTGGAAATACCGTTATTATTGGGATCTATCCAGGCGGAAGGTACTCATGACAATTGCAAAGTTGGATCCAAGGAAACCCAACGGACGTGAGATCTTCTGGCTTTCTAGAGCGTATCTTTACAAACCATCCAAGAAGCTCCGAGGTGAGCTAGAGAGGCGGAAGCTTGGTAGAGGAATTACAATAATTGAAAGCAACATGCCACCATTCTCAAGGCCCACTCTAACGCAGTATTTTGCTTATGGGAGCGTACCGTCGAATCAAGCTTTATCAAGCAGTGAGGGTAGCTTCGCCGGCAGTAGAGCTGGAACTAATAGTATCAGCGGAGCTGGAGCCAGTAGCAGCAATAGAGAGATTATATAAAGAACGCTAGTCGGTTTCTATAATGATGGCTGGTTTGTTCGAAATATCTGGGATAGTAGAAAAGCACAGAATGAATACATTGATTATGTGGTCAAGGCAATTCTGAAACTTGCAGGCGGAGGTAATAGAGAAAGAAGAAGCGCCAATACGAAAGCGGTGATCTGTATTTGACCTGGATCATTTAAGACAATCGAGGGTAAGTATCGAAGCATGGAATATTGATAAAGAAGCTTGACCATCGAAAGGACCTTTGCGGAGTCCAGGAGAAGAAACAAGCCGGCAGCAACAGTAGGATTTGGTCTACTACAAATATGACTAGGTCCTAAAAGGCCTTCGTCTTAAATTGTAAGATTGGCTTGACAATACTTTTTTTGGTTAATTTATTTGATCTTGATAGCGTTTTTTTATGGCGGACTATTGACTACGTGTAGACCTCCCCAATGATTGAGTTGGTTTGGTGAGATCTCACTACGTGACGGACTTGCC